GTTGAGCCGGATCCGGTGGTCGGGCGGACAATCCGCCATTGTAAGTACTCCGTTGGGAATAGTCCAAGGCGGCGTTCGTCGAGGTCGGTCTAGTCGTAGCCACCGTTTTCAGTATTCTGATGTCTCGGAGGGACCTTGAGAACTGGCTGTCTACTGCGTACATCCGTCAGTAAACAGCACACTGCGAGTCTGATAGCGCAAGATTCACAATTGAACCAGGAATATTTGCAAAATCAATAGGCAGTCGAAAGAATTATGAATTATGAAAAAGAAAAGAAAAGAAAATAAAATTAAAAAACCAAAAAAGTCGATCGGCGCGGCTTCCCGTCAAGCGGACCAGTCAGGCAGGCCACCATCATCCAGAGCCCCACGGGCCGCGTGTCCCTCCATCTCCTTTTCTGCTTCCTTCCCTGACGATGATTGCTGCGGTTTCGCCTCGTCCGGCCCTCTGTTTCGGACGTCTGAGATGACATCTTTCGGACTCCGTATCTCTAGCCTGAGTAGCCTCACCGGGCTATCTGTTCTCTTCTCTCACGATTTGTACTGTACGTACGAAATAGTGTACTTAGACCAATTGGAGTTAAACTGTCAAGTACATGTCTCCAACGCTTAGACCAGGCCAGACCAGCCCTGGGAAAAACGATGAACCGTGGGAGGACCGAAGGCGGTGGTGTGTGTTTGCCTCTACCTCCCCGGACTGGTGGTAAACTAAGGTACGGGACACGCACCCTCTCCTCCTCCCCCAGCCCCCCCGTAACCGTCCCTCGGGTCCCATGGTTAACTCACAAAGTTGAAAGTTCCCATTAACAGGTCTGTCTGTCTGTCTGCACCGCCCGCTACTTTTTTTATCTGAACTGATCACTGACAACCAGAGCTGAAGATATTAGATAATATCCCCAATTTCTCGACAGGCCCTCTTTGCCACCCCGCGCATGGCCACCTTTAAGCCTCGTGACTGGCGAATGGGCGGCCTCGAAATGATATTCATTATTCAACCTGACTAAGGACGAGTCTGGGCGACTGGACGACTGGACTAGCCTAGCCCCGACACTAGGAACGGACGGTACCTGTTCACTAAGCGCTGTGGAGCGGGATCAACGGGTTGAACCATCCTACGTACGTACTTGCCATCTCGGCAACCCAATCACGTCGGTCGCAGGAAGCAGGCACTTGCTCAGAGGACGCGTGGCAAAGACGAGGAGCCCGGCCTCTTGCTGGAAAGTTACGGACTGCAACTGTGCAAGGCTTACGGTCATTTCTCCCATTCGCCCACGGGGGGATGATGTGCCTGGTTGAGATATCTCGATGGCGATGGCGATGGAGACGATGGCAACATCCGACGCTGCTCCGACCACTGGTGGCTGGTGATGCGGGCTATCTACGGTGTACTCCGTACACCGTACAGTGCCCTACCAAGGTAGTCTACCGAGTCCGATGGTCGGCCATGGAAAACAGGTCAATTGGATCTTCACGGGATGAGGATCGACACGAGGGCTCTCTACTGTACGGAGTAGTTCTCTACCCTGATCTGCCAGAGTGTTTTCACCGAATAACCACTCCTACAGAACGAGACTGGAAGGGGAAGGAAAAAGTGCCCATCAGGTAACGGATAACATTAACCAGGCACACTAAGGTGATTGCCGAGCAATTAAGCTTGAACACTGGCCTTGGCAGCTGTCACGAATAGACGAGGCCCAAGACCATCCCCTTTTTTCTGTATTCAGAATTTCGGAATGATCAGAAAGCGCTGATGGCCGATGCCTCGAATCACCTGTCGGATTTTGACGCCGTTACGTCAGTCCGGGGGTGGATGGCAAAGGATTCTCTTACTCAGTACTTGCACAATTTCTCATATCCCAGCGAATGCCCCTGATCTGCATAGCTGAGGGCCCTCTTCTTCACAAAGTGGACGGCGTAGAGATCCGATTCGCTATTTCCCTACCTATCCGTCTCAGTATTATCAGAGTCACGACGCCTTAACCCCCATGCCAAGGACCAACAACCCCCTCCGGTCGATGGAAGCGCTGGAAGGGAATCCGTACCGGTGGTTTTCCCGACCCAAGAAAAAAAGATGTAACCGCCATCAGCCCGTCAAAGGCTCAAATGGTCCAGGGATCCGCTTCAGGGTCCAACTTTACAAACTACCCAGCTAGTACGAGGACCTGGTTAATTTCAACACGTAACCGGTTTTTTTCTAGTTCTCTTTTTTTTTTTTTTTTTTGCAAACTGATCTGTTTATCATTACTTCATCTAGCACGATATACGAAATCCGGTCTAGAAGACGGAAGATACCCATCGAACAAGAGGTTGCCTTAGAGCCTGGAGGTCTGTCTGTCTACCTCCGACACTTGCGAAACATAATCAATTTAGACTTTTCGTCAAAGAAAAGTAGGTTGGTCACTAAGGTTAGGTAGGGCAAAGCCAAGGCCAAGAGAGCTTGACTCCTGTGCAACAGGCAACTCTATTGCGTACGGAGTACTGTGCAGTTTACACTAACCCTAAGTCACTTCCGTTCGAGGGAGCTCGTTCTCGTCCGTCGGGACGATCCCCGCCTTCAATCTGTGGGCTACGTATGGATTAACTTGTCGATGGTTCTGTTTAATATCGAACCGTCCGTGGACCTGTCTGTCCACCTCCATCAGGCGGTTGTGTGCTTACATTCAAGATATGGGCCATGTCATTCGCCTGAACCGTACCGTGAACTATGGATCCAGTCAGAGTCCTTAGTCTAAGTATCCCATCCTACGTGTAGTCGTGTACGGATTGCTCGCTCCTTCCCTACTCCGTATGTATTCTGTACTGAAACTCAAAAGTCTAGTTTACGGAGTAGATGCAGCAAGCACACCCGTTTGTGGAGCGTAGCTTTGCCTTGTGGGCCAGAGCCGGGTTCAGTCGACACCTGAGACAGTCACGGTTTTATGCAGATGTCTTCCGCGTCATGGATTGCGGGGTGGTCGGGCAGGGATGAATGAGAATCGAGAACTCGGAGTATCCGGACAGAGCACGGTGTAGACTAGACTGGACTACTCCGTACTTAGATCGTAAGGTAGGTTTCCATGCTAGAGTTCATTTCGTGTCTCTTTTAGGACGGAGTTTGCCTGTTGTGGTTAGTGGGTAGTATGGAGTTCAACTAAGATGTGAACGTGTATGTGGATTGTGGTGCGGAGTACTTCATACAGAGGGGATGTAGTTAATGCGGATGTGTGGGTTCAAGCCAGGTCTGAGGTTCGAATGTGTTTGTAGGATAGGTACTGTTTCTTATTGTTGTGTTCTACATTTAATTGTCTATAAATAAGGACTGGAAGATGTTCTCGGTGGCATTTTATCATGCTACATGCCTTATTCTTCAAAACTTCACTGAACTGGCTAAACGACAGCGCCTATTTAATAACTAACTTGAGACTCGACACATTCAGGAGTCGGAGCACTCAATGGCCCATAGACTGTCCATGACACATATCTCCGGAAAACTTATATTCGATGCTTGCAGCGTCCCCTCGAGTTTTCTACCATCCCTACCCCAGACCCTTCATTCTCGGCATTATCTAAAAGCCCATGCTCTCATGACCATGAAAGTATGGGGTCCTAACCAATCCAATACAGTCCCAGGTACCAGGGAGCTCTCATCATGACAAGCTCTTCTTTTCTCTTCTACCAACCTTGGCACTAGGTAGTCTGGAGACCGTCTTTTCTAGGCTTGAATAACTTTCCAGTGTCTTCTAGTTTCTCGAAACTAGAACCTAGAACCCAATTTAGGGTTTGATTTCAACTTCTCTCATCATGCAGATACGAGAACCTTGTGCTATGTTATGAAATGCTGTGTGCTTCTCTTCTTTTCTCCTCCCTGCCCGTACCCTGTCATCTTGTGTTACCACCACCGGGTCTGATTTAATTCGTCACTTCGGGTCTGAAATGGGATAGCTGCATAAGATAGTTACACACACATTCCACCGGTTACTGCCGTTGCCCCGGGATTTAGAGGAGACCATGTACTGTATCTACCGAGGTCTGCATAGATACAGTGCTTAGCGCGGTTAGATGCATGGCATACGTATTTGTACAGCGTGATGTGGTGTAGTGAACATGATATGCGGTGATAGTTTCAGATTAAGCATCTATAGAAGAGATTGTCTCTCCTCTCTTTCTTCAAGATAACATGCAATGGTGGAATGCCACCTGTTATATCTCTATGATAACTGTAACTCCACGGCTCGTTTGTCTTGCTGCATGAGTGGCAATACCAAGCTAAACTCCTATATACAATCCCTAACTGTAGGAAGTCATAACTGCTAGGAACAAAGCCAGTAATATACCCTCCGGCGTTGAACACCTTTTTGCTTCCCCTCAAATAACCTCGTCAGGAGAAAGGGACAGATTCGGACATCCCTGTAGTCACAAGTATTCTGCAACCCAGAATCAGCAACCACTGCAAGAGGAAGAGAGCAAGATACCATACCTTAGACTTCCGTCCCCCACCAACCAAACCGATCCGCAGCTCCTGTATAAAACACAGTAAAGAAAATAATCAACGCCGCCAACGAAACCGACGAATCCAACGCACTACTAAGAACATAGTTATAACTTCGCCACCAAGCATTATACCTGCGACGAACAAACGCCCCAAAGAAAGGCCCAACGATAGCCCAACTCCCATAATTCATGCCCGTCGCGGGAGGGATGTAGTTCAAGCCTCCCAAGAACAACGGCACATTGGCATATCGCCACATGGACCTTGGATAACGGCGTTTTAGAAGAAATATTAAGATGGGAAGAACGCCGCCTAGAATCAGGATATAGAAAAGACTTCTGTACCCTGAACTGCCGGAGAAGAAGCGTCGCGGACTGATCGCTCCCCAGATGATACTGGTGTTGAAATCGGTGCGGGCAAATGGGCATGAGAAGCCGTTTATGGCGTCGGTGGTGCAGATGTTTTTGATGTGGCCTCGAGCCCAGTTTATGACTGCGACTTGGCATATGGCTCCGATGATGATGCCGACACATTAGGTTAGGAAGACTGAGCCTGGGGATATCTGATGTCGTGAATAACCGAATCATTATAGCAATGAAAAGACGGCTGATAGGGTACCCACTCACATCGTAGAAAGTACAGAGTTTCATATCCTGCGAAAAGGAAAGCCCGTTCACGATTGTGGTATAACCGAGTCCAACAAAACAATTGTTTGCGAGAGGCTTGCCCTCCCAAACGAACCCAGCCACAATACGACAAAAGATTTCGACCCCAATCTTGATGTTGGCAGTGGCGAATATCAGAGTCACCTATAGTCCATTAGCGATGCTATCTCTGTCTGAGCAAGCGTTAGAGAAACGCCCGACATGCCGGATAGAAGAAGGTGGCTGCGATCAACAAAGCGAACAAGACTCCATACCAACGCAAGTCCAAATTCCAGAACTCGATCGAAAAGATAGAGAAGAAAAGTCCCAGAGCAAGAGATACAACATACCACCATATGGGGACGTCGTCGGGATTCTGCACTCTCTCCTTCGTGGAACCAATTTCTCTCAAGAACATCGCACGGCCATATTCCCAAGCATTCCCCACTGCAGATGAAAGCACATCGTTATGCTCAAGGGCCACCCAAACAATAAGCGAAGCTAGTGTTGCAATTGCTAATGCACAGGTATTCAGAGCATATGTAATAGGCATATAGACCTAATTCCGAGAAAATAACATCAGTATGCAAGCTTGATGGATGCTTTCAGAGACCCAAAGCCAACGCCAAGAGGTGAGTTTTTTTTCTTACAGGCGAATAATTCTCGTACTTCGCAACGTCTAATTGGAAGCCAGTTCCCTCACCCAGGATCCTCGACACACTATAAACGCCTCCTGTGTTATCATAAACTAGCAGGATTGTCAGTACAATAATCAGCGACTCGAGCGGGCTGTGAAGCATACTATCGAAGCTTTGAAAGGGAAGGTATCCTGCGTTCCACACATTCATGTAGTAGCACGCCGGGGTGACTAAGTATACCCAAAAGACAAGTGCCACGGCGACATTCGCAATTGCCCAGGAGGGTACAGGCAATGGGGACGAGACGTAGGCAATCTGACTCCCTGCGCAATCAAATTTTCATCACCTATATAGATCGCTATAGATATGGGGAGGGATACTTACAGTCAAGAGTGAGCGGTAGAAGTCCCATACACGATGAAACCCGAACACCTGATTGACCACACGATTGAAGGGGTTGATCCAACAAGGAAAGCTAAAGTAACTCAATGCCGGGAACAGGAAATCAGGCAACCAGTACCAGAAGAATGATGCTGTGAAGACAACGCAGAAGAACGCGAAGCCCGAGATCTTCCAACTGGAGGAGCTGCATGACGGTTGGTTTAGTACAATCGCGTTGCCTAGACCGGTTTGCGTAGAACATACCTCGATGTTTTAAGCCCTCCATGCCAATGCAAAACACTTGTCTGTGCGGTAATACCGAGTAGCCCGGGCCATATGATACTTTTAGGCTTTACCAGAGCTGATCGAGTAAACCCCGAAAAAGCAAATCCGATAAGGAACAGAGCAAGAATCATCATGATTTCGAACCCCCAGCCGGTCTCCTTCTTAAAGAACTTCTTTTTCTCTATGAGGAGATCAACCGTTAACCGAGAACAAGAAACTGATATTAGCCGATGAATATCAGTGTGTGCTCCTACTGCACTGTCAGCTTCCGTCGACCCCAGCTTGAACAGCCATCAAACCTTCTTGTTGAACGGATGAGGGTTGAGAGGGATGCTCCATCTTCCAATTTTGACAATGTAATTCGGAACACAAGAGTCCCAGAGACGACCGACAGGAAAAGCCAGTAACTGAGCTGTTGACTTGGCAATACTGATAGATGGGTTCAGTAGCTCAAAAATTGTATTCAAAGCGCAGCCAACGATGGAGAAAATGACACCAATGACCCACATTCTGAGAGTCAGAGCATACTGATCAGCTTCGTCCTCATTGCTGTCGATATGGGCGGCGGCGAGTTCTTCTTCGAAGTCATCTTCGTTGGCTGGTACTCATGTGGTTTGTTTGTATTCTGAGCGGACAATCCATGCAATGGAGGGAGTGAAGGTATGAGGTGCGAACCAGGCTCTCTTTTGACTGCTACTGCTGTACTTGTTTTCATGTCCATGTTGAAGGGAATTATGTTCCGAAATCTGAAGAAGAATATTTTCCAAGAAAGAAAGTTTGATCTGATAAGATTGAGAGAAATTTATATCCGATGTAACGCATTTCTCCGATAGGGGTATGGATGCAAGAACGTATCCACCACAAAGCTCTTTCCCGGTCTGTGTCTGAAAGGAGTAAGTCGGTTAGATTGGTCCCTACTCCGAAGCATTGTCTCTGGTCATCATGCTGATAAAATGACAAAAGATGGCTCTATTCCCCAATGGCCGTCTCGTCTGAAGAGTATCAATCAAAGCGGTTTGATCAGATAGACATCCAGGACAACTCTGAACGAGCCCCAACACTCATTGAAGGAAGAGAATTTAATAATAGGAGGTAGGAGCTACCCAGAGTTGGTGATTACTGTGCCTAATACTGAAAGCCAAGAGAATGAAGACGTGCAAATAACGGCCCCATTGCTAAGAAAAATACCTCAAAACCCCGAAACCCCTCACACAGACACCCACTAGACGGACATATACCTTGTTTAGGTTAGAAAAAAAGGTTATCTGATCGAGGATGCTCCGTTGTTCACGTCCTACTTGACATACGATATCGGGGTAGAACTCGGAGAAATCGGACGATCGGAAATACGATCGGAGTGTATTCAAAATGCGCCATTGCCAGGTCCCGGGGAACATGGACTATGGGTCATGAACTCGGACTTGCAGGTCTAGTTTGCATGAGAAAGTGGAACTCCGATTCTTAAGGGGAGAGGGGTAATAGATATAGAGGAGAAGCTACTAGGAGTGATTACAAAGACAGAGCGTGCGTCATACAGTACAAGGAGACCTGAAGTGTCCTGATAGAGACTCCTAGGCCTAGGCTTTCTGTTAGAAGTATTGAGTCGTAAAGAATCTCCAGCTCATACTGGCATGAAATGAAGGAACAAGGTAAATTGTATGTAAGTCGACGTGTCGGTCTCATGCTGTCTGTAATGCCTCCCTGTATTCCGGACAAGCAGGCTGATTTGGCACATCGTATGATCTTATTAATCATGTTAATGAATTTGCAGACGGGGTTTTAACTCAGAAGACCCAAACAAAAGGAAATAAGTATCTCAGCTCAATATTGGAGTTGATTGATAAAACCCGAACAACAGTAGAAGGGTGTGGGTCAGGTTCAGAGATCGCCTCGGAGATGAGTGCGGTGGCGTCGGAGAAGATAGATCTTCGAAATCAGGTTATTGTTCTATAGGACTAGACATGGAATGTATCTTCGTTTATAACAAAATACGAGTAGCTAAATGCGACGGCTCACTTTTGCATGGGATACATGGCATTTACATCCAACTTGCTTCTTCAACTATTCCATATGTTCACATTGCCGAAATCCTCCCTTGAGTACAACACTCTACCTTGCTATCTTGCCAGAAATATCAAAACATGCACCCCCAAACCTAAGGAGACCTGGTAGGAGTGGAAAATGCCAAAGACGAGGACGAGGACGACGAGACAGGACCACCCGGGCTTCCGGGCCAGAGTTTCCCCCAGAAATTCGGATCATTCCAAGAATAATCTGGTCCCGTACAATACGTCAGGCCCTCTACGAGACTTCCATCGCAGTCATCTGGGGACGGAGAAGGGTTGACCTCCAAGAATAACTCTGCGGGGATGCGATCATCCATACATATAGTGAGACATGTCTCTTCAGCAGTGACAGTGTGCCACCGTCCGCAGAACCAGGTGGACCCCTCGGCGACAGTGGCGTTTTTCGGCGGGTCTACAAGCACCTGAGTATAGCCTGTACTCAGAGGGCCAGATGATGTTGAACCGCTGACGAAATCATCGTCATTGTATGTGCCTGCCTGAGGAGAAAGACATATGACGCTGCCGATGATCGGTCTAGTGGATTGGAGGTTGTAGCATTCGGCATCAAACCAGGGATTAAACTTGCGCACGCTGCCGTACTAGATGTCCAGTCCCGAGTCCATCTGGATGGACCAGCATGTGTCGTTGTCCTGTAGAGTGTATATGTTCTCGCAGCTCAACGGGATACAGATTTCTCAACCGGCGATGAAACGGGAACAGTCATTGATAAGGTCTGAGTTTCCATCCATGATAGCGACCGACGCAACATTGTACTTGAGCGCGATTTTATCGCACGTGTCGTTATTCTGTATGGTGTATGTCACCTCCGACAAGCACATCGGCTTCAGCGTGGGAGGAACATTGACCAGGGGCTCTGACGACTCGGTTGGGCCACTCACTCCGCATTGAGTGCGAATAGTTTTTAGGTTCTCCTGTGCTCGTACATCGGGCCAAGCACTACTTAGCATTATGCCTCTTAGCGCGTTAAACAGCGTTAAAGTATATGAAGGACCCCAGCCCTAGGGAGCTTTACAAGGCTATGGCTCGGATCGACCAATATGCCAAGAGCTGCAGTGTTTCAATAGTTTGAAACCAATCTTCGTGATAGGCGAAACAATATAGACCGGGTGATTTTCTACGCGAGCATGATACTAACTCATTTCCGCCGCAGGTAGCTTGCAGTAGCTAGCGCATTCGCTAAGGCAAACATCGCCAGTCACGGATTCCTGTCAGCCGAGAATACTGTACCTATCTCGGCGCAACTGTATCAAACCTGTAATGGGGTCATCGAAGGTACTGTGAATGACCAGGGTGCTGGTTTTACATTGGGCTATCCATCCGGCACCCTAGGAATCATGAGCTCTCTGGTCCTTTTAAGGGCCCTTCCTAGACGCCCATAGCAACCTGACAGAAATCCGAAATGTGATGGACTTGCTATGGCGCAACAGTATCAGTCCAGGTAAGGTAGTTCTTGGACTACCCTTTCACGGAAGAGTCTTCACCATGGCCAATGCCAATTGTAAGAAACCTGGCAGCAAATTCGCTTCTGCTGGCAACCCCGGAAAATGCAGCAGGGAGTCGGGAATTCTCATGAATAGCGAACTTGATGATATCCGCGCACACAAGAAGATTCAACCCACCTTGGATAAGGAGGCCGCCGTACAAGTCCTGACATGGGGTAATCAATGGGTCACGTACGATGATGAGAAGAAATTGAAGTCAAGGTTGGAATTTGCACGCACCACCTGTTTGGGCGGGGTCATGGTCTGGGCTGTGAGCCACTACACATATGACGGGAAGTACTCCAATTCATTAGCAGGTATTACACCGCATCCGCTTGTCATGCCCGGAAAGGCAGATGACACTCACGTAACGACACCCGAGCATAGTCCGCAATGCAGGTGGACCAACTGTGGTCAAACATGCCCAGATGGCTTGGCTTCCGTCTGGCGGTCAGACCCGGGATTTCGGAAGGGCGAGCTGATGTTGGATTCAACCGGCTGTGATGTCGGAGTTCACACGTTATGTTGCCCGCGAGAATATGCGCCCCAATGTGGATGGTATGGCCACAACAACGGCAAGTGCTCTAATGGATGCCCTAGCGGTATATTCGAAATTGGCTCCCAGTCCTATGACTGCAACATTAAGGACTACCAGACAGCGTGCTGCACAGAAAACCGTGATAGTGTTCGACTGTACTGGCAAATTCTTGGATGGTCAGCGTACCCCAAGTGTGAAGATGGGGGCTGTCCATGGGGTGATGAAAGAATGACCGAAACTCTAGTAAAATCTGATCATGGCAAATCACGGAGACGTGGCTTATGCCCTGGCAAAGGTGAGCCCGAAATTTTCACGAACACGTCTCAATACAGAAGAAGTACTCATCAATACAGATTCGATCATTTGCGGTTTTCGTCAATGCAAGCCCCCAACGATGAGATGCATTTTTATGTCTTCAATCGGGCACTGCCCGGCTATTTCCGTTGCCCGATGTTCAAACCCGCTGAAATTCCACCTTATTGATGCTTCGCCGTGCGCGTCGGCTAAGAAATATCATCGACAAATACTGCCGTGATCATGAATACTCCCAGTTCAAGATGACCGATATTGAATGGCGGCAGGTTGACTATCTACCAACAGCTTCAGATGAAAAACATTGAACTTCAAGCACTATCCTTAAACCTGACTAGCCCCCCAATCACGCTTTGATAGAAGCTCCCATCCGGCCCAAGGGCACCAGGTTGATAATCATCATTGTAAGTCCCGCCTGCACCGGCTCGCGCCCTCCAGACTTCTTCGCCGGTTTCCCAACGAAATGCAACAGCATACCACTCAAACAGGCCTTCCAGAGATGAAGACACTGATTGAGTATAGCCATAGACAAGCCCATTCTGGGCGGAAAGAATTGGAACAGACTGCATCCTAATATCATTTTCCCAAGCGATTTTGCAGGAGGTACCGTCAGAAGTGATGTTGACACGGACCACTCCTGGAGCCATTACTGTAAGGTTGTTGAAATCACCATCTAGGCCCGAGTCCACGTAATACAATGTTGGAGCATTGAAGTCGTTGCAAAGCATCACGCCATAAATATCACCGTCATCATGTACTAGAGGTGAAATGTCGACATTGCTCAATCCGGATCCATAAAGGGACACTGCAAACAGTCTGGGAAGAAGCGCCCCTCGCTGCCTGGTGATAAATGGATAGACTGACTTGGCCATTTGCATTATCCGTAATTGCCACATACTGATCCCCTAGAAGTGCTGGAGTTGCACCAGAGCCCCGTGCGAATGCGCCTGGCTTTTTGGTATCACCAGCACTATATGGAATGGCCCAAAGAGTTCTGATGGATGTCCCAGGTCCTGGAGCAAGGGAATAGAGAGTGCCTGTCGCATCTTGATGATCGTTGGCGCCGGATGGCCCTGTGATTATGTAGACAGTGGTTCCAGTTACAGCGATGCCATTTTCAACCATTTCATTTGATAAATGGAGGACATGTAGGATCCCCGTGGGCTCAATGTATCCAATCGTGGTTGAATTCTGTGCAGGATCCCCATGTCCGCCTTCGTCCTGAGATCGCAACCCGCCACTGGTAAACCACAAATTGTCTTGGGTGTCATACATCGCATTGAGAAGCAGCTCATCACAACCCAAGACAGATGTCAAGTTGAAAGTTTGGAGTAAAGCAAGACTTGGTGAGCCGTTGGAGTCTGAGAGTTGAACCACATAAATCTGGCCCTCCTTGGATGTTACCACAATTTGATCCTTGTCTAGAAGTAGCCCCATGTATGCCACATTCAAGGTCTGACCGTCCGTTTCGGGGTACCAGGTATACTGGATCCTCAATGTATCATCATCCACCGCAGCCAAGCCCCATTTCAGGCCTGCAGGTCCGATGCTTGTGTAGCCGGCAACCATCTGACCACTTTTGCTCCAAAGTAAGATGTGTAGACTTTCCAGGGCACTGGAAACCTCCAGATTGACACCCAGTGGGCCACGTTGATTGGAAATCCCAGTATTACCGCCATCTTGATGCATGTTAAATGTTTGAGGGCTGTAAACTTGTTTCGGGCTGAGTGGTTTCGCTTCCACTGCGGTTCCGATAAATTTTTCCCCCACTGGATTCTGGAGACTTGGGATCGGTAAAACCAACTTTTGATGAAAGGCCGCAATTAGTAAGAGTGAGTCGAGGTCTGAGGTCTGCTACCTACATTCTGTTGGTCGCTGGCGGTAGATCTCCCATTGGTGAACATTACGGGAAGTGCTGTTGCAAACAATACATGGACTACCCATTTGCAGTACATTTTGACAAGAATCTACGAATTGATGAGATATCGCAGGCTGCCGCCCAACCCGAGTGAGGCCTACTACTGCTTTATACCAAAAGGATGTCAAATGTAAGGGTAGGCAGAATATCACTGACCCTTGCGCCTTGGCCCATGACAACTTGGCCAATGTGAGGCTTGCCAGCCACTTTACCAGTGAGCCACATGTGGAGACAAACATGAATATTACATGTAGTTGTGATCGCCTACCCAAATCCTTCATCCAAATTCGTTACGTCCTTTCTATTCTTAAACTTCTTAAGGTGTTAAGGTCAAACAACCTTCTTACATTTCCTACGAACATATTAACATTGTAACGATGGTTATCATCTGGGACATTCTTGCGTTCATTACACCCTTAATTCTTGCGAAGCTAGATCATAATTCAGAAGCACTAGCGGAAAGAAGTGGTACTGTTCTCCATTATATTTGACTCCAAGTTTACTTTATAGCTTTCTACTTTACCCATTGAATTAAATGTGCAACCTTACTGCAAAATCTTCTAGAAAGCAACACTCACAGTAACAGTTCATATTGGTCTGAGGGCTTCAAATACCGGTGTTGCCGAGGAAACGTTGGTAAAAAAAAAAGTGCCAATGCTTCGTTACATAGAAGGCACGTCTTCAAGGGATAAGATATGCTCTTTATATGGTGTTTCGGGGTTGGGCGGTTCGCATGTAAATTACGTTAATGACAATATGATATAGCACTGATTAATATGTGTTACATAGGGTGTAATTCATAAATCTTTGATTGGAGAACCATAATGAGGACTAAACGAAATATTATATGCATAGACTGTAAGTCCTGATAGATGAAAAGATAAGGACAAATTGGAAACAAAACTCACGTAGATCGTTTTAGATGGTGACTGGGAACGAAAAAGAATGACTTAGTATAGTAGTGGAAGATGAACGATATCCGTAGTCGGTAGAGACGGCAGTTGAATTACTGCGGATGATGCTAATATAGGGGGTTAGTCACGACGTAGATATGAAGCAAGTTAACAAGGACATAGAACTAACTGGGATGTAACATGCAGGATGTAAGTGACGATGATTGAATCAAGAACAATGGCCACGTTGTGAGACTGACCAAAGTTTTATAAAGATAGGATATGAGTAATGAGGAAAGTACCGAGGGGTGTGTTAAAAAATGTAAAGATGTTCGCTCATTTCTCTCCTGTTGTAATTACCGGAACCACAACTTCAATGAACCGACCCGCATCAAAAAGGTAGAGGATGATCATCACCCATAGGGCAGTCCATAGAATTCCCAGCAATCGCTGGCACTCTCCATTTACCAAGGCCCAAATCCTACTTGCCGTTTCCTTCCCTGTATTCCCATTTGGAAAGGGTTCGCCTCGAGGGATGGGACATCCGAGAAATTTGCATAACGGCTCCCAACCTTCCTGGACACGATATTCTAACAAATTTTCTTGCGACACCATTTCCCTTACCATTTTATAATGGGCGTGATACACGGAAATTCCATGGCGCTTGAAGTCCCCGCGGAAATAATCCGTGAAGGCGCGGATAAACATTTTACGGGTGAATCGATTGGGGCTGTGGGTGAGGGTGGCGAGGGTATCGATGACCGAGGACCACGGATGAAAGACATTGTTGAGAAGGGTGGCTTGAACAGACCTTTTTATACGCCAGTCATTAATGGCCATTTCAACCCTACAAGGGGCGGCGGACTTACCGGTGCCATTCTTCGGCATCGCGGTTCGTAAGAACTACTTTCGCTTCTGGGTACGCTTCAATGAGCTCCTTTGCGAAGACTGCGGCGGGAATATCGGTAACGGCCTATTTCTTAGTATTATGATTGTCTCTGCCTGAACGCAACGTACTTGACAATGACCGAGAAGTTGATCCCATTCTGCGCGACCAAATGGTTTTCCAACAGCATCCCATTTAGCAGCCATTGCGTCAAGCCACATTTCACAGTCGCGGGGATTCTCCGTCGCTGCGGTGTATCCATGATATGTATCGCAATAGCCTAGTCGAAGCAAGGCTTTCTTCATTGCTAGTCATTGCTGTCAGAATAAGCGAATCTCAAAAGTGCAGTTGGCAACATACAATCTGTACCGGTCCGGCTCATGCCGAGAACGAGTACCTTCATCGGTACCGTGCGCCGACATGTTCTCCGATCAATATGGGTTGGATATTTGGTCTGCATCCTTGATCTCAAGGCGCTCCGGATCTAAGGAGGATGGGAGAAAGCAAATAGAAGCTAGTTGAAATGAGCACGTATCGCTGTGGACAGTTTCCTTAGCTATGGCAACTTCAACATGTTTGTTATTATCCAGAACAATGAATGGGGACTGGAAGCATTGGAAGAAGCAGACAGGACAGGAGAAGGATAGCTGGGAGGGTAGCCTAAGCGGACTCTTAGCTTAGGCTGCACCCACCCTGCTCCAATAACACAAGGAGAGCACTCACCAGAGGCTCGAAGGCCCTGCGCATGCAGGCGGCTTGGGGCGAGGAAAAGGATTAGAATGATCATGGAAGGGGGCATGCCCCAGGAACACATAGGGACAAGAGGCAGCGAGCTGCTGGCCTCGAGTTCATGGAATATGGTCTGTCATAGCTTTAGGGCTCGATATGGACAATAAACTTGATTAAATAATAATATTATCCAGAACATTTTTCTTCTTCGGGTGATCAGTAAAGTCTATTTTAAATAACAAGAATGCAAGTGTATAAAGGGTGAGATAGCTGAGTACGATCATCGGTAGCGATCGATAGCTTGTCATGTGCATCGTGAAAAAGGGCGATCGACCATCTTTGATCGGCCGATTCTAGTCCGAGATCTGGCATTTTTGGAAGAATTATAGCTCCACGTACGAAGGCGTAATATTTTCAATCTTATACGACTTGATCCCGAGAAATGTGCCCCAAATGTGGATATTCAAAGCGTCGATCGAGGTTGAGGGATCACATTCATCATACTCCGTATTTTCTACCGAGGGAGTCAAAGTAAGCCGCAGGTATAACTAACGTAAGAGTATAAAAATATAAATAATATAATCTAAGCCAAAACCCAAACCAAATCATGGTAGGAGTAAATCTAGGACCAGGCTTGACTACTTCACAAGATCTAATCTTACAATCCTACCCCCTCTTCCTCCCTTATTCGTGCCGTCGCCCTGAAATATGGTAGTGGCTGACATCCAGTCCATCGATCTTCTTCCCTTGACACAGAGCAAGTTAGGATGGGGACGTCGGGGTTCTGCCTCATGGCAACGTGGCATCGTCGCTGCATTTTTTATGCTAGCATGTCCGGTCATAGTCGTCCTACCGTGGGTCGCACTTGAACATTTTGAAAATTCAATTGTGTCTACGATTTCCGCATTACTTCGGCAGGGTCCCGTGGACTTCCTATGTGCGTACTATCCGCAACTTAGATCTGACGTGTTCTTGGCCTATCTGGGATGGGTAATCTTCCAAGGGATACTATATAGTACTCTTACCGGGAATGGCTTGCACCGAGGCCAGAAAACCCCATCGGGACACGTATTAGAATACAAAGTGAATGGGTTCGCAGCATGGACATTGTCCGTGACAATAGCGATTGGATGTACGTGGATGAAGGTGTTTGACTTGGCCATTATCGCCAAACAATGGGGCGCTCTCATAGCCACCCTGAATGCCTACGGGCTTGTGTTAGCAGTTGTGTTCTATATCAAGGCTCATATATACCCGACCCATGAGGGAGATCGGCGATTCAGCGGCTCCTTTTTCTACGACCTCTACATGGGCATCGAGCTGAATCCCCGTCTCTTTAGCCAGTACTGGGATGTGAAGCTCTTTCATAACGGACGACCAGGTATCATAGGATGGGCGCTGATGTCAGTATTTTTCTCCCAATACCTGGACAAGACAGAAAGAGGCACTAACTGGGTTTTTCTTAACTAAAGTGACCTTTCATTCATTGCGCAACAGTACCAAAAGCATGGCATCATCACACACTCCATTATAATCACATTTATCCTCCACGTCCTGTACATCGCCGACTTTTTCTACCACGAGGACTGGTACCTCCGGACTATTGATATCGCCCATGACCACTTTGGCTTCTATCTTGCCTGGGGATCCGCTGCCTTCCTACCGTCCATGTATACACTTCAAACACAGTTCCTCGCACGGTCTCCGCTTGAACTGCACCCTGCTTTAGCAGCTTTGGTTCTTGCAGTCGGAATCGGAGGATACTACATATTCCGCTCCGCAAACAACCAGAAGGACAATGTACGAAAGTTGGGGGGCAAATGGCAAGACTCCGAAGTGATCGAATGCTCGTACACTACCGCGGATGGGATAAAGCACCATTCGGTTCTTTTGTGTTCAGGTGTGTCACCCCTAGATAATTCTGGCAATTGTTTTAGCAATGTGACTAATCTAGATCACGAAACAGGGTGGTGGGGGTTTTCGCGACATCCAAACTACTTGGGCGACTTGCTGCTCTCGTATGCCATGTGCGCCACCTGTGGTTTGAATCATCTTTTGCCATGGTCATACGCGATTTTCATGACAACGATTCTGACACATCGTTGTCTGCGTGATGAGGCAAAGTGCGCGGAGAAGTACGGCGAGTACTGGGAGGCATACTCTGAGAGAGTGCCATGGAGGTTGCTGCCAGGGGTTTGGTGATGGCGTTTGGCGATGGGATTTGATGAACAAAATCCAACCTATGAAGCAACGGGAAACGAGAGGAAAGATTTATTCTCCGAGGCTACTTTCATGTACAGTAGAATTCGAAAACAGTTTACCTCTCGGGACACACTGTTTCTTGGCTCATACCCGAGACGGGATTTACCTTAATCTGGCCTAGCCATAAACAACACCGGATCATATCTTACCACTTATCCATATAGGAAGCATACCCGTTTCGGGTACGAGTAAATTGTTTTCGAATTCTACTGTAAGGGGTTCAGGGGTATGTTCAGATACTGTACGTACATGAAATTCATCATGTGGTCTAAATGAGAAGCATAAAAATCGAAAGGGTTGGAAAAGGCAATGTGTAAGGAGCATAGGGCGGCGCTTATCCATAGCTCGCCAAGGCAGCAGCTACAGAATTGGTAGAGATCTGAGACTTGTGGAACCAAATAGGGATCCAAAATGGACCACAATTAGGAGTACAGGTCAATTCAAGAGAACACTAGCGAATTGTAGCCGGTGGCTTGAGATCCTGCAACTCAACCATAGTGGATTTTGAGGCATCGAAGTCCACACTATACTGACCCACATTTCAACCAAATTCTCAATATTACAGTGATACTATTGGCATTGGTGATCCATTCATTTGTTGTTATTGTTATTCTACATTCCGCGATCACCGATTATGGCCGACCGAAGCAGAGTATAGAGGAAAGATACTCCTCCTGGATATTGATATATCCCTCTTTCCACTGTGTATCATTATGAGGGAGCGCAGAAAGCGATAGGAAAATGATCCAGTTTGCAACCAGGACCGACCGGTTTGTCCTGCTTTTGGCCACAGTCGCGGCTGCTGTGGCGGGAGCTGCACTGTCGGCTGTCTCCGTAAGTTGTGTACCACTGTCTTGGATAATTTTGTCGCTACTGAATTGATAAAATAACAGGTCATAGTTGGTGCATTTACTCAGCACTTCAGTGACTTTCTCGGAGCGAAGGGGTCCGCGGAAGACCTTGTCCACAGTACCCGGCACTTGGCCCTATATTTTATATACCTTGGTATGGCCTGCAATTAAGCCTCTGCACACTCAAGTTGACTTTGTAAGGGCTCATCTCATTTGTCGGGTTATCACTCAGCACACTCGGGTTTACCCGTGTCGCTGAGTCCAGCACTTACCGTCTCCGGAGGGCATACCTGTCATCCCTCCTGAGGCAAGATGTTGCGTACTTTGAGTCTACTGGCCCTGGGGAGGTAGTCTCGCGTGTCACTACCGATATGAGTCTCATTATCGACACTTTGTCTAACAAAATGTGTCTGCTGTTAACTGGCCTCTTCGCTTTCGTGACTTCGCTGATCATCGCGCTCTCTTCTAACTGGCGCCTGGCCCTGGTTCTTATCTGCATGCCCGCTACTATGATTGTGATTATGGGAACACTGGGCTCATACATGAATAAGATGCAGCAAAAGACTGCAAGCGAATATGCGAAATCCGCCAATTTTGCCGAGGATGTCTTTTCCTGTGCTCGCAGCGTGATGGCAGATGGGGCACAAAGGCGGTTGGAGAGTCGATATGAGAAGATTCTCATACCTGCACTGAAGGCAGATCTGCGGGGTAAGGGAGCTATGGCGATGATGGTTGCTATCGTGATGATGGTGATCCTTTGGGGCTACGGACTTGCTGTCAGTGAATTGCCCCTATGATTGACCGACGGCGGCCTAACATGAAAGATGACAGTTCTGGCAAGGAAATAGATTCCTACAGAACGGCGATGCCACCTTAGGCGAAATTGTGACGGTTTTGCTGACATGTACGATGGCTGGTGTAGTTTTGGGTCAATCGGCACCATTTGCTGCTTCAGTCATGCAAGCAAAGGCGATCTCCGCCGAAATATATGCCACTATCGAGCAGGTATCTCCGATTGATCCTCTATCAACATCTGGAGAGACTCTGGGATCTGTCACTGGGGATATTGAATTTCGCAAGGTCAAATTCGCATACCCCTCTAGACATACGAATATCGTTTTGAACGAATTTACCATGAGGATCAAACCCGGAAAGTCAACCGCGGTTGTTGGTCCATCAGGAGCTGGCAAATCAACCCTGATTGCCCTTGTGGAAAGGTTATACGATCCATTAGATGGGAATATTCTACTTGATGGACGACCCATCGACCAGCTAAACCTCCGTTGGATGCGATCTCAAATTGGGCTTGTGCCACAAGAACCTTTTTTATTCAATGCCTCAATATACGATAACATATTATACGGGCTAGGCGCGGAGGCGGAAAAGGTAAGCTATTGGTCTTTACTGCTCTGCCCGACTTACGCTAATTATTTTGTAGTTTTCTACAGAGACAATCACAGAAAAGGTGTATGAGGCGGCCAAACTTGCGAATATACATACCTTCATTCTGAATCTCCCTAGGGGATATTCAACTAGAGTCGGCCAAGGTGGCAACCTTCTCTCGGGTGGCCAGCGCCAAAGAATTGCTATTGCAAGAGCCGTCATCTCTAACCCACGCATCTTGCTACTTGATGAAGCCACATCAGCATTGGACACGAAGAACGAGCATGATGTTCAGCAGGCTCTTCGGGCAGTCTCCAAAGGACGAACCACGCTCATTATTGCACATCGTTTATCCACAATTCAGAGAGCCGACAACATTGTTTTCATGGACCACGGAAAACTCATCGAACAAGGAACACACGAGGAACTAATGTCTCAACAATCGGTGTATTCAAAAATGGTTCAAGCACAAGAGATCGGAAATGCCCCTCTGTCCTACCATTCCAAAAAGAAGTCATTCCATGTGGAGAGGGCATTGCAGAAGGCAGAATCTTCTGCATTGGATACGGCCTTTCTTAGCCCGCCTGCAAAACCATCAACATGGACACATTTCAAGCTGGTCTGGCACCTCAACCAACCCGAGAAAGGCTTAATGCTCCTTGGTATAGCTGCCAGCGTATTCGCAGGTTCCGGCTACCCGATTCAAGCCATCTTCTTTGGCAATGCCGTCGTGTCTATTATCTCTCCAGACCTCAGCACGGATAGTCATCCTTCTAAATTCTGGGCACTCATGTACTTTGTCCTCGGAATCGCCCAGCTAATAGTTTGCGCCTTACAGGGGGGGTGCTTTGCCGTCGCCAGTGCCCGGCTTGCTTACCGCACCCGCACCAGGGCTTTTGCCTCCCTTATCAACCAAGACATGGCTTTCTTTAATCAAGTAGAAATATCTTCCGGTTCTCTGGCTGCCTTCCTATCAACCGACGCTAGCAAATTGGCAGGTGTCAGCGGAACTACTTTGGGCGCAATTCTGAACAGTGTCATGACCCTCATAACTGCCATTGCGGTGTCTTGCTCATTCGGATGGAGACTGGCTCTGGTAGCTACATCCACCATCCCAGTTTTGCTTACGTGCGGGTTCTTACGCTTCTGGGTGATATCATGGGCCGAGTCCCGCACGAAGCGATCCACTGATGCTGCGGGTATGGCATGTGAGGCTATTTCAGCAATAACAACAGTCGCCGCCTTGGGGATTGAGGAGACCGTTATGAACCTTTATTGCGAGAAGCTCCGAGCCGAAAAACCTCAGACGCTCCGTTTTTGTCTCGGATCCAGCATCTTGTATGCTGCAAGCCAGTCCCTCGTTTTTTGGGTGACGGGCTTTCTCTTCTGGTACGGCGGTACCAAACTGGTTGCATCCGGCGAGTATACTGTCCAGCAATTCTTCATCTGTTTCACAGCCATTGTCTGGAGCTCCCAAGCTGCGGGTATGGTGTTTTCGTATGCTCCAGATATCTCAGGAGCCCGAGACGCGGCCGCGCAGCTGGCCGATCTTCTTTCCAGTCAACCTGATATCGACGCGAGTTCCCAAGGTGGTAGTGCAGCCGAAAACGCCTCAACTGATGTGGTATTCTCCTCGGTAGAATCTGAATTCCCTTCCGCTCGTGACTCCTCGGTGGTTCTACACGACATTAATTTCGTTGCCGACAGTGGCAAGTTTACTGCCATCGTCGGCCCCAGCGGTAGTGGGAAGAGCACCATGTTGAGCTTGATTGAACGTTTCTATGATCCTATTCGGGGTACCGTAATTGTCGGCGGCGTGGATATCCGCCGGTATAATCTAGCTGATCTGAGAAGGCAGATTTCCTTTGTAGGCCAAGATTCCTGGATGACAGGCGGGACCATACGTGACTGCCTGCTTAGCGAGGAACAAGATTTATCAGAGGATGAGATTGTTGCTGCATGTCGAGATGCTAACATCTACGACTTTATTGTGAGAGACGAGACTCTTGCAAGCATCCAACATTCACTAATTCATGCTCAGATCTCTCTCCCTGCTGGTTTTAACACCCCCGTCGGTGGCAAAGGAAATCAGCTATCTGGCGGCCAGAGACAGAAAATCGCCATTGTGAGAGGACTATTGAGGAAGCCCAGGATACTGTAAGTTCCTCGCCAGCCTCTGAATCAGACTTAAAAACAATCACTTACTCTTTCAAAGTCTTCTTGATGAAGCAACCTCTGCCCTTGATTCGGTATCCGAAAGACAGGTCCGGACTGCTCTCTACAAAGTCGCGGAAGGGCGGACAACAATTGCTGTTACTCACCACCTGGCTTCAATTGTACATGCGGATTGCGTATACGTCATGGACCAAGGAAGGATCGTTGAACACGGCTGTCATGATGATTTGCTTACTCGGAGAGGCATGTATTGGCGACTTTTCACACTTCAAGATCTTGAAGGCAAATAATGTTTACAGGATGGATCCTAATACCGAAGACCACATGTAGTACTGTAGCCATTGAACGAAACATTTGATTATCAGTTCCAACAACATAGGTCATGTGTTTAATGTAGAAGCAACAGTTTCGCTCGCGATGCGGTGATATGGATCAATGTCCCCAGCCTTACTCGGTGAGCAAAAAGCCGCATGGAGTGATGTGGCCGGAAAAAGGCGAATAATCCGCTTATATCATCGCCTTTCTTGGCCGATTGATTCATTGCATATGTCCCACAGAGATTGTGTTCATAATTATCAATAGTTTGATAGCCTTTGCCTCGATACTTTCAGTCTCAAAGCTAGGTATTCAAACAACTTTAAACAACTTCGCCGACCGAACTCCTTAAAATATTTGTCGACTCGCACTTCGAGCGTATCGTACCTACCCTATTCAGCAATTACAATGAAATTGCTTTCACGAGCTCTTATCTATTTTCTCGCTCTGACACCAGCGGCCTTAGCATGCCAGTGTGGGTAGAATGATAGCCTCGTCTCACATCTTCTCTGGCTCAACTGACTTCTCATCTATTTCAAGCTGATGGAGATCCATGCGACATCAACGCTGATTGCTGCTCTAATCTCTGCGACACGACTGGGGATAATTCCTGCATTGGGGATTAACAGAGATTGTGGGATTACAAAACCACTCAGCAGAATCTGCTGGATTTGAATGAACGAAGCTGTTGATACAAGTATCTAGATCTGAGTATATGGTGTTTCAGTGTCTGATCACGTCATCTGTTTAGGTATGGAACTCTATCCGGGTTCAACACCCCCCGCTCACCCCTTAGAACGAAATTGAAGCAATGAAACATAGTTGTCAAAGCAGCCAAATAGCGGTCACCGTAGGGGTCGGTTGAACACCCACCGCTCGAAGCTCAATGTCTTGGGCGCCACAAAATGTTGCTCCTTGCTACCAGTCCACTATGAATTTGGTAACAATGAATTTAGTGGCTGGCAAGTGTAACTGCAGCCTATGGTGGTCCTCTCACCAGTCCAAAGACTGGGTCGGAGGTAGTGATTACACTTAAAGCTCTACGGGGCAGACACTCTGGGGCACAGTCTTCCTGCTGCCGTCTTGCTTGAATGGTATTCGGATATCAGGCGCCTTACGAATCGAACATTGGGCCATCCTGTTAGCTTCCAGACGTATGGGTATCTGAATGATTAAGTCCATCTAGCTGAATACACAGAAGCCGTAGCATTATTGGTCAAACCCTGTTCTTCAAGCTTCGCTGGAATGACAAGTACTTCCGGTTGCTGCTTCCGCATTTTCTGCGGCATTGGGTTGCGTTGTTTTTCCAGTTAAAGATCTATATTTATGTCAAAGACATCCAGAGCAAAATAGTTTGTTGTTTCCCAGAAGAACGAGAGGCTATAGTGACCTAGCTTTCCATTGATAGGACCCACCAATCCATCTGCTAATATTGATTTTAAAACATAGTACTCTTCAATACAGTAATACAGTACCATGTTGATCGACCTCCACAAGTGCGACCGACCCATTCGCCAAGGAACTCTTCGACAGCGTGCAGCTTCTGAGGCAAACCCTTGGTGCAGTCAAGACGATTGATGCAGAAGAAAAAGCGGTCTGCGAGGATATATATCGTTGGCAGCCAGCACGGGCAAAAATATACCGTACACTGTACCACAGTTATCCAGTCTTCTACAGAAGGTAGCGGACCATCCAAACCACCCCGGGGGCAGTGATGGCGCCTAACAATACGGGCCATGTGGATGGTGAATTTTTTGTGTCTCCAAAGAACGATGAAGCTGTCACCATTTTCACCAGCCTTGGGTTGGAGGAGCAGGATCCTGCAGCTTCGCGTCTTGTATAATGCTTGCCCTGAAGATGCGGGTTGATATGGGTAGACCGAAGGCCGGCGCTATCAATTATAGACCATTTCCTACAGAATGCAGACCCTAGGATTTGGTGATGTCCATACATTAAATTGGAAGCGAGATGCTGAAAATTGGTTATCCAAATATGATATACCGCAGTCTGTAAAGGGACATATCCCGAAATTGTGCATGTGGACCCCGAAGTCTATTTTACCCGGGCCGTCCCTGATGACCCGTAGTGGCTCGCCTTGAGCGGTCAACGTTTTGACTCGTCACATCTGCATTTCCCTTGCACCGTGCGGAGCAGCAAATGCAATTAGCTGTTTGTGCGTCGAGACCACACGAACGCAGCGGATGATGGGAGCAGCAACCAAGGAGAATCTCAGTGTACATATATGACTCCGGAGCCGGCGGCCATTGACTGCGGCCACCAAAGAGGCAAGTCATGACTATCGATAATATCTTATCTACGACTGGCACAGGACGGCTGAGTGACAACGATCGCTTGCAGTTATGCCAATGGAACCAATTCGTCCCGCCAGCTGTGCACCGCTGCGTGCACCAGATGATCCACGAGCGTAGTCTGCTTCAGGCCGATGCGATCGCAGTGTGGGCTTGGGACGGAATCTGGTCCTACCGGCAATTGGACGAAATTTCGACCAAATTTGCACACCTGTTGGTCAACAAGCACAATGTTCAACCGGAGACCTTCATTCTCATATGTGCGGAAAAGTCTCGCTGGACCCCAGTGGCCATGCTGGCCGTCATCAAGGCTGGGGGTGCCTTTGTCTTAGTCGACCCGATCCATCCGCCCCAGAGATTAAAGCAGATGTCGGACCAAGTTGCGGCTCCACTGGCCTTGGAGTCGGCTTCGTGTGTCTCGCTGGCGCCCAACATAGTACCCAAATGGCTCGTCATTGAGGAAGCCTACTCCCGATTAAAAGAGAAGGACCATTCCCTCCCGATGGTCCCAGTCAGCCCGTTCCATGCTCTGTATGTCGTTTTCACCTCCGGGTCTACTGGAAAGCCCAAGGGTGCTGTCATGACACACTCAGGGTACGCATCGAGCGCATGCCATATTTCAGCCCCGATACAACTGAGCCCCGAATCGCGTGTCCTGCAATTCGCGTCATATGCGTTCGATGTTTCCGTTTCCGACCACTTGCTAACCTTGCTGGCCGGCGGCTGCATTTGTATTCCTTCTCCCACCGAGAGAGACCTGGCCACAGCAATAAATAAGATGCAGGTCAATTGGGCCTGTCTTACCCCTTCTGTGGCCCGAACCATTCGGCCAGCACGAGTCCCAGGTCTCCAACACCTGGTGTTGGCTGGAGAAGCTGTCACCCAGATTGACTTGGGCCTATGGGCTCCGACATCTGCTGATTTAATCAACATGTATGGACCCGCCGAACATGCGATTGGCGTCACCGTTCAGGGGGCAATGGGCGCGACAGCAACCCCGGGCTGCATTGGCAAAGCTCATGCTGCCGTATGCTGGATAGTCGACCCCGAAGACCACGATCAGCTGGTTCCCGTGGGAGAGGTGGGTGAGCTGTTGGTCCAGGGCCCTGCCTTGAGTCGAGGTTACATCAACGACCCAGTCCACACAACGGCCGCATTTATCGAGGCACCTAAGTGGCTATCTCGAGGGAACAAGACAGCATCAATGTACAAGACTGGAGACTTGGTGCGCTATATCTCGAATGGAGGTGCTATATCTCGAATGGAGGTTTGGTATATGAGGGTCGAAAGGACATGATGGCCAAAGTGCGAGGCCAACGTGTCGAGCTGGGAGAGGTCGAGCACCATTTGCTCAAGTGCTGCCCAGAAGCTGACGAAGTCATAGCTGAGGTCGTATCAACAAACTCGTCGACCCAGCTTGTAGTCTTTCTCTATGCCCCAAAAATGAATGAGAATACCTCAAAGGCCTCAAGCGATCAGCATCTGTTTCATCCCCCCAGTGCTAAGTTTCAGGAGCAGTCACACAGCATTTTGTCAGCTCTGGAGCAGCTAGTTCCATGCTATATGGTGCCCTCCGCAATTTTCCGCATTACTCATATTCCACTCACCAAGACGGGCAAGACTGATCATCGACTGTTGAAAGAACAGTACCACCAGTTGCTACAGCAGCAATGTAAGATAGATAAACCGGCCCTTAACAAGGCAGTGATTACGCCCCGGGAGGAAAAACTTCAGTGTCTTTGGGCTGAAGTGCTCAATATTCCTCCAGAGTCTATTGGGCGCGACGATGACTGGCTCGCACTGGGCGGAGACTCTCTCATGGCCATGATGCTCGTTTCTCGAGCTCGGGATACTGGACTCATTATGACCATGCATGATGTCTTCCGTCATCTGAGGCTGAGCGACTTAGCCGCCAGTGTCGGCAAAGTTCCCTGCAGCCTCGAGGAAGTGCAGGCTCCATTTTCGCTGTTGCCAGATGCTCCCGACGTGCGGCAGGCCATCCTTCAGACAGCGTCAAAGCGGGGTGGGTCAGAAGTCGAAGATATCTATCCCTGCCTGGAGTTTCAATCGTGGTTCTGTCGGTTGAGCATGACAATGGAGAACAACTGGACCGCAGAGGTGGAAGTCATCCTTTCACCTGAGCTTTCAGAGGAACGCCTGGCTCATGCGTGGATGACCGTGGTACAGGCGCATCCTATGCTGCGGACACATATCGTCTGGCTTAAGGAGAGCGGTCCGTTCTGGCAAGTGGTAAGGAAAGAGGGACTCCCAATGGAAATCGTCACTGCCGACCAGGGGCCACCTCGGAGGAAGAACATCTGGGGATTCAATCAGCCCCTGGCGCGGTTGTACAAGCAGCAAAACACCCTCAGGCTGTTGTTTCACCACACAGGGTGGGATCTACAGGCGATCAGTGTGGTTTTCCAGCAGCTAGGCCGGGCGTACGACGGTCAAACCCTCCCCTTCCGACTTGTGTCGCCGCTTGTCCAATGGGCACTCCGGCCCAGTGATGCTGGAAAGGGGTTCTGGAGACGCCGTCTGGCAGGGCTGCAAGCCCCAGAATTCCCTTCTCTTCCAGCTAAGGATTACGTCCCCCGGGCAACAGCCGTTTCCCAGAACTACCCCGTGCGTCTGTCAAAGCGCTCGGAGCGATTCACTGTTGATAGTCGGCTGCGTTTAGCACTGGCAATTGTTATTTCCAAGGCCACAAACGCGCCCCATGTCCTCTTTGGGGCTGCCGTGGCTCGACGCGGCGCTCCCGTTCCATGTCCTTTGGAGATAGTGGCTCCGTTCACGATCATGCAGCCAGTTCCTGTACGTCTGGATATGAGACATACCCTTCGCGAGGCTCTGCAGGCTGTCCAAGATCACTCCCTCGAAGCCATGAACTACCCAAAGGCCGACCGCACTTTTTTCCGTGGGCTTGGTCCTGAAATCGCCACAACCGCCTGTGACTATCATACCCTCATCGAACTGCAGCCCTCGACGTCCACTTCGGTTCCACATATGTTCGCTGAGCATACATTGCATGACCATGGGGTCTGCAACTTTGCTTTACTTTTGGAGTGTGAATACCTCAACGATTATACTAACGTCGTGGCTAAGTACGATGAGCAAGTCATGTCCGCCTCCCAGGTTAATCGGCTGCTGGAGCAGCTTGTGTACGTGGCTGAGCTTACTGAGAGTGCTGTGGACACTAGTATAGGCTCTATTGTCCTGCCCTGAGCGGCAGTTCTTTTGGGTTAGCCTAATTATTCCAGATCCACCCTTTGTTGTTATTTTGGTCCAATATATATTTTCTTCCTCCGTGTCTACATTCACGATAGGATCTGTTAAAAGATAGCATTTAGAGCAAATATGGATTGGTAACTACGAAGATTCGCGAGCCAATATGAGTAGAAATGCCGGATTGTATAGTGTCTGCCACCAGACGCACTTTGCATGATCATGCACCGTTTTATTACAACAGCTTCATGAATGAGCTTCCGATCTGTTTCCCTTCCGTTCCCTCAAGAGACACCGCAGTCTGTAAGGGCATATGTACAAGCCCGATAACGATGGCCAAATCCCCGTTATTTACCTCAACCAATGTATACATTGAATCAATTTTTGAGGACAGAGATGGCATGATCGAGCATATCTTCGAATGTAAAAGGGCGTACGTTCGAGTAGCAATAAGCTTCAGGTGATGCAAAGAACCGAATGCGTGAGGATCTGTCAAAACGCAGGAATCTGGGTATCACGTAGTCTCTGTACATATTTTGTATGGTATTTTGGGTCTTAACGTGACAGACGAGCTCACGCATGACGATATACACATGTGACACGATCATCATTCCGCCCGAGGCATATAATGCAAGGGGTCGGCATAAAAATATTAGTCCATAAAAGTAAACCTATAACTTGGTGATGTACCGCAAGGTGGATCCTGTAACCGAAATCCCTTTTTAACTTCAAGTGGCTCCTGTTTATGACTAAGACTACAATAGGGTTTTGCCTTTATGTTACGTCTGGAGGTCAATATATATACAAGCACATCGTTCAGACACCTTGGGCATACCGGAGGAGTCAGCGTGTTTTCAATCCTTACAACACCTACCTACCACCCAACAAATTGATATATTCAATGCCAAACGTCGAATTCCAATCATCATATCCATCTTCGTGAACGTCCTCTTCCCCAATTGTCATGGAGAAAGGGAACCCCGAAACAAAGTTCACTTCATTGAGGCCGCTAGGTATGTCTTCTGTTTCCTCTATCGTACGGTCTCTGACGAGCATTAGGGCATGTGGAAAAATACTCGTCGACCCGGAGTCATCTACGAATCTATAACAATGTGGGTCTAACGGCGCGATATAAAAGACCACTTGGAGCAGGCGTCAAATCGGCCCTCTTTCATGCGCTTTCAAGGCTCATCTCCAATCACCCTATATTATCGGCTGTTCCACTAGCTGTCGAAACAGCAAATCCATACTTTGCGCGTCTTCCGAAGATCTCACTTGATGAGGCTGTCACATTTGTACAAAAAGATGTCCACTCTTCCACACCCGATTCGGGAGAGATACTCGACAGAACCGTGGAAGAGCAACACAATTGCCCCTTCCATTTTGATCCTCATAGACCTCTTCCATTCTGGCGATTATGCGTTCTGGAAAACAATAATGAACCTACAAACTTTACTCTCGTCTTCATATTCCATCATGCACTCATGGATACGAGAAGTGCTCTTTCTTTCCATGAGGAGCTGGAAGAAAACATGATTCGGTTTCACAGATTTCCGCACAAGATCGAATCAAAGTCCATTATTGAGACCCCATCTTGTGCGCTGATCCCACCAATGGAGGACCTGTATCCTCTTCCTATATCTCAAGATTTCTTGCGATCTCAAGGAAGTTATACCGAGCCCTCATCCGATGTATGGACAGCCAGTCCTCAGTTCACTCCAGCAAAAACCCGATTCTCATCTTTATGGTTACCTGAAGCCGACACAAAGATGCTCACAGCACTAAGTAAGAGAGAAAACTCATCAGTCACGGCGGCGCTGCAAACCCTTATTGCGATCTGCCTTTTTTCAGTTCTTCCATCAAAATTCAAATCACTGCAGGCTGATTGCGCAGTATCACTGCGGCGGTTTCTTCCACAGCCAGTCACAACATCAACGATGGGCTGCTATGTCGGGTCAATTTCAACGATGTATTCCCGGACCCCTTTATTTGACTGGAACGAGGCCCGTCGGGCCAAAGAAGCCATTGATCATGCCATGGCGCAAAAAGGAGGCGACTTGTCAGTTGGATATTTGAGATTTGTTCCAAACCAGCATCACTGGATGATACAAAAGCTGGGCCGTAAAAGGATGGCCGCCTTCGAGTTATCCAATATCGGAGTGGGCTCTTCCTCGTCCGAAAACTCGTGCTTTGGGATCGAGGGCATGTTATTTAGCCAAAGCGCGAGTGCTTGTAGTGCTGCAATCAAGATCAGTGCGGTGACAGGACGAGATGGAAAGCTGGCACTTGGTTTCACCTGGCAAGAAGGCGTTGTGGATGGTGGAATGATTAAGCAGCTTCAGCGGGCTTTCAGAGCCCATGTGGAGGAATTAGCGGCGTCTAAGTAGCATGTTGGATTCCAACCCACTTTATTTGAACTATTTGAGGGACTGGGCTTGTTGTAGCTCACTATCATCAACCGCAGAATCACATTGTGTTCTCATGTATAGAGGGTTGCAAGCATTATTGAGATAGGTCGAGATTGGGGAACAAGCTCTGATGTTGGAATCCCGGCCTACTAAGCTAGTTCCTAATACAAGAGCTTTGCCATTAGAACAGAGTGTAATGAAGATTTCGGCATGATAGAGTTGAAGAATCTCCATCAAGTGATCCGCCCAGTCATTATGCCATCCCCAAATAAGGAAAGCTTTCGCGAATTCCCAGTACCCCGGATACCAGCCACTCAGTGTCCAATCGATGATAGCGACCACATTTACATTTTTGACCGTAAACTTTTGTGGTCGAAAATCACCATGTGTAAAGAGAATTTTTTGGGACTCAGAAAGCATTCCATTGAGAAAGCTTGTAATAAGACGTTTTGGTGCATGCTTTGGGAAGGCGTCAAGAAGCGCCGTATGGAAATCGCACTCAGAAACGAAGGGGCCTTTTAAAGTGTCACCAGGCTTGTATAAGAGCTTCATATTTTCTTGAAATCATAGCTTTATCGAGAGAAGTTGACAGGCTATGGTCGGTAACAGAACCGTTGTCTCCAGGATCCACAAAAGAGGGCAGAGCTGATTCGAACGCAGTTATGGTCCTTATCTGGGCGCTGGTTGGTGGTTTGATTGAAGATATGGGTGGCTCGCTGCTACTGCGGCCCATGATATTGCTACTGGTGATGATGGGAGGGCACCAATTTGCGCCCGTCAGGCTTGGACTTGCTCGTGAAGGTTCTCGTTCTGCGCGTGGAGGACGTACCGATCATGCTTTACTTCTAGCAATTTGTTTTTGATGGATTGAATGAGCTCGCCATCATTTCTTTAATAAGTCGATCAGTTTGCAGATTTCCCTAGTCGTGACGCGTCCATTGTCGTCTCCGGAGCTCGCAGTCCAGGGCGCGCTGCGGTGGTGTGGCCATCGCTAGGTCGGGCCTGTCTTCTGGTCCGAAGCGCAGTGATCGGGTTGAGGTTGTCTAACGCATTGGTCCTTGTCGTTCCAGGCGTGGTTGTGCGAGGGGGCTCGGGAACACCTTCATAACGCTCTACGCGTTGAATCTTAAACCACCGCCAACTAGGCTGGGTGCGGATTCGTATGTTAGTATAGTGGGAAAACAACTTTGCCAGGGGTCGGGGGGAATGAAATATACTACAGCTACCACAACTGTACCATAAATACTACGTTAGTAAAATTGGAATAAGCTCCCAGTATAGTCATACCAGAAGAAAAGGATTTTGTATCTTTGGGTATTTCAAGTACCACGTTCAGAACCTCTGAAACGGAATCATGGCAAGGCCCCCACATACCGAAGTAGGGTATACTGGGCAAGATCTCGTCGCCAATATACTTATACATACTGTAGTGGTGGAACCGGTGACAGTATAGAAACATGGACGGACTATTAGTCACGTGGCCAATTAGATAGCGTTCCTCCCTGTTGAGATTCCAGCTGAGGACTGGGCTAGAATCATACAATTCACTCTTTTCGTTTCCAGCCCTTTCATTATGAAGCAGGATCAGGGTATACGCGCCGCTGTCTACTAGTGCTGTTTTGGGAGTGTCGGTTGCTTGATCTTTCATCCATGATATCAACCTTTCTGCTATGCCAGACTGCCATTGAGCCATCCCTATTTCAATACATAAATGCATATCCCTTCTGGAAGCGTAATGATGCAAGTCAAGTAGATCTCCAACTTCAGCTCAAGCCACCTCACCGCTCAACCCGTCTTGAAAATACACCCACTCCTCTTTGCGAGAGATAAGTACTGTATACCCATCCATCCATAAACTCATCGTAAGTCATCTAATATTGCCGTGCGACATATACGGCTGAAAATCTTTCGACCCAGGACTCAAACTAGATTATTGTTAACATTCATTGGGGCTTTTTTTAAGAAAATGGTAGGTCCATTTTTCAAAATTGGAATGTTAAACGAGACTCACTAAAGGCAGAAGACCTGTCAACTATTGAATGACTTTATGAGGTAGGATGCCAATAAGCTAGGTGTTGATGCAGATTTCAGTCAGGGTAAGATGGTAGACAATATTATAAGGTGGGAGTGCTTATGTCCCCAAGATCAGCAATTAAGTTTCACGCACTGTTACTAGGCCAATCCTTTCGAAGTAACATGATATAATACTTTACTTGCGTGACAAAAGGAGATGGGAAACCAGGAGCCTTCCACCGAGGATTTGATACAAACCCGCCTCCAACATTTCAGCAAAAGACCCTACGCTCGCGAAAATGATATACCATTCTTTGTTGCTGACTTCACCAAAGTTATCCAATAGCATCAAAGATGGACAAAGGCCTTGCCTCACATTCAACCCTTCTATGGTTAGTCCACATCATTCCGGCCTTCCGAGCAACGCATTTGACGAAGACTCTAGCGGTAAAATGCAACTCAGATCAAAAGCTTCTCCAGTTGCTAGCTGAGATGGGCGTCAACTTCGGCTGCGCCTCTCTTGCGGAGATAGAGCAGATTCTAGATCTAGGAGTGGATCCATGCCGCATTATTTTCGCTCATACCTGCAAAGCGCCATCTACGCTAGATTTTGCTGCGCGACAGCAACGGTCCGGCGGTGTGGCGTTTGGTAGTCGGAAGATTTGACGCAGAATAGGTCGATCAAGCGGACCAGGCTTCCCAGAGGGGACCCTGTCATAATCCCCGGGCCCGAAGGCCCTGAAATCCTCGTCGCAAGATTCCACTACTCTCTCATAAGAGAAGATATGGTACAGGGTTTCCCTTAACTCATCAATGCCGATGTGACAGAGAATGCTTGCTACACCAAGAAGCTTTAGGGCAATATGTTGGCCTGCCCAGACCTCGATCAATACGTTGATATTTATGACGCGGCCTCATACTTCAAAGGACCATACGGGGGGTATATCGAGTTCAGTGTCAAACCGTGGAAGGTCGTTGCAACGCAGGATGATTACTTTCTTATATTGCCCACTAAGGCAACTGAACCGCCACAGATGTCGACTCCACCGGTCGATGACGAGGAGCCGGACAGTCCGCCGCCTATACTGTCCGATCTCATTATACAAGAAGATCCCTCCGTCTTCTAGATGATGATTCATTCGAGGCAGATCATTGAGTTGAGGCAATTCCATGTTTGGTCCCGTATCGAGCCTCCGCACTTCCGGGGTTCTACAGTACATTAACAACTATGTTTATCTGAGTGGTGCATTTCTTTACATGGATGGAACGTGTTGGCCCCTCGCGTTAGGGAATACCTTCAAATCTCTTGCAATTTGTTGTCCTTGACAGGCTTTGTTACTAGGCAGGCCAGCTCTGTTCTGAGACCTGACCTCAATTCTTCTTTCCTCCATTGATAGTGCTCGAGTGGCTGCTTGCCCAATGCTCCCTTAATCGCTTCCCTGATATTGAGCGTCGGAACCAGAGAACAGTTGGACTGCTCGACGGTCGTCACGAAAAACAAAAAACACACACTGTTGCCATTTTGCAAGTTCTTACAAACCGTAGGAACCCGCTGCATCTCGCTGAGCGAGATGCCCAGAATGAAAATCGCAGTGCTCTAAGTGCGGGAGCCTCTGTACTAGATGTTAAATTATATTCTTACCCTATTTCACTAAATTAGCTAGACTGATTATTGAATTATCTTCCGTCAAGTCAAACTCAAATGGCGAACAGGGTGGCTGATGGGCGTGATTGTTGTCATGACGTGCTTCTTCATGTTTCCTTGATGTCATGGAGGCAGTACTATGCATTCGAATCAAGAACATTGTTGATCGGAAGAAGCTAGGCAAGCTGGACATTCTCGGAGTTGAAGGGATTTAAGGGGGGCTGCCTGTTTTTCAGGCATTAAGATTACCAAGTACCCAAGATAATGAACTACGATGCTGAAATGTTCCAAAGAAATAGATGGGTTGGATTAGAGTCTATGACACTATGAGAACAGCTATATAGAAGTATTAAGAGAATTGCGGATCAATCCTCTTCGTAGGCACCTTCACGGTCCTCGAATTCCATGAATTCGCTCTCGTTCGCTTGGTCACCCATCACTAGCCTCCATGCTTCTTTAACCACGTCGATCAGGCTATCATCAAAAGCAAGATCGAGATTGGGCGGCGGGAAGCAAAAGGTGTCATTGGAGAGACGCGTAAGCGAAGAAGCTTGCGCTCTGGCTTGTGTGCTGACGTGACCCAACTGCGTATAACGCAGTGACCATAGAACAGCTGCACCAGGATCGACAGTTGATTCGAGAAGCTTATGGATCGCGTTCTCAATCAGAGATTGACCCTCAGCACCGGAGATACTAACGCTGCCATACAGAACACCTAACACAATATAGTTAGCATTGATGCAGGACCATGCAGTGTGGCAAATTTCAAGGAAGATGCTCATGATCAGATTATAAATTTTCAACAGAGCGTTTCAGGCAATGTAGATAAGTAAATTTAAGAAAGAGTCATCATATGAGCAGGGGAGCAGGGGCAACGAGAAGGCTAGTGGTGAGAGAATGATATAGATAAAAACTTACTTTGTCCTGACGGGCATTCCCCAGTCTCGCTTGAATGTGCCAAGATATAGACCGGGGGCGAGTCATCTGCCCGGCACAAGGAGCTCGCTGGGAATACCACCACGGCTCCGGCAGGGACGGGTGCACCTTCAGCTGTGACTGGGAAAAGGTTCTCGAGGGGAGACGAAACAATCGTAATTGACTTAGCTACTTTGTCACAAGTAGGACGTTCCTGATTAGGAAGGTCCCACTGAGAACCAAGCACAAACTTGGAGTTGATCGTCTCGTCGTTAGACAGGTGTACTTCAGCACGCGCGACTCCATCCCCTGTTTCAGTGGGAGGATTCATAGACTTGATGCCAGCATTCAAGACATAGACCCCACCGCCGACAGCAAGGGCACGGCAACCGACCTGGGAGAGCTCGGCACCACCGCCCCATTTTGCCAACAAGCCGCCGAACCCAGGACCGAACACGCCAATGGATGCAAGGTGTCGCTTGATGCGAGGGACCGCAAATTCAGCAGATGTTTGATGAGGCGCAGCTTGTGACAATGCAAGAGAAAGCAAGGGATCGTGAAGTTCAGCGGGTATGTGAAACTTCGAGTTTAGGTACTCCGGGAGAGAAGACGTAAGATCTTCCTCCTCGGGACCTGCCTCATCATCTTCAGGCTTTCCGATATGACGGAGAAACCTCATCAAAGTCCGCTTGGACTTGATCGTAATCAAGTCATCCGCAAAGATATCTTCTCGACTGCTTGGTACTCGGTACAAAGACCCGCTGCCGTTGTCATTACCGGACGAAGTTTGGTGGATCCACCAGCTTCCGACCGCCTGAAACTCTAGCTGGCGGTAAACCTTTGAAGAAACTAAAGTAGGCAGCAGTCGAGACCGAGAATAGATGAGTTGCGGCGAGAGGGACAGGGTATATGCCCGGGAGGCTGACAACCGGGTATTATCCTCCGGGAAGTAGACAGCTGCGTCTTCAAAAGGAAAGTGTTCGGGTTCTAATTTATAAAACAACGTTAGTAACATACTAAGCTGATTGATTAGCACCGACACTCACCCTCGTTTACTTTGGTAGCCCATTCCTGGGCTTCCTGCAGACTGAACGCTGCCTCTGATCCTCCGTAATAAGGGTTCCGGTCAACATGAAGTACCTTCTTTCCAGATCGAGAAAGGGCGCTATTTGAAAAGGTTAGCGATTGGACAATGGGGGTTGTAGAGGTAGAACTCACAGTGCCAAAAGTGACTGGGCCAGACCGGTGCCCGAGATTGTTACATCCCATGGCGTTTCAGAAAGCGACTCCATTCTGTTGTTGGGGCTGATGATAGCTGGAAATCAGTTAAGTTATTGTATTTACAAGGGTGTGCCCGACTATCATCACGTCGGGTGACACGCTGTTGAATGCCTTTGCAGCAGGACCTTCCAGCCCATGAGTGGTGTGTAGAGGATCATTCGTTCCGAGAACGAAAGTTATTTTCGAGGGAGAGAAGACGAAGGACACGCGAAGAAATACTGCGGGACCCGCTCTCGTGCGTCACGTGTTTGGGAGCTCCGACGGTGGGGCCATCAGGTTGGCCTTGTTTTCATGGCAGATAACACAATATTATTATTATGAATTCATCTGCTACTGAGCCTGGTGTCTACCGCTATATACCGTAATGGTATTGGACTTTTCAAGGAGTATGTGCGAGAGTGCCATGAACTTCATAATACTATTCTACCGGGCGGAGAATGGATGCTGTTGACTCGCCAAAAGCTCTGCAGTCAATTCATATAGGAGAACAAACTCAAAATACAAATTCAAGATAGAAGAAGCTCTATGCACTTTCAAGTATTACCAAAATCCGTAAATAGAGCCTCTCCCTGCAAGCTGGTGTGTTATCTAACCTCCATACTTTGTGCTCCCTTTACGGTGACTCGATGCCTAAGGCAGATAGATATGAGCCATTCCCAAAGCGGCTAGACTCGGTAATCTGCGCGAGTTGAAATTTGCGCGTCTGCCCGGCTTTTCTTCCTTTCCTTTTCATGCCACTCCTGGTGCTCTGCATGGGCATGCTACCATCTCATGGTAGTTTGTCTCTTTCGTACAAGCCTTCACTGGTCTTGTGCTCTACAGGAGTGGTAGAGAGAACCTATCACTCTGTATCTGCTGCTCTGGAGAAACATCTGATGGAAGCAGTTCGTTTTGTAGTGATACATTATATTACCATAATTCTTCTCTTGTCAATCCTGAGCCATGCTCTGTCCAAGTGATATTGACAGGTTTGTAAATCAGTATACTCGACCACTACCAGAGCTGTGTATCCTTCGGGGTGTCCTGGGCGATTGTGTGACTTCCAGTAGTCAGACGTCGGTCATCTGTCGACGTGCAACGAAGCGGTACCTTGGGCTTTATCCCAATGACTAGCTTCTGTCTGCACCTATATGATGAACTTGAACAATATGCCTGGCTGACGAGGAACAACCGCTGGGTTGGTTGAAGTTCAAAATAAAGGCCGGTCAGATTGGAGGCGTATTCCAACAGCCAGCTCATTCTTCTCCTCCCTCTTCCACAACTCTGGCGCGAAGGATCTTGACCTCGTCTACCGGTCTGTCCTCGCCATTTGTTTTCACTAGTCCCATGCGCTGTATCACCCGCATTCCGCTCTTGACGCGACCGAAAATAGTATGCTTTCCATCCAGCCACGGGGTTGGCGCAAGGGTGACGAAGAATTGACTGCCGTTGGTATTCGGTCCACTGTTCGCCATACTCAGTATGCCGGCGCCGGTGTGCTTGAGGCCGGCATGGATCTCGTCCTCGAACTTCTCTCCGTAGATCGAGCTTCCTCCTCGGCCGGTGCCAGTGGGATCGCCAGTTTGTACCATGAAGTTGGGGATGATGCGGTGGAAGACGACGTTGTTGTAGTAGCCTCTCTGTGCAAGGGTCGCGAAGTTTTTGCATGTCTAATAATCACAATAGAATTAGACTTGTCTACTTTGAAATGTAAACAGGAATACTGACCTTGGGCGCATGCTTATTGTAGAGCTCCACGGTGAACGAGCCCTGCAGGAAATTAATATCAATCACGATATGAAGATGTCACGTGGAGTCTCACCATGCTCGTATCAAAAGCCACATCTGTAGCCATGGTGAATTTGGGTATGAAAAGGAAAATGCCGGTTGAATTGTAAGGAACCGGAAGTTGATCAATGGTGTTTCTCTGGAACTGGAGGCGGCGGGGAAATGCCGGTCTTGGCATGTGCTGCATGTCATCAGTGATGCAACCTGTCGATTGTTTTCTCACATATAAACTCCCCTCACAGAGCCATGGTTTAATGGTTTGACGGCCACAATAACCCTAATTTATTGCCTAACTATGAAAGATTAGGAATTCTACCCTTCTAACGTTTGAACGGCCCCCAAACTTCATCACAACCGTCACCATGGACGAGGTCAGCCCTTTCGCCGAATTCCTGGGCGAGGCGATCTACCACCTCGAGGCTGTCAAGCCTCTCATTCCAACCTACTTGCATCTCCTGGTTTCCGCTTTATTCCCGATCTACATCGGTGCCCATGCCTCGCTCTCAAGACCAAGCTCTGCTGCCAAACGCCCCAAGAAAACCGACGATGACGACTCCGACGACGAAGACGAAGACGACGAGGAGGGAGAGAACAAGGCAAATATGGAGTCACTGGAGCCTCGCGATGCAATCATGTTTCCCTTGACTGCCGGTATGACTCTTGGTGGGCTATACTTGGTGATCAAATACATGGGTGCCGAGCTTCTGAACAAGATTCTGGGCTTCTATTTCTCTCAGATGGGCGTGTTCTTCGCCGTGGCGTTTTTGCGTGATGTCCTCTCGGTTCTCCGGTCATTCACCTTCCCACGGACATATACCTACAACGGTGGGCTCTGGAAGGTGCAGCAGTCTCAGCGCGTTTTCAATGTTGTTGGCGAGACTACTTCTTCACGGGTCCGACGCTCTCCCCTTCCAGGCATCTTTGGTTCCTTCCCATTGCCGGACTCCACGGTCGATCTTCTGTGGACTTGTCGCAATGCGCTCTACCAAAAGGCCAAATTCAAAATCAACATTCACCGCATCTGCAAGTCCGAAATCTCAGTGGACATGCTGGACTTGTTCAGCATCTTGCTGGCCCTGCCGGCTGTGGGATACTTCGCTTTCGTCGAGAAGCCGTGGTGGTTAACCAACTTCCTCGGATTTAGCTTCTGCTACGGAGTCTTGCAGTTTATGTCGCCCTCTACTTTCCTGACTGGATCCCTCATCCTCGGCTCGCTTTTCTTTTACGACATCTACTTCGTGTACTTCACACCCTTGATGGTCACAGTTGCGAAATCATTGGATGTGCCAATCAAACTCCTGTTCCCTCGCCCCGCAGGCCCGGACCAGCCGGTCGATTCCATCTCTTTAGCCATGTTGGGTCTGGGCGACATCGTCATCCCCGGTATGATGGTCGGCCACGCACTTCGATTTGACCTTTACCTCTATTACCTGCGAAAGGGATACCGGAAAGCGAAAGCTGAAGGTAACGAGGAAGAGCCAGTCAAGCCTATCTACCAGTCTGCTAGAGGAGGATGGGGTGAGCGTTTCTGGACGAAAGCCATTAAACCGCAGGAGGCTGAGCTGGAGCCCCCCTACCAGGATGCTCGACTCTTTCCTAAGACCTACTTCAAGGCTAGTGTCGTTGGGTACCTGGCCGGATTGGTTACAACCCTAGTGGTCATGCAATTGTTCAACCACCCCCAGCCCGCGCTTCTATATCTGGTTCCCGGCGTTCTCATCTCCTTGTGGGGTACTGCCTTCGTTCGAGGCGACATCCATCACATGTGGAACTTCAGCGACAGCGAAGACGACGAGGAAGACGAAGAGACCGAGTCTGGCGATAAAGAAAAGGAGAAGAAGGAAGAGGAAGAAGAAGACAAGAATGTTGGTTTCTTTCGTAAACTCTTCAACATGTCACACAAAGGAGCCGACAAGGCACAAAAGTCGGACGAAGCTTCCAAAAAGTCCACCGATGAAAAGAACGACAAAGCCGGCGACAAGAAGTCCGATGAAGATGGCAAAGCCGACGAGAATCTGGATCTATTTTCCTTTTCATTTTACATCCCGCGCAAGAGCAAGTCGGCAAAGTCCGCAGCTAAGTCTGCTGAGACTGACGAGGCTACCGACGATTCGAAAAGCTCGTCAACCCGTGCTGACTCTCCCGTGGAAGACGAAAACTGGGCTGTCATTGGCGGTGATAACGAACCTCCTACCAAAAGGCAGCGCAAGAGCGCCAGGAACGCAGCAAAAACCGCTGCTAACTAGGGGTATCAATCCGCGGTCTGCCTAGGGACTTTTGATTCTTCTTTGTACTCTCGATGAAAGCGGGCATGGCTAGAGGCGTTCGGACGGAAATTGATGCCTTTTTTTGTGCTTTTTCATGTTCTAACAGTCTATCTATCTTACCTCGGCTGCCGCCTTTACATGAAACATCAATACATCATGTTCTGAAGGACTTTTTTCAAATTTAGTTGGTATCATCAACAGTAATCATAGTTCGGTAAGGTCTCCAATGAACAAAGCCATCTTTCAACATTGTTCCAAGATACGCTTGACATCATCCCATCGTTGCGCAGACACATCAATCAGCTCCTTCAACTCACTGCTATCCACTGCCAAACCACCGTTCTTCTCCATCTTCAAGATCGTAGTCTTCCCCTTGCCACCTTGCTCCTTATCCACCACAATGCATACCCTCTCCTGGCTCAACCCCTCCTCATATCCATCAGGATCAGCAAGGATCCACCTCCGCTGAATCCCCTGTCTCCGACTCTCCGTGATCTTCCTCTCCTCCGCGTCAGGGATAACCATAGCCCTCCACCCACTCGCCGCATCAGCCTCAAAGACAGCATACGAGCTCGCAACCGGCAGTCCACGCAAAGTTAACTTCTTAGCCTCCGAGACCGCATCCGAACACACCACAGTCTCGTTATCCACGTCCCACCACGCACGCGGAAGTTTCGTGTCCCGCAACGCCGCGAGCACAGACGCCCACGCCGCGTCGAACGGGTTCCCGGCCAACGAAATGATCATGACGTCAATGTAGAGTACCCAGAAGGCCTTGATCTCTTTCTCGGACTCGCCCGTAGCAGCAGCGTCGGCGTCCACATCCATCTGCTCGCTCTCGTTATGCCGTTCCAGCTCCTCGCCGCCTAGGTTCGGCGCCTGGTACCAGATCCGCAAGTCGTCGGCCCGCACGAGTCGCGAGCTATGCAGCAAAGTGAGGATCTGGTGGGAGAGGGACTGCGCTAGCGATGAGGGCGGAGCACCGGGGACGAAACCCGGAGCGCACCCGGTGCTCAAGGAAAGGTTGGGGACCAGAAGGTTGAGGTCTTGGATTTGAGATTCGTTGGTGTCGGCGTCGGCGTCGGAGTCGGAGTCCGGAGACTCATCCACTTTTCGGCGCTTGTTGGATCCTTCCGTTGATGAGGGTCCGGAGCGCGATACGCTCCATGAGGCGATGTCGTCTGTATGCAGGATCTCTGCGCGCACGCCGCAGACGGCCGTCGTGTCGCCTACTCGCACCACCGCGCTGCCATTGGTGTGCGTCAGGGAGCCGGTATTTGCGGAAGTGATGCGGAATTGCGAGGGAGCTCGGCCGTTGGCGCGAATGGAGGGGTGGTGGCTCGACGAGGGAGGCGATAAGTGGGCGAGAAGATAGGCGTGAGGTTGCAGCCGGGCGAACTGGGAGGGGGGCAGAGAGAGGGATGGAGGGGTTGGTTGGGCAGCGGTTCCTGCTGCGGAGGCCATGATTTAAATTGGTCGTAGCAGACAGAGCTTGGTAGTTTGTTAAACGAATTTATGGAAGACGTAGATTGGGGATTGAGACGGTAGACAGTCGCTCTTTGTTCGGCGGAAGAAAAGAAGCAGCAACTTATTTTTCGGCGGCAGAATAGTTGCCATTTCTAAGGCGGTGAAAGTGGTGGTGTCTCACAGGCTGACGATCTCAGAGCTGCCTCTCCTTGACAATCACTTGATTGTTGTACTCTATTACGTCTATATTCATCTAGAAGGGTCCTTTTTGCTGCAGGAGATGAATGTCCTCAATAAAGCTTGAATAGAACACCACCCATCTTGTTTAATTCTCGGTATCCGGTGATCAAGCTACCTGCCTGATACTCCAAGCTTGACACCAGCATTCCGTTGGAAACTCCTTGAGATACTAGTTTTCTCATGAAAATATATACTAATTTTAGCATACCTTTTCAAATTAGCTAATAATATTTCCCAACTTGTGGAATAATGCCGGATTGCGCGTCTCTGTGAGCTAATCCAAAAAGGACGGTCAACAGCGAATACTACGAAGCAGCAATTGTGAAAATCCAGGAAATCGATGTTGTACTCGTCTAATCTCTCTATCTTAGGCAAATATTTCCAACTCAACCCAAGGCTCGCTTATAAGTTGTCGCGGGATCGTCGCTTCATCTAAATATAAACACGAGATCTCGGGAGCCAGATTCTGAGTTTGGCCCGCCAAATGATCCCAGATAACTGCATAACGCAGAAACTTATGCAAATTGTTTATGTTATGATGGTTTGAAATCAGGAAATAGAGGGGATTCTTGGAATCTTTCGCTCGTGGATAATATGGTTTGCCGTCATGGACCGATCAAACTGGACATTAACCCGTTTCTCGGCAGCAAGGAGGCGTTTTCCAACCACGACACCCACGTCAATCAACTTAAACTTTTCTAGATATCTCCGCTGTATCCGTAGAGTTCCGGACGATTTCCGTATTCTTTCTAATATGTCCCCGAACTAAGCTGCCCGAGCTGTCCCCAACCTTTCCTCGGACTGTAGTTGTGCATCCCCGATGATCGTTTACTCCAAACGCCGTGCAGCCTCAGGCAGGTGGCGCTCTGAATACTTGGGACTCGTATTTATTGCAGAATGATACCTTCTTGACTCTAGTACACCATGGAAGATAACCTCTAGTCATCAGGCATTAGTGGGTCGTCTTCTAAAATAGGATGTTCTTGTTTTGTATTCGTACAAGATCTGTGCATGGGTGAGTACCTAATGTGCTTCAAGGGAAATTTCCGGTTTCTGGCAGGATGGAATTTTATATACCTCTCTGAACAGTCATTGTCTCTGATCGAGATAGTTGGACCCTTTTCTATCGGACAGGATATTCCATGAAGGGAAAGATGAACGCACCATGTCTGGAAGAAATCTCCCAAGCTATCAACCCTCGCAGCATTTCTCCACCGCCCCAATACTCTCTTCATGAACCTTCTCGCACACCTCAAGTGAACGGCAGCTTGACGGACAGAACGCAACAGATTAGCCTATCGACAGACGATAACCTCAAACTTCTCACAACATCCACCATTGTGCCCGATGAGGTGTCAACAAACTGCTGGAGCGACGAAGCCACAGCCCGGGTGGTACTCTCTCTACTTCAGAAGGAACCTTTAAGCCCTTTGCCTCATCCGATAACCCAAAACGACATAAAAATACAGAACAAGCCACTTCTGACCTGCGTTGTCTGTTTCGAGACGTACAGGGATGACTATTTCCCAAGCACACCAATCGCAACAGCCTGTGACCATACTTCTGTAGCCGGCACTGATATCTGTCTAGGATGTCTACGTCGGTGTCTTGACATCCAATTCTCTTCGCAGGACACCAGCACACTATCATGTCCTCTCTGTCATGAACAGCTTTCCGATGAAGAGGTTCAACGATGGGCTAGCCGACAGACATTTCATGCCTATGATCGGATGCGAACCTGGCAGATGCTAGAGGAAGACGCCGAGTTTGTCCCCTGCATTCGGCAGAGTTGTGGATATGGACAACTACACGCCGGAGGACTGGAGGATCCGATTGTGGTATGCGGATCTTGTGGCACGAGGACATGCTTTATTCACAGGGAAACACCTTGGCATGAAGGCGTGACGTGCAAGGAATACGAAGAAATGATAAACCCAAGAGAAAGCCAAGAAGAGATTGAGGAATTCCAGGAAAGTGAGGCCTGTGAGCAGTCCAGCACTCTACACTGGAGTAACGACACTCAGGGGTCCTCTTTCAACGGACATACAAGGACAGGGACGAGAGAGGAGACCACACGGCCTTGCCCTAGCTGCAGGTTTCCAATGGGGCGGCGGCCAAGTGGTAGTAAATTTACTCGGTGTATGTTTTCTTGTTCCGCTATGTCGTACCTATACCAGACCTGACCGCCGTTGGACTCTAGGCGAATCATGCTTGCATGAATGGTGTTGGGACTGTGGTATCGGTTGGAGATGGAGACATCTCGATGTGGATTGTGTGCCATCTCCGCAGTGAGCGACAATATATGTCGATAGCACCAAAAGTTCTATGATGGCGCAGCTGGTCTAATGCATGATGCTGAAAAGTAACCGCGAACGTTTAAGTTGTATCTGTCCTCGATGTCACATTGAGATTAACGCTCAAATCAGAGCACGCAGGGTTGAGTTCACTTAATCTATACTCGGTGGCGAGCAGTTGGCAATATCATCGGCGCTTCATCTACTGATGGGACGACTTATTCCACATGATAGACATGGAAAGAAAACTATTAAGCGCACCACTGAGTGGTTTGTTCAACTCACGAATCGCTTTCTGACTCGCGCTGTGTTAACAGCGCTTTGACCGGGTTGTGGTAAGAGAACCTGCGTCGAATCCGCGCCACAGCCATCTCAATCACTCCCATAGCACGGCCCGAGTCCAAGTTGTAAGACCTAGCGAATAAGAATCAAGGTATTCCGTATCGTTTGTACATACAATGAGGGAGACACGGTAAATGCTGGGGTCTTTCAAGGATGCATTCTGATCGTGTTAGGAGATCCGGATGGCTCCGAGGGTGCCTCATAATGCTAAGCGAGTATGGGAAGGTCACAGAAAGCCCGTTTCCATGGTGAAAACGTTCAAAAAGCCCAGTCATTTCCAGGGTTTCTCCCTGCAGTGACTGACTCTGGCATCGTTAGCGTGGGCCAAGCCAGCGTATCGCAATTGAACGAAAGGGCAACACGGCATCCCATCCGGCTCGCACCGTGCATGTACCAAGAGCTGGGACTGGGACTGGGACTTCTTCACTCACCGATCGACATGCAACCATTAGCCCCCGTTGGTGACGAGTTCTGCGCAAAGCGAGTGACGAGGACAGAATTACCGCCGGGCGAGTCGAGCGGCAGCCAATGCGAGGATCCCCTGGCCGGCCGCAGGTGACAGCGCCCGCCGCTCGTGCATTAGCGGGGATTGAGCCCGCATCGCCGTCATCCTCGTCGACGCCATGCTAAGCTCCATATACTCCTCTTCGCCGCTCGCTCCCCTCGTCTCAATTTGCTCTCACCGGGTTGATCTTGCCTTTTTCTTCTTTTATCCATCCATGCTTGCTTTCGCTGGTTATACAGTTCTTCTTCCATCAAAACCACAACACAGTTTTTGCAGCGATTACTACCACAATGGTAGTTCCCACTATTTGAAGAGGTCAGCTTGCTGGACATGAAGTGACGAGAACAGCAAATCAAGAGAGTTACAGTCAGCTTTCGTTGACGTTTAAACAAGAAAAGTGGAAGCGTCGCGGCAATAAATAGCACCATGTCTGGTATATGGCATTCTGCTGCTTCAATTGCGAAGCGAATCAATATCCCGATCATTGCATCCAACTCTCCGGCAGACATCGCTGAACAGCAACGAGACCCGTGGGACCAGTCAGACAAATACGCCTTGGGATGGGTCTTTTTCTCCGTGATCCTACTGGCCATCACTACGGTCATTCGGTTCTACCATGTCTGGGGTGACAAGATACGGATCGCATTGTACAAAGAGGATGCCGCTGCGGCTTCTCCGTGCATCTGCTCTCCTCAGGACGAATATGAGCTTCCCAGCGCAGCGACGGACAGTTCAACTACTCAGTTCTTCCCGGCTCATGGTCCTCTGCCGAGCAACAACACCACCAGCGCGAAACAACAATCGTCGGTGTCCACAATTGCACCGATCAACAATACCATCGCATTTGTACGATGGGTCTTCTATCGACCACTTCCGGTGATACAAGTATGGAAGTTCCGCGTCGTGCTTCCGTCATTAGGGGCCTCCGCTGTTGTCCTTGCAGCCCTAATCTTTGTCACGCTCTATTCTTTCCTCCCTCGACCGCTTTATTTCTCGTCCATTGCTCTTGGATCTCCTCCTTTGGCCATTCGTGCTGGAATGATCGCCGTGGCCATGATCCCTTGGATTATTGCACTCAGCACCCGAGCCAATTTCATCAGCATGTTGACCGGCATTGGCCACGAGAGACTGAATGTCCTTCATCGATGGGCAGGCTATTTGTGCCTCTTCCTAACCCTGGTTCATATGATTCCGTTCTATGCCACGCCAATCTGGGAAAGCGAGTCCTTCGTGTACTACGAGCAGGTTCTTCCGAATCACGTCTACGTTTACGGGACCGGTTTTGCGGCGTTTGTTCCTCTGGCTTTCTTATGCCTGCATTCCTTGCCCATACTACGATCATGGATGTATGAGCTATTCGTGGCCGTGCACATGCCAGTGTCTATTGTCTTCCTCGGCATGCTTTTCTGGCACTGCAAGAACTTCTTGACATCATGGGACTATCTATGGGCCACTGTTGCCATCTGGGTGATGTCTTTCATCGTTCGACTCTTCTACCTCAACTGGACCAACCCTTTCCGGCTATCATTCATGATCGGAGAGGAGTCCGCGATCACCATCCTTCCCCAAAACACCGTCAAAGTGACGGTCGCGACCCGCATGCGATGGAAACCAGGCCAATATGTCTACCTGCGCATGCCCGGTATCTCACTTTTCGGACGCCACCCATTCACCATCGCCTCCTTGTGCAGCGACGACTTTCCCTCCGAGTATGGCGAGAACTATCGTGACTTGGCCCTCGTCTTTCGTCCTTTCGGCGGCTTCACCCGCCAGGTCTTCCTCAAGGCCTTCGAGTACGGCCCGTACAAGACCTGGACCGCCTTCCTAGAGGGACCTTACGGCGGGATGCGTCGCGAAATGGCCGCTTTCGACGACGTAGTCTTCTTCGCCGGCGGAAGCGGCATCACCGCAATCGCCAGCCAACTCCTCTACCTGATCAAGAAGATGCGAGACCGCAAAGCAGTCACGAAATCGATTCGAGTAATCTGGGCATTCAGAAACCCCGAGTCAATCGAATGGTTCAAAGAAGAGCTCCGCATCTGCCGAGACTTCGCACCTCCCAACTCCGTCCACTTCCATTTCTTCCTCACCGGCTCCCCGCAATACACCGTCGACGGCCGCATGTCCGACGACATCGTGCAGGAGAAAATCTACAACACCTTGCAGGTCTTCGATAAGCGTAACTCCGCGTTCATTCGCGAAGAAGCCGCCGGTGACCCGGAAGTCGAAAAGGAGCTTCGTCGCGAGAACGAAGACGCGATTACTGCGCTGCCTCCCGCGCATACCCTCCCTCATATCAACACTAGCAGGCACTATAGCCCCATGGTGAATAATCACCAGTTTCCCTCCCCTAATGCAGGGACATCCGATAGTAACGAAAGTCTGCCGTTCGACTTTGGTTTCTCCCACTCCCCGGCCGTGTCTACTCGATCTCTCCCGCGCTATGCCTCACTCCCGCAAGGAAGACGCAACGGCTGGCGCATTGACTACGTGCGTCCGGATATCCCACGCCTGCTGACCGAATACTCGCGGGGATTCGGTCGCCGAGCTTGTGTTTTCGTCTGCGGGCCCCCGAGCATGAGAGTTGAAGTCTCGCATACGACAGCGCGGCTTCAGCAACAGGTAATGAACGACTCGTCGAAGGACGAGATCTTCCTGCATGCAGAGAACTACAGTATCTGATCTGATCTAGTCTCACATATACTGTTTCTATTTGTTTCAATTTTTTTTTTATAAAGCAAACGCGCTGATGAATGCTCTTACTTGGTTATTTAAATGTTTCATGTATGATGATTCCCGATACCCGTTTGTTTCCAGATTGGGTTTGCTCTCGGTCTTGACGATAATGTTTTGTTTGAATGTACATTTGGGGTTACTTTGCACATATGAATAGCATCATCTCTCTTTTTATTTTTTTGCTTCTTTTTGGTTGTTAGAACGCCCGTAATGCATTGTTTTCTTATATTGATGCTAATTTAGAGTTTAATCATATTCAATATTGTATCATTCCTTGCATCTATAAATCAAATGAGGAAAGTCTCTAGACTGTTAAACACACACATACATGTCTCTAGATGTCATGAAACATAATGGGAAGGAACAGGATAGCGTGAGCTGTAGATCTTGAGTATGCGACTTATTGACAAGGGTATATATATCCAACATAAAAGAATGGAGAGGTGCAACAAAACCAAACAGAACGCAAGTCAAAAAAAAGAGCTGAGTGCCACAGCCAAAACAATCCCGAAATTAAAAAAACCAGATAAAAAAACCAAAAAACACTATCGTTGCGGTTCATCATCTGCCTTCCGCTTCCGACTCGCTGTATCGTCAGCATCCAGCAACTTCGAATCCGAGAACAGTGTCACGCCATGATCGTCTTCATCTTCATTGTCAGCTTCGACCTTTTCCCAATCATCATCCCCGTCCTCTTCTTCTGCCGACACAAAGTGTTCTTCGTCGCCGGAGAGCTTCGCTTGCTCCGGGGCATCCGGGTTCGCGTTGGTAGATCCATCATCCCCTTCTGCGCCATTCTCGTCATCGTCCCATTCTAGCGTCAACTTCACGATCCGCGCACCCGACGGCCTCAACTTCCGGTAGTAGTTCTCGACCACCCCCGATTCCACTGTAAAGCCGCGCGAGACGTACCATTTCAGGCCCTCGTCGTTCGCCTCGTGAACGTGTGCCGTGATCGTGCGGATGTTGTAGTGTCTGACGAGCGAGGAAACGCAATAACCAGACTGCAGACCGCCCTTATCCCCCTCTGAAGATGACGGCGGCGGCGTGGAAAAGAGCAACGAGTTGAGCAAAGACGCCGCGATGCCGTAGCTCCGATACGGGGACAGCAGGTGCAGTGTCTGGATGTACAAGTTCGCCGGGTCTCGCTGAGATTTGCCCGGGAGGCGCTTCGCGGCCATAGGCGGGACTGACTCCAGACGACAGCGAATCCCCCCGATGACTTTGTCCGACCCCGTAGAGGCCGCCGTGGCGGGGGACGTTGCCGGCGCCGCGGCTACCGGGTGATCATGGTATATGGCGACGCGCGAGACGGAGGCGATGACGGGGTCTGTGATGGTGGCGGTGTAGAAGGAGTTCGGGTAGCGGATGGGCAGCAGAAGGCCTGTTATTCGGGATAACGAGGGAATGTGAGCCGTGTTGACCGGTTCGATGGTAACGTGGGGGTGTGGAGTTGGGTATCCGGACGCGATGGCGTGAGGGTACGCGACGGGCTGGTAGATCGAGGAGTCGCCGGAGCTGGTCGGGGGCTTGAGTTTGGCGGCGATGGTGGCGTGCGAGGCATTTTGGTGTCGGAAGGCGCTCAGCGAGGGGGGGCTTATGGGGGATTTGGCGCGTCTGGTGTTGGAGGATGGGGATGAGGAGGAGGGAGGAGAGAATGGTGGAGAAGTGGGCGGCTGCTTGGATTGATGCGCCTTTGCGAAGAACTGATATGCCATGATGGCGGAGGGTGTGTAGATAAGTGTATGTACAGAAGAAGATGGGGATAGAGAAGTTCCGTGTTGTATGTACCTTCTCTCTCTGTTCGTATGTACTCACGCCCACCTGTCACGAGAGAAGAGGAAGAAGAAGTCAGGAGGGGAAGTCACTCGACGCAAACAGCGACAAACGCGGAGATGAGATAAGATAAGATCGGCCGGTCGGCGAGAGTCGTCCAGCAGCAGCAAAGGCCAGCGCAAAGCCTCGCCGGTCTTCCCTCCCAGTCCACTCCAATCTGCCTGTTTCCCCACGGACAAGACCGCGGTGGGACTGCCGGATGCTCTTTAGATCCTGACTTTTTGGATCGTCGACTTTCCTTATCTATATATACAACACTCCCTCTCTCATGTAAACCAGGTAAGCCGGTCCTCACCCTGCGAAGAAACGAGTCCTCCGCTGATTCTTCCTACCGTAGGCGTTTCCCGCCACCGACAGGAGACCTTCCCCCATTCACTTATCGACCGGCCGATGAACTCGAGGTGCTGCACGTGCTACTGGCCACTCCGCTGAGTCCTGTCTTCACGATCGATTGTTCCGCGCGCTCTCCTGCCCGGCTTCCGACTGTCCGCCCCCGTCGCCGCTCATCGATTCCTATCGTTGGACGGTATACCACACGCACGAGTACATGGAGTCGTATTGTTGACTGCAGGGATATTCACTTTGGTATTGCGCGGGCTTGTTATTTTGGCCATTGTCTTGGGTAGTGGGTCTATAAACTGTGAATAAGGTTAGTCTTCTGGCGCTGCGCATCATGACGGCATTCGGGGGGCTGGGACTGTGAACCTCGGTGATTGTTGCGATCCTTATTGCTCTTATTGTTTTTGGGGCAATAGGTATCTGTCGCACCCAGGGCCCCTCACTCTGACAACTTGCCTGTCGGTCTTCTTTCCTTCTCCTTCTCGTCACCTTCGGACACTCTGTTTGGTGTTAGCTAGCTCCTAACATTTACACACACAGAATACACTTGCATACACCGACAAAATGGGCGAATCAAATGGATCGGGAGAGCAGAGTAGCTCACATGCTTCGGGCACCATCGCAAAATTGGTATGTCTAGCATCCGTGACGGATCGCATATCGGTTTTCTCATTGCTTGGGGCTCCATCACTGACGTACTCAGACTTCTGACATTCTGAACGACACCTTCTACAACATCGTCTACGATATTGTTGCCAAGGTACATCGCGATGAGAAAGTCGCCCGCATGCGCTCCGCCGTCGTCGTGGCGAGACAGAAAGCCGAAGATGAAGCGGCCAGGCGCCGCGAAGAATCCGGCAACAAGTCCGCCAACCCGCTGAACTCGGGCGATCCTGATTCTGAAGAGTTCAAGGATCTTCGAGTGGAAACCGAGGCGGCCATCTTCGAAGAGAGCAAGGTCTATCTCAAGGGAAACCCGCTTCAGACCGTCAAAGACATCATCTGCCCCGATTGCCGGCTACAGCGTCTCCTATATCCAACCACCGGGGTCGGAGCGCGGGCACCGCCCGATCCATATCGCGAATACTGCACTGAGACGCCGATGATCAACAAGCCGGGACACGACATACATGGCAATCCGTTCGCGACCGACAAGCTCAATCCCAAGAAGAAGAAACAGACTACTTCATCTAATACTCCGGCCTCGAGTCCTCCCACGACGCCCGATGGCTCCTTCAAGCACGCGGCCCCGGAGAAGATTTCATTCCCGACGGTCAAGTGCCCGCAATGTCCGAGATACTTCGTCGTGACGCGTGTAGCGCAGCACATGGATCGATGCATGGGCCTATCTGGTCGGCAAACCAGTCGGAACAAAACGCCCATGGAGAACGGCACCAGCACGCCCACATCCGCTCCACCGAAGCGTCCGTTAGAGGATGATGCGCCGTCGCCAGCTCTCACGAAGAAGAAAAAATTAGGGGCTCCGAAGAAACTCTCGGGCAAAAAGCCACCTCCTGCTCCTAGCAGTAAACTAAAGAACGGCCTCACGCCTGACATGGCGGCCGCCGCAGATGCAGCAGCTTCAGGCGACGCTGACATCAAAAGCGAGGCGAACGGAGATTGACAATTCTCGCTCGTTCTTTTTTATCATGTCTTCCTCATTTCTCTTTCAAGAGTCTACACATTACTTTCGCAGAAACACAGACACTTTCTGTATCGGGGACGAGATCTGGACATAGTCTCCTTGTTTTCTTTTCTTTTTAATTTGTTTTAACGATATAGACGTAAATACTCGGCATCAAAGGCGTCACCGGGGACTTTGCTCTAGTACACAATCATGTCGAAAAATCTGGGACATGTTCGGCGTCGTTTTCTCTCATTTCTTATGTCCTTTTTTTCCTTTGTCAGTTCTTATCATGAACTTGATCGATGTGGTTTTGTTTTTGATCTTCGGTTGAAGAATAGATGATGATGCAGAAATCGTGCAAGATGCACTGTATGTACAATAGTTTGGGGAGTACCAGCACCAGCATTAAGAACATTTGCGGTTAATTCCATGGACCGTTTAGCGAGATTCTCCCCTTGCAGGCTCTGCTAAGGTAGTCAACATGATGCGCCTTGACTCATAATGACTGATGAGGTCATGGTGGCCTGAAGAATACGGCCACCACGCTCTCCACAATTCCGATAAGACAAACGCCAACCACTTCCGCATCTCAGCTTCGTCTCCGATTCACCTCCCCTTCAATCTCTTTATCCTTCTACTTAAACAATACACCCCATGGCCGATTCCTCGCTTTTAACATGGGGAGTTCCCCGTCTCTCCCAAATCCTTCCCCTAGACGACGATTCCCTCAAGCAGATCCTCTCCTACGCCGCCAGCCTCTCCAAAGATGAAGGTGCGGAGCATCTCAAAAACCTCCTCGGCGACTCCCCCGCCGCATTCGAATTCATTTCGTCCTTCAGTGCCCGCCGTGAACCACCCGCTTCTTCTACCCAACGCGCACGAATTACAGATTCCGAACCCTCGTCACGAAACGCCAGTCCAGCAGGTTACGGCAAACCCGCGAAGAAAGGCAAAAAGTCCAAACCACCGCTTCACAGCGCCGGTCCTGTCCGACAAGTTGAGAACTTTGGAAATGTCGCGGGCGGGTATCGCAAGGCCGACCAGGACGAGGATTATATGGCCGCGTTTTCGGGAGGTCGCACACAAGGGAAAGAGACTAAGCCAGGTACCGCCGCGGGGGTAAATACGGGTTCGGAGTCGCGGCCCAGCGCACAGTTCCTGGCACCGTCGTCGCGTGAGGAATCCTCTGCTTCCTCATCGCGGGCGCCCTCTCCGGGACCGAGACCGGGTGCTTCGAACAGCAGCAGCAGTAAACCCCCGCCGTCGGCCTCGGGACCCATGATCTCGGATTACCTACCGAATGTGAAATCGAAGGCCGCAAAGCCGTCGTCGTCGCGACAGGGCGGAGGCGGAGGAGGGGGATCGTCGAAGGGTGCTCTCACGACGAACAATATCTCAGATTTAACAGCAGCGATCGCCGCCTTGGAAGTATCTACGAATCCGACGCTTGGCGGAGAAAGTCAGAAATGCAATTGCTACGCGTCGTTACATCCGCTGTTCGATCCGGCTCCGAACTGTCTGAATTGCGGGAAGATCATCTGTTCGCTGGAAGGTCTCCAGCCCTGCTCGTTCTGCGGGACACCGTTGCTCTCGAGCGAGGAGATCCAGGGCATGATCAGGGAACTGCGAGCCGAACGAGGACAGGAGAAGATGCGCGCTCATAACGAGAGCGTTCATCGCGAAGGCGGACCGGGACAGGGATCTAGCAGCGGAGGAGGGCCGAACAAGCTAGATGCCGCCAAGGCGCATCGAGACCGACTGCTTCAGTTCCAGGCGCAGAACGCCAAACGAACCAAGGTCGTTGACGAGGCGGCAGATTTCGAGACACCGAATGTTGCGTCCACGTTGTGGATGAGTCCCGCGCAGCGAGCACTCGCGTTGAAGAAACAGCAACGCGTGCTGCGCGAGATGGAAGAGCGGGCCCGCCCGGAGTGGGAGAAGAAGCAGACCGTCATGAGCTTGGATATCAAGGGTGGTCGACTCACGAGGGTGTACCAGTCGGCTGGACCGGCTGAGTCAAGCCCGTCTGCAGAGGAGCAGGAGGAGCAGACCCTGGCGGAAGAGGCTCTCAGTCATGATACGGGGCGAACGGGCAGCGGCGAAGCTTTCAGTCGGAATCCTCTACTTGCGGCCGGTGGACTGGTGCGGCCGGTCTGGAAGGCAGCAGATGGGAAACAGCCGGAGAGCACAGCACGCAAGGACCGAAAGCAAACGTGGCGACGGGTTCAGGATGACAATTATGACAATGAGCAGTGGATCTTAGACGGTGGTGCACATGGATATACGCGATGATAGAGAAGTCTTAATAGCTACTGTAATAGCTACTGTACATTTCTACAATGTCGGCGGAGGGAAACCAACATAGACTTAGACAGGACAGATTCGTGAAAAGTTCAACTAAACTCTGAAGTTCGGTCGTATATCTGCACATAAGACAGCTCAATGAACAAGGATCTCGGGCGAATTTGTACGAAGAAGCTACTCCTTTTATCTACGAGAAGGGCATTTGTACTTAGTATGATCCATCTGACACTTGGTAGTAGATATCTTTGTCCACGCACTCGGATGAGTTTTTGAATTTCCAATCTATAATCCATGCAAATGATGTGATCTCTACTTCCTATTACATAGAAATTGTTAGATACTTCGCCACAAATTAGTAGTCTTTTGTATCTAAGGAGGTTATTCGCCATATTGTTACTAGTAATGTGTATAATGCCCAGTTGAGATGCAGAAGTGTGGGTACGGCAGTCCATAGCGGCCACTTCGCAACAAAAATAAAGTAGTACGATTACACCGCCTATTGAACCGCCTACTATAAGGAGTATAGTAGGTATCATCTAACCCGCTATATCCACAAGCTTACCCGCTGCTCGACCTACTTAAATCATAACCGACCCCTGCGCCGTAAGCATCCGGGTGTCGCGGATCCGCGACACCCGGATGCTTACGGCGCAGGGGTCGGTTACGTAGCAGCGGCCCTAAGGCACCCGATGACACTACACCTTACGTACTAAATAAACAGACATTTATTATCGAGCCATAACTTTAGACTATGAAATTTCGCTAGCGGGTAAACTTAATCCAAGTTGAAATAGTAATATATATGACAGATTGAATAGTAAAATCCCTACGGGACTTTATGTTAGTTTTCGCCTCAAGGGCGCCACTTGTTTACTGCGACTAAGGAGGAGAAGGGGGGTGTTAGCGCGTAAGCCTGATCCAAGGTTGTATATAATGTATAGGCGGTATATAGCGGGTTAGATAGTAGAATCCCAGCAAAACTCCGTGTTAATTTTCTATACCTCACGCGCTCGTACAGTAGAATTCAATTTTCAGTTCACGCAAATAATCGAATTTTGAAATAACTACTCTCATTGTAAAATATTGCATAAAATTACACTTATATTCAATCAAATCGCTCAAATTAAGCAAGTTTATCAAGTGTAGTATAAGTTACTTACATAGTAATGAAAACTGCATTCTGTCGGCAGAATTTATGAAAAATAATTTTCTTTTTGTTGTGGAGTGGCCGCTATGGACTGCCGTAGTGTGGGTCCCTCGGCCTCCTCGACTAATGAAAAACGAAAGAAATAAAAAAATAATTTCCATAATAATAAAAAGAACAACAACACTCCCGCCGTCGGCCCCCATAACTTCCGAGTTCGTCAGCCTTGCCCCGTATACTGTAGGTGGTCCTGTTTATAAAGTAGGGTGGCTTGAAGGTACTGTCATGTCACATATCACAGTTTAGGAGCAGAACCCTGGAATATATGATCAAAAGCTCATTGCATCTACACTAGGGACATGGCATTATCGACCGAGGCCATAATTGCGGTAGTTACTCTATTTGTTACCGGGCCTTCTGCGGTTCTCATGTTCTGGAAGTATACTCGACGGCAACGACAGTCTCCACGTACTGAAGGTAGGAGAATCTCCTTTCCTAACCTTGTTAACAATCTACATAGACAAGCATTTATTAACCCCACTTCCCTTTCTTCGTTCTAGAAGCATTGCAGACTTTGAGACCTCCGAGGCTCCCTCGGCCTAGAAATGACCGTGAATATCCTGGTTTGCTGATCGAGGTTGGGTTGGCGGACCATCCATTTGGTATGTATGGAGTCGTTGTTAATGTCCACCTCCTCTTCTATTTACCTCCAAGCGGGCTTTTCTTCAAGTGAAAAGTCCAACGTTCTTTCTATCTAAATTCTGTCATGTTTATCTTTTCTCTCTTCTGTTAGCCAATTTAATGTTAATGTTTCTTGTTTTTCCTACTGGATCTATTCCAAATACTTTGGATCCCCGACGCACTATTTATCATTTTCACTAAGCCCTTGCCTGAATCCAGAACCGGGCACTCAAATCCTCCTCAACAGAACAACCATATCGGAAACTCTGATACTATACCCCGTGCGTCGTTACTGATTTGAAAGCACGGGCATATTATTGCCATTGCTTCATCGCTTTATCTATCGACATTAGACATTTGTGCAGCGGACTAGCGGAGTTAACAATCGAAGGGCATTCTGTGTGGGCTTGGAATCCGCTTTGGAGATCATCGGAGAATCGGAGTATACGATTGGATTGTTGTTTGTACCAAATTCAGACGAAGCTGTCGGAGGGCAAACAGCAGCCGGAGTGGGTATACTGAGCGGGTCCGAGTGTATGTATCTGGGGGAGTTCGAGACGTGGACAATTAGACTTGCAAATTTTTGAATCTTGACTCAAGGGCTACTTCAGAGCTTTGATTAGTTGGTTTCTAGGTTATATAGAATTTGGGCATTGGAAAAGTTTTATTTACTGCTTCATTTAGCCCTGTCGCGGCCTCTTGGTCGTTGCCATTTCTAATAATGGTTAGCCCGGGAATACATGTGTATTCCCGGGCTAACCATTATTAGAAATGGGTGCTAAAAATATATGAAGAGCCCTAACAAGGAGCTGATGTTCGAGTATAATGCAATGATTATTTTCATTAATATGTTACTTGTTCTCTTTGAATTAATTCATTGCTTCGATTAAGTGTTTATTCAGCAATTATGGTAAACCTCTGGTCCCTTCATGCATATTTCATCTTAGTGCCATTCCATTTTGATCCTGGAGTTTATAAACAATGCATTTTTTGTTACTTTTCTACGGAGATCTATATAAAGACAAACAATAAACAATTCTGCACAATTTAGTTCTATCCATGCCATCTTTTCTCATATATCCCTATCTCTGTTAAACAGGCGCATTCACCGCAACCCAAAGCCTCAGTTAGAGCGCAGCGATCTCCGCACAATGAGAGCCTACTCCCACTTCTTCATCAGAGTGTTGGCCTCAATCTCGTTATCAAAGTTGACCAGGTGGGTCGAGTGGCACCAAGGCTTAATGCTCTCCTCCTTGCGAATAGTAGTAGAGAAGAAAGTGCACCACTTGATGCGAGGGTAAGTCTCGTTGATCTCAGTGCGGGTGGCCTCATGGATCAGCTCCCCGAAATCCCGAACGTGCGGATGGAAGCCGGTGTTGTCGTAGGTGGTGGCCAGCTGGATGAGCTGTCCGATGTAGGTGATGGTTCCGTCGACGCCCATGTCCTCGTGGCGGATGATGGCTTCAGCAGCGGCCTCGGCTTGGTCGGTGGTGGCGCCGAAGTCTTTGAGCACGGTGAGGGCCTTGATGCCGCCGTAGATGTCGAAGGACATGCGGGTGGCGGTCAGGTTCTCCTCAGCAGTGCCGAGGTCGTGGAGCAGGCAGGTCAAGGCCCAGGTCACTGGGTTCAGGGCAGCAAATTTATCGGGGAACTGCTGCTTGGTGATGGCTAGTCCTGGGTGGAGGTTAGATGGGAGCTATGTTGATGTTGTGGGGCATGTGTGATTTGCGAACGTACCGTAGAAGTAGACTCGCATGGAGTGGTTGAAGGTCTCGGCATGGAGGGTCTCCTTCGCATACTTGAGAGTCTTCGCGACAGTGGGATCCTCAAAGGGGAACTTGATGTCGCTGAGCGAGAGAGGGCCCGGCTTGTTGATGAAAGGCTGGCCACCAAAGATGGCGCCCGCGTTGGCGGGCATGGCAGCCCAGCCGTTGGCAGCGATTTCGTGGTTGCACATTTTGAAGTAGAGAGAGTTGGTAAAGTCAGAGAAGTTCTGAGTGGAAATTTTCGGAGTAGAAGTAGAAGGCAGTTAACTTGAGTAGTAGTTAAGATCCTGTTGAAAAAAAGCGAAAGTGATTTAACGAGGCAGGATGAAGCCCTTAAATATCCATCTTGTCAGCGTGACTGAATCAATGCAAGGGATCACATTCCCGTCTGATCCGTGATGATTTACAAGCAGATCCAGGACATTTCTCGGACTTTGCAGCTCTGCTGAAGTTGATGAAGCCGCGGAGTGGAACCAGGCTTGCCCGATTAGGAAGTTATCGCAGGTGGGTCGATGACGGCGTTGAAGAATCTAAGAATGGCTCTGCTCCAGACTCCAGAATCCCTTCCCCCGAGAATCATCCGCTAAGATTCTTACAGACTGTGCACTTCCTGTCAATCCTTGGAACGACCCTCCGAAGACCTGCAATCGATCGATTAATAAGCTTCACTCGCCAGTCTAGGAAGTTATAGCTTGTACTGCCCTATGATCTACTAAGTTTTCTCTCCCGAGTGGGTCTATGATGACGTTCAAAAGGTTTTGCCCCAGACTCCGTTCTCTCAACAGTTCTCCGCTAAAATACAATATCCGCGTAGTGACATATGCCAGTCCTTCTATTATCCATGGAATAAACCTCGGAAGGTCAGCAACAGCTAAATTAATAAGTTTCAGTCGCTGTTATAGGAAGTTATAGCATGTGGCGCTCAAAAATCTAAGTTTTTGCTGTTTTATGTATCACCAATCTAGATAAGAAATCATATAATAATAAGAATCCTTGTCTTGTAACCGTTATGTCGACCATGTTACCTAAGAGGCTTAGTACGACAAAAACACTCATTGACATTCTCTCACAATAACTATAAGTTTCATTCAGAATGGCTAATAGTCACCTCGCCAATCCGGTATGTATCCAGCCGAAATTCTGTCTGATACACCCGCAACAGATGTACTGACCATGTTCTCAAGAGTCCCCTAGGATTCGGTGGCTTTGCAACTACACTCATGACCCTTTCGCTTTCGATGATGGATTTCCGTGGCGTTGCCAACCAGTCTGTGTTCATAGGAAACCTTTGCTTCCTCGCAGGACTAGGTCTCCTCATATCTGCACAATGGGAGATGGTGAAGGGGAACACTTTTGCTTATACCGTTCTCGCCGCATTTGGTAAGTCACACATGTCCATTGCGCATTGATGGTGACAGTCTCTAACGCCTTGTAGGATTTTATTATGGCGGCTACGGCGTAATGCTGATGCCCTCGCTGGGAATTGTAGCCTCCTACGGCGGTAAAACATCCGAATATTATAGTGCTTTCGCATTCTATCAGCTAAGTGAGTTCCCAATGACCACTGCACAGACTACTTTGGCTGACATCATGATTGAAGTTTGGTGTTTTCTGAATTTTTTCTTCTTCCTTGCCTCTTTACCAACGTGAGCACATGCATTCGAAGCGATTAAGAATCATGCTGACAGTTTTTAAGGAACGTTCCGAATATCATCGTTTATGCCGCCTTAGAGGTGTGTTATATCCTAAACTGTTCGGCGAACTTCATGATGGCAGATGGCAGAATGGCCTTAGGTGAGTCTCTCATGACGGCGGCTGGTGCCTTTGGGGCCGTATCGGCGTCGTCTGGATTCTACCTTCTGGCACATGGGTTATGCCAAGAGACATTTCCTTTTGAGATTCCTTTGTGTGAAACGCGAGGGCTGTTTCGACGTGCATCCTCGATTCGTGCATCCTCTGTTAATAAATCTTCTATTCGTGAGAAGAGTGTTGGGGTTGACTCCGTTTGAAGAGATAGCTTGGGTTGCACAAGTGATCAAATACATCTGCGCGAAGAGCATGTCAAATAGAAGGCGATGTTTTCAGCTGCATTTCCATTAATAAATGAGTCAAGGAATTGCCATAGTTGATCTTAATGCATGTATTCTCGACCCACGTATAACAGGATGGTTTCGCACCTAGCTTCTTCGTTATTGAAGCTCCTATTACTACAAGAAACTGGAAAAGCTCAGGTGTTGAGGCACTTCAGAATTTGCAGGCATAAGTTAATAAGATGATCATGGAAGCAATAAAATAGATCAAACAAGCAGCCAGCCTTGCTCTATTACATAGAGTTGAGATTCCTCCGGCGTCAAATTGCCACCAGACTGCTTTTGCCTCCAATGGTCATGCAGAATCTTCGAAGCGTTGATTATATTCAGACAGCAGGTCAAATCCCAAAGCGTCTTTAGAGATTGTACGACCTGTTGCTGATCACTTTCCGTCTCACATTCGAGGCCGGCAATGAAAGTCGGCCACAGTAAGCACTTGAACAAAGCGTCGTCACACTTGAGAGCCTCGATTACGTCAAGTAATCGCAGCACTAGCTTGCCGTTGTCAGACGCTACCGCCCCGGCTGATTTCCCGAAAGCCCGAAGAACTCGGTTTCCATAAAGGAAGGTGGCAGTTCTGTATGATTCCGATAGCAAAGACAGCATATGAACTTTCACTATCGGGGATTTATTTGATTGCACAGAGTTTGATGCCCACTCAACACAGTCAAACTCTCCCGTTAGTTCGAGCATGGTCTGAGTATCTCTTACATGCTCCTGAATGGAGGTGTCGTCATACATTTTCAAAGTCTCGATCACATGTCTTTGGTTGGAGAAATAACGTATGGCCTCCAGAAGGAATCCAGGACATCCAAGAAAGCTTCGAATAATTGACTCTTGATTTCTGCCTTCTTCGGAATTGACACATAACCCAGGCATAGACTCCGAATTTGAGAGCGCGCCTCCAATGGTTGAGACACTACTGTTGTTAGTTGCAAAGCATAATGAATAGAACAGGGGGAAGAGCATACAGCGAAAATTGTCGGGCAACAAATCGCCTCGTTTCCTCCACTGTCTCTCCAGGATCACTGTTGACATGGTGACTGGTACCAGGCTCTAGCATCGATTGAGATATCTTGAAAAGCTCTTCTGCACCATGAAGATGATATTTCCAACCGTCGATGCCAGACTCGAGTATATCGAGGAAAATCAAAAGTAGAATAGTTGCCATTATCGTGTCTTTCTGAGAGGGGGTTGGATGGGACAGTGAGGATAATAAAGACTTGATGGCTTGTCTTTTAAAGTGAAGTGCATCCACATTAGCATTGACAACTTGAGGTGACGAAGCATCATCGGTCTGATCGAACGACCGCCCTGAATTGGCAAAATGTCGTGCGGCAACAGCAATTATACCCATTCTTAAAGTTGAATCATCTACCGCGTATGCGAGTAAATTCCGAAACGGATTACTCGCGCTGTCATATAGGATGAACAACTTGGCGATACGTATGTTATCTTTGTCTGGCATTAGCTACCCACGAAAGAAAATCCACCGCACCAGATACCCACAGTAATCAAGGTAAAACCTCGATGACCAACCGAGGTCATCTGTGCAAGGGTCTTGCAATGCTAAAGGGGGAGCGCTTTTGAGTGCCAAAGACTTTGCGACGGAGGATAGGACTGATTTCTGTTTAGGTGGCATGGTTGGTTTTCCATTGGCGACTTTTTGATCTTCTTCAAGGACACGCCCACGCAGTTTACCCCGGATAGCCACGCCCTTGACCCATCGTAGTGGTCTGGTTTCGAAACATTCTAGCCCAGCTTTCTTGCATTTGGCGCAAGGGTCGCTGGTTCGGTCACATTGGATGGTGCGTTTGCGGCACGTCCAGCATGCTGCACGCATTGTGAAAGAGAGCAAAGCTGACGAAGAGAGAGATGACAATACTCGTCAGTAGACGGTCGTAAGGTTCGGGTTTTGCGATGTTGTGGAGAGTTGGGAGACGTCGCCACGGAAGTCGGCCGGAGATAGGATGGTCCGTGCGCGGTGACTCGACAAATCCACGGGTGGAGTATACAGACACTTGGACTTGACTTACATCTGCTTGAGATAACTTCGATGAGATGAAGACATAATAGGATTATAATGTACGCCACGGAGCCTTTTGTACGAGTGTGCCACCTTCTCACCTGAGTTTAAGCGCTTACTTATCCCTCTTTCCTCAATGGTAGGCATATTCTTTCCTTGGAAGATATTGCACACCTCAATAACCCGAAGAAGAGCTTCTATCACAGTCTCTAATCCTCAGTATTAGGCAAAACCCTGAAACAAGATCTCTCATCCGAGAACTAGTCTCTACCATCATCTTGGACGTTACACAAGCAACGCCCGATTACAAATGTTTACTGACCAGGCCCCGCCAAAGAACATCAACTTCTCCGTCATGTCTTCAATCCAACCAGTTAAACACCCTTTCAACCTAGAAATGAGAGGAGTGCTCCTAGTGAGTGAATAGGCGAGCGAGAATGAGCCTCTGCCTCTCAGCCCTCAAAGAATACGGTGATCCCTACAAAAGTTGTTGCCCAACGCAAAAAAACATCTATACGGATTCCGCCGATTCTGTCCCACGTACACGCAGAATGGTCAAATAGAATTCATTCTTGGACCCGGAGAACCCTAGCGCTCGGCTTTGTTGGGCTGGCCACAGACAAAGTCATATTCTGTGCTAATAATATGTACTGGAGGCAGATATCGGAGAGGACTCTGCCAGGTATGATTTCAAACAGACTTGACTGAACGAGAATCTGAAGTGGCCTAAGAGCAAGTGGCTGCGATCATTGTAATATCAACTGGTGTCAACGAATTGACTGCAAGCTCGATCGCACTGGCTAATGGTATCATGCCAAGTATGGATTTTTTCTTGCGCTTCTCCAAGATTGGTCAGCTACTAGGAAATGACTCTTTCTCGCAGTGGGCTCGATTTTGTTCTGGAGTCCTACCTGAGTATTCTATTTGTCTGGCTCTCAACACTGCCTGCCTTGGTGAAACTGCTATGGCTTTCTTGGTCTACTGCCAGTGGATACCGAGTAGTTGGGAGCACATGCATGATGATCGCGTGTGAGAATAAGCATACACATCCTGGTCTATGGGCTTGATCCGTTCATACCCAATGGAAGCGGCATCTACGTCAGAGAAATTGATATAGGGACCATCAAGTTCTGATATCTAGGTCACACTATCTTACTTTCCCATATAATGGAACACAAGAGGCACAGTCTTGGAAGATTTGTTCTTCTATGACCATTCCCTTTCCTCTTTCTTTATATTTCGTGAACACAAGCTCAATACCAATCAAATGCCTTGGTCCACCGATACCACCATCGCAGTCGTGACACTGCTCGCCACAGGGCCCTCTTCCGTTATCGTCCTGTGGAAGTTCTTTCGCAATCGCAGACAGCCCAGTCATGCAAATTGTATGAAGCTCAAGCTCCCCTGAAGCGGGTCGGGCAGTAGGTGTGAGAGATGAAGTGAACCATTAGAGCCCGATACTGATTGACGTAGATACGTTGGACGAACTCGAGGAATCTGCGAGGATGCCCTCGTCTGACTTGACTGATTATCACTTGTCGAGGGCAGCGAGTGACCCCTCTCACTGCCAACCATCTAGATTGGATCTTGAGGCAGGGTTAGTGGAGTTCTTACTCGGTAAGTTTTGTACACATCTCTGTCATTCTCGCGTGCTTTCATTTTCTTTTGCCATAAAGTGCTACATTTACTTTACTAATAGCATCGAAACTAACAGAGAACAATGTATACATGCATCTGAATAGGAGAACCTTTTCGGAACTCCATATATCATACTTTACGGGTCGGAGCCAGGCTCGTAACTAGCTTATCTAGGGCTAGTGAGTTTATCTTGGGTGGAAGCATGTGATCGTTTGATTCCTTTACGATGTTAGCACTTTTGGCGGCTACTTCATTCCATTTATTTTCTTTTGCCTTTCCTCCACATATCTTCATCTCCTTTGATCCCAACTTACGGCCCTGTGGGAGAGCATGAAACAAGGAAAGGAAAATAGACCATACATACGTGATAAAATGACGAATACGAAGACAACAACGGAGGGTTTTAGTTTTGGGGCTATTAGCTAAGAGTCACTTCGTAGAGTGTTGATCCACAGGTTGCTGCACTAGAAGAGGTAGTGTGGCACATTGCTATAGCTGGATGAGAAGATAATCTCGGAAGAAGTATACCTCCACAATAAACATATCATTATAAGACTAAGCATCATACATTACATTATCTAGTCGACACCCTCCCCCAGAGAATCACCCATCACCAAGATCAACATCATATCTCATCATCTCATCTAACCTTCTACCTCACTGCCCAACGCAAACCTGGTATCCCAACCACAAAGTCGAGCACGAGGTCCCAATCTGTGGGTTCCAAGTTCCAAACTGCGTCGCCGTAATACCATACTTCTGCTGAATAGCCCAGCAGGTATCGCCATTGACCACCTCATGTCACTTCTTGCAGGTAGCAGTGTTCGTGCCCGGCATCGGCTGCAGGGCATTCGTAGCCACGCAGTAGTAATATCCTACCTGCAGGCTTGCGCAGATACCACCGACGGCCGGGTTCCACCAAATTAACTGGGCCAAGGACAAGTAGGTGTACTTGTTTGTGACGATTGTGTAGTAGCTGTCGCCGGAGACAGCCTTGTAGAAGGTGTTGCAGTCGGTGGTGATGCCGCTTTGGGTTGGGGAGGGGCCTGTGCCGGCTGTTGTTGCTGATTTGGTGGTTGTTGTGGTCGTCTTTTTGGTGGTTGTGGTGGAGCCTGAGTAGGTTAGTTGGGTTCATATAGAGATGAGATGTTAAGAAGGTGCTTACTAGAGACACCAACGCAGACATAGTAATCTGCGATGAGAGTACGGCAGTCTGATCCAACAGCTGGGTTCCAGCTGTAGAAATCGGCTAGGGAGATGCCATTAGCCGAAGCAATGGCAGCGCAGCCATCGCCTGACTTGACGAAGTAGTGCTTGTTACCTGTTATGGTGTTAGAATGATGAAGATGAAGAAGGATACATCGAGTAGAACATACAGTTCTTTGCAATACCGCTCTGCTGGGGAGTGTTGGCGGCAGCAGTGGTCGTCGTCGTAGGGGCAGTGGTCTTAGTAGAAGACCCAGTTACTTCAACACAGACATAGTAGTCTGCGATCAAGGTCCGGCAGTCTGATCCTACAGCCGGATTTCAGCTGTAAAAGTCGGCTAGGGAGATACCTTTGGCGGTAGCAATGGCCGCGCAGCCATCGCCGGACTTCACAAAGTAGAACTTGTTGCCTAGGGCTATGTTAGTTCTTGAAAGATGTACACTTGAATGGATAATATATAGTTCTTTCCAATGCCACTCTGCTGGGGATTGTTGGCTGTTGTATGTAGTAGTCTTAGTAGTAGTAATGGTGGTGGTGGTCTTGACTGCAGGGGCTTCAACTCAGTAACTCCGTCCGGGGGTTAAAGTGCAAGATGTGGTTGAAAGAGAAGGGTTCTACCTCATATTGTTAGCTAAAACCGTCAAGATATACAGGGGTGCATACTTACCCAGGACACCAGGTCAGCAATTGTGAGGCCAAAGTAGTCCGTCAAAGACGCGCAAGTGTCATAGTCTGTCGCCGTGTTGGCCCAGTAGGAACATCCACTGGCCACATTCGGATCAGTGGTTCCTATCGCAGTGTCACCGTTGAGTCAGCGCTTTCCAATGGGGGAGGCATTGGCAGCCCCAAGAAGGACAGCTAGGGTGAAGATACGATGAAGTATGACGAAATAGGTCTGGATGCACAAGGAATGTCTGGCTTATCTTACCACAAGGAGAGTAGGGCCTAATTTATACATTCAGACTACAGAAAGGACCGGATATGTAAAACATTGTTAAGAACGATATCCCAAATGGGCCAAGAAAGAAGCCTTTGGAATGATACATCGATACACGATCATTACTAGCGCATTCAAGGCATTCAGGCATCGGCTAAAAGAACCAGACGCTACCAGCTTTAGAATGATGTTAGTGCAAGGCTAATCCCCGGATAAAGGCGAAGGACGTTAACCCCAGACCCTGGTCTAGGGCTTTGGGAACGGAAAACAGATTGCCTGGGGTTGGATTGCGGAGATGATGCCTGAATAGTCCAAAGATCTTTCTTAGTGAATCACAGTGTACGACGGCTTGCTGACACTACATGAACCCCCCTCTGTCCCTCGAACTATCGATAATTCCTGGCTATTTCTTTTATAGTGCTTACTCTAGACCCTGATCAACACCCATTGTTCTTTCCTCTTGACCGACACACAGACCAACTCGCCGTCTGCTCATTTCAAAACTTCACTAGATCCTCGCGTATCTTCCTGGTAGTCAAGCCAGTCTAACTTGTTTACTAGGAAGTTAATATACATCTTCACTAGAGCCAACATGTCAACTGCAGGCAATGGCGACGGCAACAAGAGGTGATATATACAGCTTTAGATAGAGCGGGAATAGCAAGGCCTTCTGTACAAGAAACCTACCCGGAAAGCAGGCTCTTTAAGGAGCCTAAAGCTACTAAAGCCCTACTGGACTTTATAGCTAGTACAGACGTGGCTCTTTCTGGAGAACAACACCAGAAGGGCCAACAACCCGGTAATCGCGAATGAGTCACTTCAATCGTCACGATCAGTGCAGCAGGATACGTTCTACCGCCGCAGATCATCTTCGCCGGTAAGCCTCATCAAGAGAAGTGGTTTGAAGCTATTCCCAATGACTGGCGGGTCAGCGTGAGCGAGAACGGTTGGACTACTGATAAACTCGGTTTTGAATGGCATCAATTTTTTTGACGAATATACGGCTTCCAAAACGATCGGTCAATATCGCCTTTTAATACTCGATGGCCACGGATCCCATTCAACGATTGAATTCGATCAATTTCGCAAAGAAAAAATCATCATTCCTCTCTACATGCCTCCGCATTCATCTCATAAACTTCAACCTCTTGATGTAGTGTGTTTTGCACCTCTAAAGAAGCTCTACGGCCAGAGGATCAATGCGGCGATACAGGGAGGCATTCAATCGATCGATAAGAAGGCTTTTATATCGCATTATAAAATCGTCCACCCACGGGCCTTCTCTACAGCGAATATAAAGAAATCTTTCGCTTCAACAGGCCTTTTTCCGTACAATCCACAAAGGGCCATTTCAAACCTCAAATTGCGCGTTTCAAAACCTACACCACCTTCGACTTCATCTACAAATCAAGAAAAACGCTTATGAACCTCTACCACTTGAATCACCAACGCGAAGAGATTCAAGCTCTGCAATAATCGGGTTCATCGTCGCTTCTAGCGGAACAAACGTATGAAAAGGTGTATAAAGCGGCCGAGATCGCTCTGCAGAATACTACGCTTCTTCAGCAAGAAATTCAACAACTCCGCGCGGCCGATCAGTATAGAAAAGCGAATAAAAAGGCCTCACGCCGATATCTTCAAGAAGGAGGCACTTTGTGCGGTCAAATGGGACGTCAAATCGCTAATGAAAAGGCCGCTGAAGAGGCAAGAAATCGGGCTGCAGCGGCTGCCCAGGGGCCCTCGACGCGCCGGCCACCTCGCTGCAGTAATTGCAATCAGGAAGGCCACAATCGCTTAAAATGTCCAAGTTCTAGCCTTGCCTAATGAGGAAATAGAGTCTGTTTTAATTTTACTGCATTTTTCACATTTTTGAGCGTTGAAATCGCTTCATTTTTGATCAAGTTATTGAAATCGAGCGTTTTGGTGGTGGTGTTGGGCGGATCCGCGCCGGTCCGTTGTCACGCCGCTTCGTTGTCCGGTTACTTTATTAATAATGTGGTGGGGAGAAATGTATGTCAGCGAGTGGGCTTTCCGGTCGGTGGGCTCTGCGAACCATTGGGGCGTTTTATGATAATGCACAATGCCTTATGTATAAGAATTGGCCACAGCACAAACCTGACGTTAGCAAGAGTCCCACATTAACTAGCTGGGATCTTACCCGCTTTGTACAGGTAACTAACATAACTTAATGCGGAGCCGCGACCGAACATCCCACAATTCCTACTACTGAGATTAAGCATTTCTCCTACATGTGAGACTCTCCAGCCTTTCACCTAATTACACCCTGAGCATTTCAGGAGCCAATAAGATGTTTTTAAAACCATTCCCATGTCGCTTCCCGCAGTGCAACGCGAGCTATCAGCGAAAGGAGCACCGTCGTCGCCACGAGGCGCACCATTCCCGAGGCCAAGTATTTAAGTGCACTACTTGTGACCAGAGATTTGGCCGGAGGTAAGCGTGGTTTAAGTTGTCCCAAATTATTGCTAAGTGCAATAAAAATTAATACCGATGTCTAGTGACACGCTGCGGCGACATATGCGGGCGATGCACGGCGTGGAGGAACCCGCCCGTATAAAATTTGCATGTACAGGCTGCCGGAATCAGAAGGCTCGATGCCAGGGTGAGTCACCGTGTACTAACTGTGTTCGTCGCGGACTGCAATGCTCTTTGACGCAAGAGGAGCAAGGTGATGGGAAGCAGATTGGCCATATCAGTGGCTCAACAGACGCACTATCAGTGGCGTATCAGAGTCCTACCCGCTCAAACGCGAATCGCTCCGAAAACGAAAGACATTATATCAAGCTTTATTTCCAGCTGTTCCACCCATATTGGCGCTTCATTCACCAGGGCTCGTTCAAAGAATCAGATGAGACACCCTTGCTTGTCCAGTCAATGGTTGTTATCGGCTTGTGGCTGAGTAATGAGGACAATGCGCAGTCACGAGCTATTGCGCTGCATAATGTCCTGAGTTCGGCTATATATCAGCAAATGGTCTGCTCCCGAATGTTCTGCCATAGATCTCTATATCGTACTAACAACGAACGTTGTAGGGGCTATGGGATGCTTCTGAGTCCGAGGGCGCATGCAGTTCCTGTTCCTGGCCTATCCCGACATATCAGGCTATCTTGCTCCATATCATCTTTGCTATACTATATAAAGATCGTGGCGCGCTGGGCCTTGACCTAAGGCCTTCCTTATCGGCCGCTGGTGCCGAACTGCTTCGCAGGCTAGTCGTGAGTTGCAAAAAGCTAGGGATGCTATATTATCCAAATATGCTCGCGCGATACTGCCAGAATGATCTTCCTTCTTACGTCTGGGTAAGCATTGAGGAAGTGAAACGATTTAACATCGCTCTATATAAAGTTTGCACAGCATACAGCGGAAAGGAGTGTGGCACAGGTGTCCTGGATACAATCGCGGTGTCGAGCAGGGAGCTTCGGGCACAGGATTTACAATTTCCCTTACCAAGGAACACTCCGTTGTGGAACGCCATAAGCAAAGCGGAATGGGTATCTGCTGCGACAGAGGATGTATACCGCCACACCTTGAATGATACTTTGGAGCACGAATGGATTTCTAAGTCAGCACATATCTTGGAGGCGCTAGATACAACTTGATGTTTCTTCGGATGGTTGGGTTGCTATTTAGGCCTTAGTCGACCCGGGAATCTATTGAGCTATAATTAGGTATAATCTTGAGCCTTTCTACACTATTTCTGTCCGAGCTGTCATTTTTTAATGTGGTTGCAGATGACCTGAGGTCAACTTTTTTCTCGTGCGGGACAGGGAATTGGTAAGGACACCCCAACTTGCTTACATAACAAAGAAATATTAACTATCGCTAGTAATATCGCTAGCCGTTACTGATCGTTCTCGGTAGATTGGCTGCTTGCTTCGGGTCCTCTTCGCTGGAGGGGTGTCCCCTGTAGCAGGCGAACTGGCAAGGCCGACGGCTTCCTGCGCTACCTGGTGTCTAGCGCTCCGCCTCGTTGCTTCCGAGGAGATGACGCTGCGAGGGCGCCTCTTGCTCAGAGTGCGACCCCTGGGGGCAGGGGTCACTGGTGCGGGCGTCTCCGGTTCGCTGATCGTGTCGATTTGCTGGGCAAGCGACGGTTCTGACTCGGACGGGATAGGGTCTACGTCCATTTCCGGGTTTAGGTCTATCAGGGCCTCTTCTTGCTGCACAGAGACAAGCTCCTGCGAGCTATGCGGCGGTGTAGATCCTTCTTGAAACCTTACTGTAGAGCGATTCCGCTCCGTTGGCCGGCTGGTTGACCGGGTCAATCTCTCCCTTCCCCAGATCCCGCAGCCCGCCCCTCGCTGTTGGGCGGGCCAGAGGTCTCCGTGTCGCTACCCACGGAGGGATAATCCTGTAGATAGGGCGGGGTACGGTGCAGGGACTGCCGATATTGAGCTGCAGTTTGCACCCGCTCCTGCTCCGCTACGTACCTCGTACAAGCTCTCGACCAGGCGGCGTGCGCTTCGCCGCATTTGCGCCCCTGGCCACCGGTGGCGGACCTCTGTACGCAGGACCGGGTCTCGTGGCCCTCGGTACAGAGGCCGCAGGTTGTTTTATTCGAACAAACGATTTCTATATGTCCATATTGCTGACATTTGAAGCATCGCCGAATCCGCGCGTTCCTATCGTATAGAACGGTAATCCGGCTATCGCTAGCCCAAATAGTCCCTTTCATGATTGCCTCGTTTGCATGACTCGGGTCAGAGAATTCGACAGTGAGAGCGGAGGATTTCCGGTTCTTGTGATTGGAAAGATGGCTAAGCCAGGCCACGCGCTTGATATCGGGTTTCCGGCTCCAAACTTCTCTGTTTTCGTCGAGTAGCTCTCTGGCTACTCGGTCCTGTTCGCCCTGATCGCTCAGGTCCTGGATTGACTTGATCGGAATGCCATGGACTACCACGCCCCACGTAGGACGCCGCAGGGTGGCCCCGCTTGACATGAAATCCGCCCATTTATCGTAGATCCTGGCAGTCTCGGCCTCCGCGGCAGTGCGTAAGGCCAGGCTGAGGTCCCCCAAGCACAGCTGCCTGGCGGAGACGAATCGGGCCCTCGCCAGGGAGAGCGCCGGGATCGCTGCTGCAGCCCTTTTTCTCGCATTCGCTGCCTTATCCTTTATCTCTGCTGATGACTTCTTTCGGTAGGTCTTCTGGGCACCAACATCTCGCAGTTTGACGATCACTTCGCGGTCCTTGCTGGGCTCTGACGGGGTGGCCGGGGCGGTGCTGGAGGAGCCGTGGGAGGAGATCGTATGGGCTGGAGGAGGCGCATTCTTGACTACAGAGGCCCAGGATTTGTGGCTCTGGTTCCGAATGCTTGACTGAGTGCTATGGGTGTGTTGCTGGACGTTCTGAAGGGTCTGCTTGATCGAGGCCAGTTCAGGGCCTAGATGAGCATTCCTATCGAGAATATCAGTCGTTTAGCGTTGCATAAAGCTGCAGTAGGTGACTACCTGCTCAAAGAACTCGATGACAGGCTTCGGGAGCTGTTTTCCGGCTTGTTCGTTGTGCGAAATGAACGATTTCGCGTCGACGTGGAGGTTCAGTACGCAGGTGAGAAAATTCTGGTTTAGTGAGTTTGTCGCCTCGGGAATCCCTGAAAGGGCCGGCCACGGGGTTTTCGCCCCAACCATCTCGAAATCCCCTATAGAGATAGAATCATTCAATAGCGGCTGGAGTTATTGACAAACTGGTCGATCCTGGAGGCCGTAGCCGTCGTGGTGGTTGAGTAATTTCAAAAATTAGATTCTCGTCGAAGTTGTTTTTTTTTATTTTATGCCTCTCGTATATCCAATGTCAGATCCCACTTTATCAGAGACAAGTACCTCATATAAGTCCTGTCACGATGGCTATTGATGACGTTAGGTTTTATCATAGACCTGTCCTTGAAGTCTAATGGCTGAAGTATAAAGTCATCCACTTTTACCTTTTCATGGTAGATCGAAACACACTGGAATTCAAAATCAGAAGGCCATACCACAGAACCCAGTCTAATCTTGTCTTACTCCGCATAGTTACCGCCATGATCTCTTCAGCGCTCTTCTTGCCCTAGCCGCCGTGGCATACGCTGTCCCTGTGGAACTTGATGGAGGACCAATTCATATTCAAATCATGACCGGAGATGATGAAGTATGTCCAGAATGATCATTCCTTTCTGCGTCTATCATAGCACTGACTATTCATAGCAAGAATGCCGGGTGTGTATTTATCTCCTGTCCCGATCCATGCAACTAATACTCATTATGTTAACAGGCAGTGAAGGGTTATTCTTGCCCTCCTAGGTAGGCATCACTACCGCTTTTTGAATAAAACATAAAAGGGCTAACTAGGGATAGCTATCCATATCTATGTGATCGTGGGTATCACGGCTTGACTTGCTGTGTATGTTATTTCTCCATTTCCCTGCCCTAAGAAGTATTATGCTATGCTAACATGGATGTATATCAAGTACTATCCATGCTCCTCGTCTCTGGAGTAGAGATTCGAAGCACATTGTATCTAGTCAACCGATATCTACCGACGGGAGATGCTCAACCATCTTCTGCAGAAATATGTTACCATGAGGAGAATCATAGTTTTATGGCCATGCTATGTTGTGGCGAATTTGATGTACTGCTGTGAGCCTAGTTCTTGCGTATGCCGTAGACTTGTCTGGTCATAGATATAGAGTTTGTTGTATCAGCTACCGAAACTATGTTCACTGTGTCTTCGTACCCTGATATTCACTGGATACCACTACTCAAATTGCAATCATGCTGATTCTATTGTTTGAATGGCTCTGCCACTGGATGGTTGAAACCCTAGATACTGTACGCCAGGAAACTAACGTATATAATGCAAACGGCATCCTATTCGCTAAGTAATTATCATATTACTAATTGAGTGTTTAGGTGGATTAGAGATTTTAGCTATCTCATCCAGTTAAAAAATTACTATGCTAGGCAACATGCCTAATCTGCCTTTATTGCGCATTATATAGCGCAATGGCTTAGGTATGGAAGCTCCCTCTAGTTTCAACAATCAGGCGTATCTACTCTGGGGTTCCAGTTCTCTTTTGTAGTTCAGTGGTATGCTGATAAATTATTACATCTTTTTTATTGGTAGAGGAGCTTTTACCTATCCTTAGGGTAAATCTCTGGTAACCTCTGAGGCAATACAACTTTGCGGACGTCATTGCTATAAACAATTAAAACTCGTTTGACCTTTTAGTCTGTGCCTCCGTTGCAGAAGCAGTCCCACAAGGCTCTGTAAAATTTGGCTTGCGCGTCTGTATACTGGATTATTCTCTATAAGGGCCCTTCGACAATGTTGATTACTGTGATCATAGTTAATCTATGGTTCTATCCCACATCAAGCTGTCAGAATAAAAATTTTATCAAAGTACGTGGCCGTCATTTCGGCGACAAAAAGGCAGCAAGGGGTATCCAAGACCTGACCCGGGCCGCGGAAATGTTAACACATGGATAGATCTACTGATTGATGATTTGAGCTGTCAGAGAAGCCTATGTCGGATACACTTGCCAACGAAATCAACTACATATGACCAAATGAAAAACTTTTTCTTGAAGAACTCCAAGTGCCAAGTCTCTGTCTACTGCGGCAAGTATACGTGGACCACTTCATCAACAAATAGTCCCAGCTGGTACAACGCCGCATCAGGTGCTTCGTCTATTTGGAAAAATCCCCACTTCTTTGCAGTAAATGAATTGTTCACCTACTCTATTCCAGTGAGCTCCAAGTCTAGCGCAAAAAAGTTTTATTAGCTGTTGTCGGGGGATAGTCATTGTGGAAAGGCGCTTCCTTGAACATGATTAATTCGTGTGCAAAGCTGTTCAGGGGCATGACGCTAGTTATATTAAAAAGGTAATGAACTGTTCTTCCCTCACTGTTCCTTCAAATTCCAATTCTTCACCCGTATTTTTCATCTGTGGGGGGGGGGTTGCTATCCCTGAAATCCAAAAGTAATTCAGATTTAATTAACAGAACTTTCAAACCCATGCTATAGGATCTTGCGCGCATATGCTGCGCTGCGGAATTCGTCCAATCGTTATTGAATAGGGGAATAACTAGCGTCTCTCCGTGCATAATAATTGCCCGGCATGCAAGGGGCTACTTCTAACATATCATACCCGTATAGTTGTTCAGGAGTTAAATATGATATGTACTAGTTTTCTACGGAGAAACCTATGAATTTTTCGGGGAAAACGCAGCTATGTGTTTTCACATAAGGATGGCCAACAAAGCAGGGAACCACTCCTGACGCAAATTCAGCTTATATTCGCTGCGAAACTCACTGTCCCGGATTCAATATCCACGTATCTCTTAGGACGTGCTGTGATTGAGTCTGGGATCGTATTTGCAGGCTTTAAAGAAGATCTCTACTACGTATCCCTTCTCTATCCTTTGTTCTTGAACCTTTCCTTTATCACAGCTATCGGGATTCGCACGGTAACTACCAGGGGTCTACAGCCATGAAGACCGATATCGCACGCTTCGCTCAGGCGAATGCAGGCCGGTTTCGCCTTGCAGGGATGGCTTTTTTCGTTATTAATATGGTAACTCGCCTATCATGTTTGATATTTGCAGTCGAGACCAATTGTTGGATGTGGATGATATTCATTTTTGAAGGCCTTTGGACATGTAGGTTCTCGATCTCATTGAATGCTCCAAAAGGTGCTATCTTTTTCTAACATATTCACGTATTTTCATGAATACAGATCAGTCTCTCGCTACAGTGCTCCCTAAGCAGCCCGGAAAGACCACAAAACGACTTCATTTGGACGGGGATAGTGCACTGCCCTCGGTAGACATTATGTTGCCGTGCTGTGGGGAGCCACTGGATATTATTCTCGACACCATTCGCGCCGTTTGCGTCATGGACTACCCCCAATCCGCGTTTCGAGTTCTTGTTTTGGACGATGGAAATTCTATTGAGCTGCGGCAAGCAGTAGAAGAGCTGCATAATACCTGGCCGAATCTACTCTACGATAGCCGAGGAACCAAGCCGAGCCAAAAGGTCTATTCCAAGGCAGGAAATCTAAACTACGCCATATTTGAAGTTCAGGGGAAAATGAGCAATCCGCCCGACTTTATTGCCGGTTTCGATTCTGATTTCCTTCCTACCCCAAACTTCCTACGAGCCACGCTTCCACATCTGTTGGAAGATCAGAATGTGGGACTAGTCGGTCCATTTCAAGATTTTTATAACTTACCCCCTGGAGATCCGCTTGCCCAAAGTTTAGAGGTATACCGGGAGCTTGTGTTGCCCAACCTGAACGAACGTGGCTCGAGTTTAGCGACAGGCTCTGGATATGTTATGCGTCGTCAGCTGGCGATCGATGTGGGAGGATTTCCGACGATAAATGAAGTCGATGACATGACTCTGTCGGTGATACTTACATCATATGGGAAGCGCGTGGTGGCCCTTTATGAAATGCTTCAGTTTGGGCGCGTGCCGGCATCTTTGGAAGGCCACGTCAGGCAGAGACGAAGATGGATAACTGGTGGGACACAGATGCTTGCCACACCCTGGACAGCGCCCAAGGATTCTATTCCGCATGCGTCTAGAATACACCTGTCGCTCATTGGCGCTATGATGATTTGGTCACTCCTAAACCAGAGCGTCGGATGTGCCATCATCGGCCCTGCTTTGATGTCGGGGCAACCGCTTCTCCCGGGTATTATGCCGAAGCTCCAAATTGTGCTGTCTCTGATCACGTTTGGGTTCGTTTGGCTCTACGAATGGCTCAAGTCTGCAGTAACGGGTTTTCGACTTGCCACCTTCGCCCATATGAATGACCTATGGATGTGTACTGGTAAGTTTGTGGCCTATGGAACCGTTTCGATGCCAATGATTAACGGCTTCAAAAGACCGACTACTCACTTCCATCCGATTCCACCTTTTCGGATCCCAAGCTGGTAGGGTTTTAGTGACTGGCAGCGCCCAGAACAGTTGGAACAATCCCAACAAGATCCCCACCCGAGCTTCACAGCTTAAAGGCGATCTTTGGGATTCTGGAGTCGGCTATAACGTGCTGTTTATAATCGCCGCCCTCACCGGAATGACATATTCAGCCATGTACTCCATCGAGAGCAAGTCCGGCTGGCAATCTCATGCCATGACTACCTTGCTGTGCCCTCCTGCTTTTTTTATGTGTTACATCACACTGTCCTGCCATATTATCCCCGTTTTGTGCGTGATATGGCCACCTCATTATCCCTCTCGTGAGGCTGTCTTCGAAACTCATCCAAGTGATCCCCGTGCCGTATTTCCTTCCGAGAGAGTCCGACAACACAACGTACGTCAAAAGGTTAAGCCTCTCGGAATTCGTGGTCATTCGTTGCTTTTCCCAGTTTATCTGACTCTCATGGCTACGTTTTACTTTTTGTATCTTTGAAATCTCATGAAAAGGGGTATGGTTCCATGACAAGGCTGGCGTGACATTTGCGTTGTTTGTTTGATAAGCCATAGTGATAGCCCTTTTTGTGATATCAAGAAAGAAGATTAAATTATGGCTTAGATTAGTCTAATTTGTCAGGGATCATGTCAGACGGCTCTTCTCACTGAATTGATTATATTCTTTCTAACCATGAACACTTTTCTACAAAGACAGTACTAAGTCTAGTGGGTTGTGTCACTACTCTGCAGCAAGTATCCTGGATCTAACTGACATCGTGTTTATTCGCAAGAAACACAAGTTGGTAGCTTTGATTCTAGGTTGGTGCCAGCAAGATATGATAAACTCAGAAGTTAATCACAACGATACGCAGTCGATATACTATACCCCAGCCGAGCTGCAATCCCATTTCTTTACCAAGTCTTCACAAATGAGATACCATCCCTTCTTCGAAGAAATAGTCAAAGGACTTTCGCCTTTGTCGCTCTTCAATCTAGAATCAATCCAAAGTTCTTGCCACCAGCGATCAAGACATAAGAAAAGTCGAAGATAGCAGACCCCAAAAATAGATATTTCCGGTGCGGTTACGAATAAGTTCGAAGGATAGCAATTATAATCCCCTCTTCGGTCAAAGTACAGACGAGACCACTCCTGATACCTCAAACTGCTGGCACATGGTGCTCCAGCAAATTTCTCCATAGGCTTTTGCAATTGCACCAGCCTGTTAGGATCTCTTTGCTTTGAGGCTCTGGCGTGGTCGGACCAAAATCGAATGATGTAATCAACGAAAGGAATAGTTAGTTTTATACAGATCCTGTAGTACACTTTGAATATCGTTCATGATAGCTTGATCATTTTGCCGTCTGTCCAATGGTTTATGGTCGAGAGGAACTGACACAAGGGGTGGCGCCGTAGATGTGTGCGTCTGTGACTTTCCAATGCTTATACTCCAAGTAATCTAGTACCGATGCGTGGGAGGGGCGCCACTTCCTGGTTCGAGAGTCAATGACTAGAAGATTTCGGTACAAAGACAACAGCGATTTCTCACTGATGCAGCTAGATAGTTGTAATCCGTTTTGCCGTGGAATCATTCGAATGGCAAACAGTAATTACTCACTGGACAATTGCCGGTAGGCGCACGTCACCCACATCATTGTTCGCCGAAATAATTCATAGTCGGGCTTTTGCAGGTTCCCAATCTCCCCGAAGATATCGTCATAGGTGCAAATATACCCACTGAAACCTGAAAGATTATCCGCATGAGTTATGATCTGGGTTGGTCAAACATATAATCTTACATTTCATCACAATGCTCTAGCATTGTTGTGATAATACGGTCCTTCCAATCCTGGATGCCGACATTTGATTCGGTCAGTTCCAATAGTCTTGCATCCAAGTACAGCTCAGTATCTGTATGGTTATCGTTTGCTTGAATCTCGATGTTTGGTCGCGTCAAAAATCGATTGCGAATATCTTCATCAGGGCGGCTGGCAACAAAGACTTTAACGGGCCTTTCAGCAGCATTCAAAAGGCTATCAAGAAAATTGACGAGTACACCACGCATTGCCGAGTCACATTCATCAAGTGCATCAAGTACCAGAGACTTTTTCGGGAAAAGATTGAATGGTTCTAGAAGCATCTGCTTGCAAGTGGCCATATCCAGACTGGCTCCTTTTAACTGAAAATCATCATACCACTCTCTGAAAAATATCAGCCATGGTGATACTCTCCGTTGTTGCTTTCTTCACTCTTTTGGTCATCATTGCTATTCTGCCGTTTTTACTCGCAGGAACTGCTGATTTTCGAAAAGATTGTCGGAATTCATACTTCGGACGCTGCCGATAGTATTCCGAAGGTGTGTTCTGGAGCTTCGAGGACCCTACCTGCATTCAAAGATCTTCTGTCAAAAAGCCTACAGGAAATCAAAACAGCTCTGTCAAAACACCTACAGAGACTCAAAGGATCTCCATGACTTTTGGAAACTCTTCTATAGCAAAATTCCATTACACGCTCTCCGACTTGTTTACCATGCAGATCCCGTCATACATGCTTCTTCTCAAAGGCCATGATTTCAATCTAGGATCATCTAACCGCAAGGAACAGGTTGTGGAACAGAAGACACCAGCCCTTGAGCCCCAGGAGCCTTTCAACGAGGACACAAAAAAGAAATTGGAAAGAGAAATACGAAAAGAGTTGGAATTTGGAAAATCAAAAGGTGAATTTTGGGTTCAGTCTTGGAATAGGATAGTTGAGCCATGGAACAAAACCATACGGGGTGATAGATTGAGCGTCCTTGCGTTATATCTTTCCTTGAAAATAAATCGTAATTTATGCCATTTTGTAGTTATTCACAGGTAGCATAATACCATGAGGCCGACTCTCCATGGGATAGGGGAGCCTTCTCTAATTTCTCCCATATAGGTGTTCTAGATTGCTGAAGTACGAGCTACCATGCCATGTCTTTGTCTATTCTAAATGTGTGTCATAATAAGGAAGAACACTTTCTCCCAATACAACAACCCTTGTGATCATCTCAACAAAGTTTGATTCATGAATTCCTGATTATCTAGCACCTTCTTCTCCCCTAGCCTAGATCCAAAAATCTGGCGCAGTCACTCTGCATTACGCCAAGACTAATAAAATGCATAGCATCGTCCGGTCGCATTCCCGCTCTCCTACCGTTTGGACTTATCATAATATTAAGTTCCACATTGATTCTATTGTCTAGCGACCGATATAGGCCACTATGGATGAGACACTCCCAGATCACAAAGCCATCACAGTTCCGGTCCCTACGGTCGACACGATTACCGAAGACCAACACCAAACCATTCTAGTCGCTGATATCAGCCATTTCGTTGTTTAGTGAGTGGGCGCTCAACGGATCCATTCGCGGACGCTCTACTTCTGTCTCATCGAAGCTTGGCCCACTTGGTAATAAATTTGCTCCAGGCTTTCTGAGAAAAGATTGGACGCGCTCAAGCAATCTGTTGCGGCAATACCCTACGACTTCAACAAGCCGTGGCCATTCCGGTTTTCCGTAGGGAAGGTCGTATCAAAGGCCTTCTTTAACAACGAAGAGTAACTTGAGTGGTTGAACACCGTTCAGGTCCGAAACAGAGAACTTATTGCATTCACCAATATCCAAACTAGCTCCCAAGATCAGGGGGAAGAAAACGCTGGAAGAGGGAAGTTGCGGGTGGTTGAGGTCGATTTCTCCAAGCCCCAGCCAGGTGAGAGTTTGAAGTTATTCTGGAAGCCCGCTCGAGGAGTCATTTGCCAGAAAGTTCAAGATTGTAAGTTGATGATATTCCTCTAGATTTTGGCATGAACATTGCCTTTTCATCTACACTGCTAATTATACCTTGAAATAGGGTGTTGGATCATGAATCAAACCAAAATTGTACTTAGGAGAATACCATTAGCATCATCGCAGTACGGGCAGTCTCGATGGAAGGTGAGTAATAGTTGTGTCTCAAGGTAACGATAACTATAGACTATTCAGTTTGGAGTTCAGGTTCTATTTATCATTGTGTTATTCAAGAGCACGAATCAGATAAGACAGATATCTCTTACTTCCACACCATATCCGCAAGAAATAAACACCGGTCTCGCATCGCTCATGCACACCGAAGTATTCACTAGATACTTGTTAGTAGATCTTATCGAGTTTAGTTCGATACTGAGCCTGGACCTAGGCCAAATCAAGAACTGTGCGATGTTCTGATCTTTCTATGTGGGCTATAGCCCAAATTCTATAGCCCAAATATGGGCTACATGTTTACTTTGCGCCGGGCGGTTGGCTGGCTCACTGGAACAAGACCGTGTAAACAAAAACAAGTTCCACCCGGCATTTTTGCCGCGCGGTTCGAATCGCGAGGGTCTTTTTTGTTACTTCCTTTCTTTTTTTTCCGTTTCTATAGATACATATCATCTTTACATATGCGAAACCGTTTTTGTTAATAGAAATCTATCTCCAGCTGTTGTGATTCGAGTCAAAAATTCAATAGTGAGTAGGTTGAATAAGATCGACATTAGCACAGTCCGACATGACTACTAGCAAGCCGCTCAATACTGAATTGTCTACTGTAACAATTATAACAAGCCTTTAATCTACAGGACATAATAGTATTCAGAATTCCCATCCTAATTACAATAATCACTTACCATTCAAGAACACGAAGCAAGTAAGACAGATACCTACTTCCAAGCTACCTACATCGGCGGGGAAATTACACCGACTTTCTCGCATCGCTCATGCACGTTGAAGTCAACCATCATCATCATCCGCGCCTAGCCTTCTTCCCTGTTTGATTTTTGTCCTTTGCTCAAGTCGGAGTTAATAAATTGATCGCTATTAATTGTGTCTTTCGAGCCTGTTCCTGAATAAATCATACCCAAAGGCTGTATAGAAGTCTAGATGACCGATAGCTGGATTCCATATAGAAGATAATCTCTGTGTAACCCTTCCAAACTATCTTTGAGCTAGGTGACAAAGGTTAAAACAGGCAGAAAAAAATGGGTTAGAATAACTACCTATTGCACAACTCTATTACCAATCACCCATCATCTATGAACACTTTCGCCTCGCGGATATGATATCACAGATCCAGACAATCTGACTCCAAGTGCCCTAGGCATGGTAGTGACCAGACAAGAAACGTCAAATAGACGGATATTACCACTCATCCGATAATGTATCCAAAAATCCGTCTCCTCTTTCTACGTCAGCTTCTAAACAAAGATAGCACAGATGATGCAAGCCCGCCTCCGCCGGATGCAATGGGAATAACGCCCGTAGCTAACCGAGCTTGCCATGTCCGTGTCAGATACGGGGCTTGGGACATGTATATAAACCGAAGTCGAGCCGGTCTTTCTTCCAACGGTCTGTGTTGAGATTTTGTGTTAAGTTGAGTTCGACACGAGTCAGACAGACAGATAGTCGGTCAGACAGTCAGTCAAACATACCGAATGAGAACATTCTTCGCGTGACCACCACACAACACGACAACACGCTCCCACCACAGCTTCACCTAGACCTACCTGAGCCGATAAGTCCGGAACAGAGCGAATCACTTTCCAACCCCAATTAACGCCGCTGATATCTAATCCGGGGTTTGACTTTCGGTTTCTTCGTTTCATCTTTATTTTTTGCGGGGAAATCGGGCTCGGCTTTGTTCGGGTAGCGGCGCTTAGATTCGGTGTGAACGAGATTCCGTCATACTTACCCTTGCGTTTTTTACTCTACAGTCTACAGACAGTCTCATTATTCATTCGGCCGGGTCACAGTTCGGTTGAACGTGGACCTTGTCTCACATACCCTACTTTAGCTGCATAAACTACAGTGGTGGTGGGGAATAAGTCACAATGCTCTTGCAGGAATTGTGCGCGACAGTATCGGTGTCCGGTGTTCTGTCAGCGGTGGGCATTTTCATAGGAGGATTGGTATGTTCGTATCCTATCTGTCTCACCCCTCCGCGTCTAGCCATTGCGCCGAATGCAGGTAGTAGGACGGAGTACATCCATGGAAACACTCGTATGGATGGAGCTAATGCATGCAACGTCAGACACTGGTCTACGTCCTCTACAACTACCTATTCCACCCCCTCCGACAGATTCCGGGTCCTCTATTGGCGGGCTTAACGCCGTGGGTGCAACTCTACCACGGACTGAAAGGGGACCGACATCTATGGCTCTATCGACTACATCAGACATACGGATCGCATGTGCGCGCGGCGCCGAATTTCGTCTCCGTGAATACCGCCCAGGGACTGCATGATATCTACGGCCATGGCAAGAAGCTGAAGAAGGCAGATTTTTACAATGCGTTTCCCGCTATCAAGGGTGTGTATAATACGCACAATGCGATCGACAAGGCGATGCATGGGCGGAAGAGAAGAGTTCTCAGTCAGGCGTTCTCGGACCATGCGTTGAAGAGCATGGAGGATGTGATGCTCTTGCATGTGCGGCAGCTTTGCTCGGCGTTTGGCGCGCAGGGCGAGAAGATGGGAGCGGATAAGGGCGGTGCTGTGTTCAACATGAGTAATTGGTTCAGTTACCTTACTTATGATGTGATGGGGGAGTTGTGTTTCGGTAAGAGCTTCGATATGTTGGTGTCGAGTGGCAAGCGCAAATTGATCGAATTGGTTGATCGTGCGGCGAATCGGCACTATGTGGTGAGTGGTACCTCCATCGCTTCTCTCAGCACTAGGAAGCTGAACCAAGTGACCAGTGCGGACTGTGGATGCCTCTGGATAGCTGGCACCTCGATCAGATCGTGATCCACCGACTCACCAACGACCGATGGAATTTCATCATGAGCTCGCGCGTGGAAGCCAATGAGCGCGCCAAGGAACGCACGCAGGCCGGCCACGACTCCAAGAAGGATTTCTTCTACTACCTGCTCAACGCCAAGGACCCCGAGACCGGCAAAGGCCTGACGACGCCCGAGCTCTGGGGCGAGGCCAACGTGCTCATGATCGCCGGCAGCGACACCACCTCGACCACGATGGCCGCCGCCATCTTCTACCTCGTCCGGAACCCGCGCGCCATGGCGCTGCTGAAAAAGGAGGTCCGCGAGGCGTTCACGTCCGTCGAGGAGATCGTCACGGGCGCCCGGCTCAACGAGCTCGTGTACTTGAAAGCCTGTCTGGACGAGGCCCTGCGACTAGCGCCCGCGGTGCCGGGCGCCATTCCGCGCGAGGTCATGGACGGCGGCGCCACGGTGGACGGGGTCTACCTACCCGCCGGCACGGACTGTGGAACCCCGACGTACGCCATCCACCGCCAGGCGGAATACTACCGCGAGCCGCAGGCGTATCTGCCCGAGCGGTGGATCGAGGGGGCGACCTGTCAGGCTCAGATTTCGGGCCAGCAGACGAGTTGGACAGTCAGCAAGGAGGAGGTCGAGACGGCGCGCAGGGCGTTCTGTCCGTTTAGCATCGGACCGCGCGGGTGTATTGGCAAGGGGATGGCGTTTATGGAGATGCGGTTGACTATTGCACGGATGATGTTCCTGTTTGACATTGAGTATGCCGATCGCACGGGTGAAGACGAGAGTGGCCATTTGGCGTTGGTGGATCATTTCACGAGTGCCAAGAGAGGGCCTAACGTGGTTGTCAAACGGGCTGTAGCATGGTGAACAGGTCCTATGGGTGGATAACCTGGATATCAGGAAGGAGGATAGATGCACAGGTACGAGGAGTATACATTCTGGCAAGGCACCAACAATGAACAAACGATTGACAACATCCGAGGATAAGTCGAAGTGACTAAAAAGATGCAACCTCAGGCAGAGACTAATGAAGAGGACACGTGCCCACACGTGCCTCCATCCCTATTCGACAGTAAACAATATTCCTGTTCTGGTCTCTTCTACTCTCCTGACGACGAACTCCATTAGTCGTCGATTGACCATTTGATTTCGGGTTTTACTATGTCCTAGTCACCTTCCTTACTACTCAACAATCCAGTCCAATCCAACTTCAGGAACCATAATAAGCAAAAAAAAAAAAAAAAAAAAAAGAAAAAAAGAGAATGCCCCGGTCCCTTTTAACCACCATCTTAATTCAATCCACCATCTTGAATGCGATCTCCAACCTGCTGGCTCAAGTGATTGACCAGTACAACAAAGATGTACGTAGAACCTGCATTTCATGTCTATTTTTTTTCTGTCTTTCCTGCCACCCTGTAAATACCCTCCCTCCAAACCAACCATCAATTCCATGATCACCCCTTATTACCCAACTCCAAATCCAGCTCTACTTTCAAGTTTTCTTATATATACCCTTATACCCCCACCTTTACCTCATTAACCAAAAAAAGGGCCCATTCACACTCAACACCCTCGCCCTCCTCCAATTCATAACCTACGCCATCATCATCGTCCCCATAAACTTCTACTTCCAGAACTGGCTCGAATCCACCTTCCCCGGCTTTCCCACCTGGCAAAGCCCACACCTCCGACGCTCGTCAACAGGCTGGGCCTGGGGCATGGGCATGGCTGATGCGCGCCTCACCCCCAACCCGAGTCTCGACCTCGACGTGGTCGTCGACATCTTACCGTCTGTTAAAGACAAGCCTGCGACAACGGTGACGACGCGTCCCTTCCAGCCTAAGAAGCAGAGGTCCGGGACGTGGAATTTTGGGATGAAGTTTCTGCTCGATCAGACGGTTGGGTCGGTGCTGAATATCGTGCTCTTCGTGATGTTGATTAATTTGCTTAAGGGGATGGAGTGGGAGAGAGTTTGGGGGTTGGTTTGTGAGGTGAGTTATATAAACTACTAGTACCCTTTTCTTTCGTTATTTTTGTTATCTTTTCTTTGGGGAGATGGCATCCTCATGGTCTTTGTATGGATGGAGTTCTTGAAATGAAGCAGACCAGATACATTGAAGGGAGGAAGGTATACTAACGACTAATGCAGGACTTCACACCGATTATGATCGCTCGTCTCAAATATCGTCCCGTCGTCTCAACCCTCATGTACACAGTCGTGCCGGTCGAGCGACGAGTCGTGTTTGGGAGTGCGTGTGGAGTCATCTGGGGAGTTTATTTGAGTTTGTACGCGGCTGTTTAAGCCGGTGTCATTCATTCTTTTGCTTTCGATCTTTTATTGTCATTATTTCCTTCAAGTCTTTCTTTTACTCCTGACATTTGCTTTCTTTTGTGGGGATTTTTTGGTTTTATCCATCAAGGAGATCTTGATATATTGGGTGTCTGCGGACGTTGCGTTCTTTTGTGTGTGTGTCTCTCTCTCTCTCTCTTTCTTTCTTTTTCATATCTTATAAACAGCAGACCTGTGAAAATAACATAACATTCACAATTCTATTTCAAATCTCCATCATCCCAAAACAACTCCCTCCCCCTCTCACCCAAATCAGGATACCTACTCAGCTATCTCATAAAAATCCAACCAGGACTCCCTCGTCGAAAAATCAAACAAACATATACTTCTGCAACAAAGTCTTCCACTCTTTATCCTCCCTTCCCCGACATTGCGATCCCAACACACGTGAGTGGTCTCCCACCAAACCGGAAAACCCGGAAGCTTTCCACCTAATAATACCAGCGAGGGTCCCTTGATGATCAGCCAATATTCACAGATGTGAGATCGTGTCAGCGAAGATGGGGCAATTTTACCGCTAGGATTCAACACCTTGCCGCTTGCCGTCTAGATCAACTCTGACGGCATTTCATGGCTTCAAGATAAGCCGATTTCAAAGAAGCCACGTAGTCATATTGCACTTTAAATAGCTTCGTTTCGATCGTCTAAATCAAGATTATCAGACCTTCATTGAGCTTCGATTCTGCATACAAATTACTAGGCAATACGAAACCTTCATGATCCAATAGATCGCCGTGCGGAAACGTATACGGGGGCATGCGTTCTCGAAGTCGTTGGCGAACATCCTCAGGGATGTAACGATTCCATTTCAAACTAGAGGTCATTGTCATTATCAGATGAGAAATTAAGGGCCATGTGGGAAGGTGGTTTCGAAATGGAAAAAGAAAAGCAGAATAGACTGGGTGGCATTGGCTGGTCTCCGAGGGAGTGTATCTTAGGTATCAGACTGCAACTTGCGAAGTTGCAATAAGTAACTAACTCGCAGTCTGCTTTGCTATATTCTCTTTCTCATCTATATTCATGCCCGCCTAGAGACTGCTAAGAGGGTCCCCAGGAATCCAATCCATGAGAGAAAAATAGCGTCCATCACTCCCGACCCAACCTTCGATGATGGTGGGTATCGGGATCGAGGTTTCTTTTTTTTTTTTTTTTTTTTTTTTTTTAGAAGTTGGTTGTTTAAGGCTTCGAAATTTGGTGCCTGGTTGGAACGTTCTTTTAGGATCTTATCTGAACCCGGCTTAAAGTCCATACGCCTCTGTCGCTTATAGCCTAGAAGAGCTTGACGTGGCTTTTGTAGCAGCAGTTCTTTTGAAGGTCACAAGAATTCAAAATGGCAGGACAATATAGAAGAAAGAGAAGTAATAGGTTGGGGAAACTGTTTGCATTTGATAGTTATGAGCCCGGGAAGTTCCCTATACCACCCGTGCCCTTAACCTGACCTTTCCCTCTTCATTCATGCCTAGTCAATCTCCTATGTACTTGGATAATAAAACAAAGAATCGCTAGCTATCTACAACGCGTACTTTTCGCCTTCCTTATCGGGGCCTTCCATCTCGTTACCCTAACCCAACTAATTAAATATCCGATGCCCGAAGAGCTGCATCCCGTCATATACGTATCCATCCCAGAATATACGTCCTATACCACCCTCCCAGGCTCGATCCTCACTACTCACGTATGCTCTCTCCAATCAACTAAGCATGCCCCCCGCTCTCCATCCTCCTCCCCTTCACCGAAATCCACTGGACCGGCAACGCCACAAAGAACGCGATCGCAGCCGTCGCAACCGAGATATAAAACGTCTGCGTAATGGCATCACTATACGCCTGCAACACACCGGGCAGATCGGCCTTCGTTACCGCCTCCCTCAACATAGTCGCCCCCGCCGCAATGACCTTCTCGGCATCCGCACCCGGCGCCAGACTCTTCAGTCCCGAACGCAACTGGTTACTGAATACACTCTGCGACACAGAGACGAAGATCGCCCCGCCCAGAGTCTGCAGGAACATACCGATGGCGGTGGCGGTGGGGACGTCGATGGGCCCCAGCACCGTTTGGTACACGAGCATGTGTTGCTGGATGCCCGTGCCAACCCCCATGCCGAGAAGCGCTTGATACCCAATCCACATGGGGTGGCCGGAGTCGACGTCGAAGGTGGAGATGAGGCCTGCGCCGATGGTGGTGAGGATGGGTGCGAGGATCATGAAGGGCGTGTAGTAGCCGAATGTGGTCACGAGGAAACCGACGAGCATGGCGGCGACCACGAGGCCGATGACCATGGGGAAACTCATGATGCCGGATTTGGTGGCTGAGACGCCTTTGACGGCTTGGAACCAGATGGGGAGCTGGGGAATGTTAGCACGAGGACTTCGGGGTAGAGCTGGGGGATCACATACGTAATACATGATGGTATAGAAAGATCCGAGTAGAAAGAAGGCAAAACAGGCAGCGCACGACACATTGCGGTTCTTCAGGAGACGAGGAGGTACGGTAGCTCTATCACCGCGATATCCCTGCATCGCAACAAAGCCCATGATGAAAACACCGAAGAGAACGAACAGGACGATGATACGGGCATTTCCCCATGCATACCGACTGCCTCCCCATTGCAGCGCAAGCAACAGACAGACGATCGCCGGAAAGAACAAAGCCAAGCTAGGCAGATCCAGCTGCGATATCTGATCCCTCGCTCCCGATCGACCTTTGACCGGCTTCGGAGCCTGGAATAGGAACAGAATGATAAGAGCAGTCACGCCTCCGAAGGGAAGGTTGATGTAGAAACACCATCTCCATGTGAGATTATCGGTGAAAGCACCGCCCATCAATGGCCCGATTACACTGGCAACGCCGAACATCGCTCCCAGGATCCCTTGGTAGACCGGTCGTTTTTCCAGTGGGACCATCTGGGTGACTATTAGAATAGCTCCTGAATAGAGACCGGCGGCTCCTATGCCAGCTACGGCACGTCCGAGGATCAATCCGACTGAACTAGGAGCAACGCCACAGATCAAGGATCCGAGCTCGAATATCATCAACGCGGTTAGGTAGACCCATTTGGTGGAGTAGAAGGTGTAAATCTTGCCGAATGGCAGAGTTAATGCGCAGGTGGTGAGCATGTATGCACTTCCGTACCAACCGACATCGCCCAAAGAATTAAATTGTTCCGTTATCCTTGGGATAGCGGTTGTGATGATGGTATTATCCTAGTCACATATCAGTGTATGCTCCTTAGGGTAGATCATGATTTCATGTTCTTTCTGTTCTCGTCTCACGTACCAAAGATAAACACAAAACTGAAAGTCCCAGACCAGCTGTGACAGCAGCAAGCCTCCATATATTGGGGGGCTCGTTTCCTGGGTTGTTCTTCGCTGACCGTGGATCGTACGTTTCCATCTCACTATACTGTAAGCCGTGTACTAGTTTCTGGTCGTCCTTCTCGAACTCGCGCGGGGCTGTGGGCGGGGAATCATCTGGACATGGAACAATTCGTAGACTCTGCTTATCTACCGAATGTGGTCTGCCGTTGCCTGTTCCATCAGCCAGGCTGGTCTCAGACGGGAGCCTAATGATGCCGGCAGTTTTCGAGAAACGTTTGAGATGCGTAGTATCTACCATCTTGGGAGATGGAGCGCAAAACGGGGAGTTGTAAGCAGCTTCGATTTGAGTCGCGACCACTCCGAAGATTAGATTTCCAAGGAAAGGGGGCAAATAATCTTAACAAGAATTCAAAAGATCAACAGACGCACTCGAATTCTCGGAACATATGGAAATGTTCCACGACACGTAAACACACGGAATCAAGTGCCACAACTAAGACATCAAACCAAGGAATTGTTTAATTTACCGGCTTCAGTCACTGTATGCAGGAAGCATCAGGCGCAGTGGGTGCGGCAGCATCGAGGCATAAAAATGGCAGAAGGCTTCTGAACAAGGGATGGTAAATTACCTGGCCATTCTTCATTCCTGGCCAACCACGTCCCCTGGATAGCGGCGACAGGGAATGCCCACAGGAACTCAGGGTCAACTTTGTCCTACCATGTCTGCCCCGAATCCTCGTGTTGTGGTAACGCTCATGCCCGTTAACTCAGCAAGAGACGTCGTCGGTGCCCGTGCAAAGTCTCTTCTGTGCAACAACGGATGAGGCGCCGTGTTTGTTGATATTTCGTCAAACCAAGGGATAGAGGGTCCCAGATCAAGCATCAGGTTGCTGTCCCCAATAGAGCCCCTAACTTAAGCAGATTAGTTTCTTCATCGAAAAAGAAGATCTTATTTCCCATCTGTAGCCTCTGTGATGCGTGGTGCCGTCATGCATCGTCTTTTACCTTCAACAGCCCAAATTGAAACGAACGGGCCTCATGGTATCGTTTCGGGGCTTTGTATTCCCGCGACAATTGGCATGTGGCATGCATTAATGAAGCGATGGTCCTGCTGATCGGTGGCCATCGCGGCATCTGTTGCATCCGAACCCGAAACACTCAAGACTAGACCCTGGCAGCCCCTTGCATTGTGATTGAGGCTAGCGAATTTCACCTTTCATCTGAAGAGCAGTTAGCTTAAAGCATGACTCGACCTGAAAGCAACTTAAGAAAATGCAAATGAAGCACCAGAATAAAAGACTGAAGAAAAGAGCTCGATATTTTCCTGCCAACGGATATCTCTTATGAAAGAACTACTTGTAACGCCGGAAAACAAACATGAAGATATTCATACATCTTATTTCCTCCCATGACACTGACAAACACCAGACCCATGCTCGAATGCCGCTCCCTACTGGTTTGGCCTCATCGGGACCTTGTACCAGTGTCTGACAACAAATTCAATTAAAGAGAAGAGAACAACAAAAGGAAAAAAATATGAGGTAGAAAGAAATGAAATCGTATCAGCATATCCTTCAAATGAAGGACCTTTATTTGGCCTTCTTCATGCGGGCCTCCTCCTTGCTGGCCACGAGGGCGATCAAGGCGGCTCCGACTCCACTGCCATCCTTGGAGATACCAATGCGCACCTTCTTATCGCCGGCAGGGCCGACTTCGGGCACCTCGCGCAGGGCATCGCGCATGTATCCCTCGAAGTTGGGGTAGAATTCGACCAGACTTCCGTCAACACCAACATCGATCAGGTCATCGGTCTGCAGTTTGCCGGTAGCGATCAGGACGGCGGCCAGAGGCACGGCACTAAGGCGGGCAGCACGCTTGCCAATGGCATGCACAAGGGTCTGAACGGCCTTGCAGTCGGTGGTGCTGGCCCGCTCAATCTTCAAGTGGTCTTTCAGGGCGGTCTTGGTCGACTCCAGAGTCTGGCTCTTGTCGGCTTCGACCGTGCTCAGGAGACTAGTGTCGAGACCCCACTGTTTGAAAATCATGGAGTTCTCCGGAACAACGACGTCCGAGGACTCGCTGGTCTTGAAGAGACCCGCGTATTTGTTGTTGTACATATCAAGCAGCGCACGACGCAGAATCTCACCCAGGAACATTCCCGAGACACGCTTCTCAAACATCTGAATTCCGGGGTTGTTGCTATCGGCGTCAAGCTGCTGGTCGTACAGAGTGTTGGGCAAAACGCTGAGGTGGTTGTCGAAGCTGCCCCATTCGGCGTTGATGATCATCTCTCCCGTGGACTTGTCGTAGTCGGAATGCTCAATCGTGTTCATCTTAGGGATTCTGTCCAGCTTCTCCACATAGGCGCCGTTGGTGCCCGTGCCAAAGATGGCACCCAGGAAGGTACCCGTTTCACCGGGCGAGGTGTACGAACGAGCCATCAGCGTTCCCACGGTATCGTTGACCAGAGCGGCCACGCGCACGGGTAGCTCCAGTTCGTCAATGGCACTTTGCAGCAACGCGCAGACATCATGGCCAACGGCGTCGGGGATGTTGAAACCCTTCGTCCAGCGAATCAGGGTGCCCTTGTTGATTCCCATTTGGCGCACGGGGAAACTAAAGGTGAAGCCGAGGTCGAACAGCTCCTCCTCGCCGCTTCCTTCGCGTCGACGTTGAAGGTGAGCTTCGAAGTGCTCGTTGTGGTGAATGCGCAGGAAGGACTCGATCTGTCGGGCCAGGAAGAGGAAAAGATCCTTGGACGAGCCCGAGGCCATCAATTCACGAGGAATCATGATCTTGGACTGCGTCAGGGAGAAGGTGGTGTCTCCATGGAGATCGATCGAGCACACGCGGAAATTCGTGCCACCCAAATCCACGGCCAAGTAGAGGCCCTACGGGAAAAGCCAAGGTCAACCCATCGGGTGTCACGCGGTCTTTCAGCTAATGTCGGCCACTAACCTTTTCAGTGCCATTCGGGACCGAAGTCACGAAGGTAGGAATCTGACTCAGGGTGGTGTGTTCCTGTCTGAGACCCTCGTCCATTTCGCGAATGTATTCCTTCACCCCGCGCTGGACCTCCGCGGCGGGGTAATCGAATTCGCGGGCAATGCGCGTGGCCTCGTCCAACAAGGCAGACGACATGATGAGAAATGGAGGGTGAGATGCTGAAGAGAGTTTAGTAGGGTGATAGGGTGATGAGGAGAAAGAGTGAGCGGTCCGAGAGTGGCGGGGGAAGAGAATGAAGAAGAGGGAAGGAGGGGTCGAGGGGTAGATATGGAGAGCAAAGTGTGGAGGGGTAACCAGGATGAGAAGGAACTGGGTGGGAAAACTTGGAAGTATATAGTGATTAGCGAGAGGGAAAAATCAAATAAAAGTAATCAAATCAAATTTTTTACGCTGCGGAAGGGTCGACTAATTAAATAACAGAAAGTGGCATGAAGAGACAGTCGAACGCGATTGAAAAGACGGAGGGGTCGATGAGGTCAGGCTGTGGACCTCCGACAGACCAACGGGAAGTCCGGGTTCGCCGGAGAACGGGGGATTTGGGGAATCCACGCTTTTCTCCAGACGGCTCCGTCTCGCTCCTGCTTTCTCCGACTTCTGTGATTTTGTCACGCCTGTTGGGCTTAGCGACCCTGGCTTAGCGGCTGCCTGCGGTTTCCATGACGCCATGAAACACCTGGTGGGGAGCCGCCGGTGAGAGACAATGGTTAGTTTACCACTGCATGGCAAAACGCGGGCAGGGAGGCGAGTGACGCCCCAGTCGGGTTGTCTCGTCTCGTCTCTTGTCGTTGTGTTGCTGAATGCTGACAAGGTAGTACTGGAAGGATCGTGGTATAACTATCCCGTGTTCGAAATCTCGACTGAGAACGGGGAGGATCCGTTCGGTAAATTAACGGGGATGATTTAGCATATTTAAAGTGCAGAACAACCAATGGCCTTGTTGATCGACAAGGACAGTATCAAAGTATCGAGGAATTGTAGACTTTGCAGTCGGTGGACTCGGCTCACTCGGGAAGTGCAACCGATCCCTGATTCTGGTGCCTGAAAAGGTTGGCAGCGAACTCTTTAATGCCTGAGGGATCAGGCAGACAACACATCTACGGGTGACATCGCTATTCATTTCGCATGATGGATGAAGGTATTCAATCGACAAATTGAGATACTATAACGGTCTATCTGACAAACACGACAGGAAGATGCCATAAGAACAACCGAAGAATGGAAGTGTCCCATCTCAAGTCTAGTTGAAAATTTGTCTTAACCATGAGCCATAAGTACATAATCGACGTTAAGTTATAATAGTGACTTTTCAATCGTGAAGCATCGTGCCAGGCATGACTCTTAGTTGGCAGTTGGCAGATCGATTGCGCGATAAAGGCAGATGAGGGCGGAATGAGATTCGCCTAGGAGGAAAAATCAATTAGCATGAGGGTCACACAGGTTGAGCAAAATCCCAAGATCGGAGCAGCTTACCACCACCAGAAAGTGTTTCGATCTTCTCGGCCTCCACCTCGGTCACCTTTTCGTCGTTGAACCACCACCACTTTCCGCTCTCCCCGTCATTGTCCTGCTTCTTTACATATGCCGTGTAGTGACCACTATCGGCGCTAGCACCTTGGTGCGTAATGACTCCTCGAAGTTCATAGAGACCCGAGCTGTTGGTGCCCGCCTCCACGGCAGGCTTGGGGCCCAGAAGCTCAGCCAGCTCCTTCTTCGCCGCCAGAATGGACGCATTCTTCTCCGCTTCGTAGTCAGCATCGGACTTGTAGATATCAGTCATTGTTGTATCTCCATCCTTCTCCGATTTTCCAGCCTCAACGCGTTCTTCGGTTGCCTTCTTCTTCTGCATGGGCTCCATAGAGGCACCCGATTCTTCCTCGCCCTTCTTCTCTTGCTCCATTTTGCGGGCAAGCTTCTGGCGCTTTTTGGCACGCTCAACGTCGACCTCTTCCTTCCGGATCTCGCGCACCTTGTCCCTGATGGGGATGAGCTCTTTCTTAAGCGTCTCGGTGCAGAAATCAACAGCATCCAGCTCCGCAGGGAATGTCACCTTCCGCATGATCTTCGCCTTCTTCTGGGTCTCGCGCTTCCAGAAGAATCGGACGAAGTGGACGGTCAAATACTTGGGCAGTCGTGCAATGCGAGAGCGCTTGGTGTAGATAGCGTCACGGTCCAGAGTGGGAGAATGCTTTTCGATTTTCTCCTCCAGACCCGCCATTATGCCGTCGGACAAATGATTTGTTTCTTTGCCAATGTGACAGTCAAGTTTGTAGAAAACATCGGAGCTTTCGTTCGGCTGCTCTCCAACTTCCTTCGCCGCTTCTTCGTCGCACTCGGTAATCGATTCGAATCTTCCACCCATGTACTTGTCCACGAAGGAGACCTCAGTCGAAGAGTCCCCTTCGCCCTCCTTAAGGACCAGCTTGTTTCGCAGCTGAGTCACGATCTGTGAGTAGGCCTCCTCGGCATCCTGTTGAGCATAGCCGTGTCCATTTCGATCCTTCTGAGCAAATTGGGGAAAGGCGTTTCTCAGAGCGTTGAGGAACATCAACGGGGGGAACCCTTCTTGGGTCTCGGACATCTGCTTGAACAAGTCCCGCAGAGAGGCTGTGAGGTCCATGGAAGAGCCGAGACCACCCAGACCAAAGCTGCTAAGATCGGAGACACTTGATCCATCTCCAGACGCAGAAGGACGATACCGCTGGAGCTCCTGCTGAAGCTCTGGCACACTTCGCAGAGTCTGCAGCGTGGAGTTCAGATAGCAAGTATTTCCGAGATTCTGTAAACCGGCAGGGGTAGCTCCCTCCGCCCTTGCAGCCTCGGCCTCGGTCATGTCCTCCAAGAATTTGATTGCTTCCTTCGGGCGGCCCAAGTCCCCGCCGCCTTGTTCCCCGGGTGACCCCATCATCATGAATGTCTGGCCCGGTTTGGCCTTGAGCGAGGATAGCGGGGTATCATTTTTAAGCTGGCCTCCTTTCACTAGGATCTTCTGTCTTTCGGGTTCGACACCAGTGAGGGAGTAGAGCTGGTATTTGAGGGTTTCGCCGTTTGAAGACGGGTCGAGCTCGACCTCATGACGTTTACCTTGGTGCTTAACGATGACTATTGTCCGGACGAGAGAAGGGTTAGATCCGAGGCAAATCAAGCTTTTGAAGTGGGTTAAACGAGCATACCGGGTATCGACGCCATTCTGATGGATCCTGCGAGTAATCTTTGGATATTAGAACAAGGCTTTTCGATCGGGTTGGTGATGAAATGCGGTGCATAAACAACGGCGTTGGCAGTCATCGCTTTCGGGGAGGCGTGGGGCGGGCGGTGCAAACAGAACAAACACCCCAACAACAGGCGACGACATCACGGACCTAGCGGGACATCATCGCTGCCTCCTGAACATTGGATCGAGTCGGAGCTGACAGCATCATCAATTTCCGGGGCTCAAGCACCAGTTCGCGATCGTCGTTGCATCTCCATCATGGTAAGCTCTGTTACCTGGCAAATGCGCATCGCTTCCAGCTGACAATCCACAGTCTCAATCATTGCGCCCTTATCTTCAATGTGTCCGGTCCTCCCTTACCGCCGCACTCACAGTGTCGAACTTCGCCTCCCAGACCTCCGAACGTCATAACGTACCTGAGATCGAGGCCCAGACCTCCCCGGAACTCATCCTTAATCCCCTCACAGTTTCGCGGAACGAGAACGAGAAGGTCTTCATCGAACCAAGTGTGAACAGTGTCCGCGTCAGCGTTCGGATTAAGCAAGCAGACGAGATCGAACATATCCTGGTCCACAAGTTTACTCGGTTCTTGACGCAGCGCGCCGAATCATTCTTCATCCTGCGAAGAAAGCCAGTGAAGGACTACGACATCTCGTTCTTGATCACGAACTTCCATACAGAACAACTCCTGAAGCACCAACTAGTGGAGTTCATAATCCAGTTCTTGGAAGAAGTGGACAAGGAGATTTCGGAGATGAAGCTATTCGTACGTATGCTCTGGCGACCGGCTGTTCCAATACTGACAATCTCGCAGTTGAATGCTCGTGCTCGATTCGTTGCTGAGTCGTTCTTGACACCGGTAAGAGACCCAATGTCCGCTTCAATTGGAGAATCACAGTCTAACAGGAACCATAGTTTGATTAAGTTTTTTTTTATGTTTCCCGTTCGACCTACAAATATTACATGAACTTTATTATCTTGTCATCCAATAGCGGCTATTGTATAGGCGATCTAGGCTGGTTCCAGAGATAGTTCACGCTACTTGCTTTACGCTGTCTTCCTTAGACACTCATACCTCGATGCTATAGTGAGATTGTCCAATGCACCTGCTTGATCAAAATAAATTTCCACCGGCTACAGGTTGTGTCAAACTAGTGAGTGGCGTCTCGAACACATGTAGAGGGCTACTCATACCCTACCCAAGGCACCCATAAGTTTTGCCTCTCTGGCCAGTATCATCGCCACTCTAGCTCCTTGCAACTAAAACTCGAGCCTCTCTGTGTGATTACGAAATACTAGCAATGGACTAGGAAATTCAAAGTGAGGGGATACCCTAACATGCATCCGCCCAGGCATTGTACTGTATACCAAACCTTTCACTAATCGATTGTTTGAATGGGACCAATTCGAGTGTTCACAACTTCCATTGGCTGCAAAAGCAGCCCTAGCACGTTTCTACAATAGCCCAATCCGGTCCATTGACTGCATGATCACCTTGCGCTCTCTGACTCTGCATCGTCACTATCGACTCACCCCTCCACCGCGATCGTTCCAGCTGATTTGCCGGTTCTTCTACAGTTCATGTCACTCTCCACTAATTTAGTGAATTCACTTTCACATACAATACCTTGCTCAATGAAGAACGAGTGAATATGAGCATTTTCAAGACACTTCCCCCAAAAAGATATTGCCGAGAAGAATTTCTCAGCCTAAGGGGCCTTTCACTTTAAACAGGAACTCCCCTGAGACAAAATCTCTTCCTCTTAATCCTCCCTCAAGATCCTTCAACGCCTCTCAATCCTCTTTGTCTTCCCGTCCCCCAAAGAAGAAACGAAAGCCAACTCCAGCCCAGATGGCACATAGGCGGTCTGGTATGGGGCCCGGTATCCCCCTCATGGAATATGAGTCCCCAGTTCCATACTCACAGTTTGAACGGCTCAGTCTGGGCACGTTCAACGGTCCTGGGGCACTCTCTTCCAGACAAACGCAGTCCCCATATCTCCAAGGTCACCGCTTGACTCATCTTCCTATGGCAAGGCCTGCTTTCAATGGTCCTGCACACTTTCCGGTTGGGACACCAACTCCTACACCTCCTAATATGCAGTTTCAGCTTGGTACAAATCCTTTCTATTCGGCGCCCTATGATCAGTCCAGATCAAGAATCCCCCAGACTGCGCCTCCCGTGTCGAGTCGTACTCAAGGTGTACCCATGTACTATTTGCCTAGAGAAGAAGTTGAGGCCCCTCAGGGATCTCAGCGCCTCTCAGAGCTAGATAGGAGCTTCGAAACAGTTGCTTTACCCAGCGAGATGCCGCTTGGAAGCTACGTACATCTCAGAGATCCGCCGCAGTGGGGTGTGATCAAGATATCAAACGTGAGTTTCACTTTACGAGTCCGAGATTCACTTTGCTAATCAAGCGAAGATTCCATATTCCATCACCAAGCAGGAGATCGTGCAGTTTGTTGGCAGGCAGGCACGCCTCCTTTCGTCTGACAAGGGTTGTCCGATTCATATAATCATGGAACGCTCTACTGCTAAGACTATGGACTGCTACGTTGAGTTTGAATCTCTCACGAATGCCGAGGAAACAGCCAATCGCATCAATAGAATATACGAGACTGGTCGTCCTCCCCGTCTGGGTAATAGACATGTGGATGTTGAATTGAGCAGCCAAGACGATTTGCTAAAGGACCTTTTTCCGCGGGCCAAGTGTGTCGTGTGGAAGAATGGTGTTCCTTTTGCCATGTTCAATACCGACCCTTGTTCCACTGGCTTTGCCGGTTTTCTCACTAGCGAGGAAATTGTTGGTGCCATCAGGCACGCGGAGATTCCGCATCGTGTAAGTACTTTTTGTCTGATGTTGATATATTCAGTATCGCAAGGCGCAAGCTAATATCCTAACCTACTTTTATCAGTCGCCATTCTGTGCAAAGTGTCCCCAGCGTACTTACGAATCCACAGTCAGTACGCTCTACAAGGTGAGTAAGAAATCTGCTTTTGATTTTGTACAGTGACCAATTCTCACGAAACTTCTAGTTCCCGTGGTATGCGACTAAGCTGTACACCGTTCATGAACGCAACCAGCTATTTGAGTTGGTCAATCGTCACATTCTCTCGCTTGTTTCTAGAATGAAAAAAGCAAACATCATTGGTCTTGACAATAGACTACTACGAGAACTTCTCTATGTCGGGCTGAATTGTCCAGCATTCAATGAACGCCAGAAGTATACTCTTTGTGTCAATTCCGAAGACATGACGGAGATTGTCCGGTTTCCTGAAGCCGGAAAATGGCACCCTTTCGATTCCCTGGTCAGGATTCCATTTTTTAGCAGCATGGCAAATCTGGTATGTTTATGTCCAGTTTCCATTTTCATTATGTTTGGAGATTTACTAAATCGTCATTTAGTATTACTCACAGTTGATCTCAAGGGGTACTATTCCCGACGAAGAGGTGCCAGGATTACCAAACAACTTTCCCTTCCACAACATGGACTTGTATTCCCAGGCTCCATATGGCCCGATCTGGTTCGAATGGGAAGAGGAAACAGCGAAAGATATGTCCTGGGAAGATGCAGTGCGACAAGAAATGATTATTCTCTGCAACCTTGTCCTTACTGGCTGGAGGGCCCATGAGAAAGAGCAAGTCTTTACAGGTAGAGCTGAACAACTCTTTTCCTCGGACAATCGTGTTGTTCAACCCAACGAGTCTCTTCACTCTACCAGCACCTCCCAGTCTAGCGTTCTCACCGATTCCAAATCGAGAGTTGATGTCTTCGTCACACCCGCTCGTCGTGCTAGCATGGCTGCGAATAATGACAGTCCTTTTGCCAACCCCGTCTCTTGGGATCAGAGATTTCTTCTGAATCCTTCTGCGAAAACTAGAGGCGGGTTTCAAGGTCATCGGATCACTCAATCAACCCCAGCTTACTTCCCTTCTTCCGAGCAGAAGTAACAGTTCGGACTTAACGAATTTCTTTGGTGTTCATTTCTCTTAATGCTTTTGTTTTTTTTTTTTTTTTTTTTTTTTTTTTTTTTTTGACACTCGTACAGAATTTGGTGCTGGAACTATTATGCGCTTGTTCATTGGATCGAAGTTTACACTGCAGAGATTGCACATGACCTGGTTATGATATCACGGCTTCATGATCTTGGATGCATTTAGGAAAGTCATTCAGAGAAGGAACTTGGGTTCCTAGCTATCTCTAGCGCTCTTTACCTTATCCCACGCAGTTTACACGAACAGTGACTATCATCGAGCAACTAATATGTATGCATCTGTTTGTCTTTTTTTACAGCGTTCTTTTTTTGTGCATATTTCCTCCTTTCTATTTGCTAGTTGAACAGTCTGGCTCAATGCAATTCATTCCATTCAGGATTAGATCCTTTCTCGTTAACTCATATCTACATCTTCTTGAAGACTCTCTTGCTGATCCAGCTTCTTCTCCTCTTCAAGCTGCTTCTTCCTCAACAACCCTTCAGCCCTCTTCCTCTGCCTCCTCTTCTCCGGATCCTCCCAGTCAGCAGAACTCTTCGCCTTGCCTTTCGTCTTCGCACCGCACAAGTCCAGCATACTCGAGCGGAACCGCTCCTTCCGCTCCGTATTGACCTCAAATCGCTCATTAGACATCGCCACCAACATCTGCAGATATTCTTCTGTCACAAGACTCCGAATGACGGGCTCCTCATCCACGTGGTCATCATCGTCGGTGCCTTCTTCGCAGTACCCGATCACCGACTCCAGTGATAGACCGGCCGAGCGCACAGCGACAATCGGACTTGGACCGTCTTCGGCATCCAGGCAGCGTAGACTTTGCAAGCCGCTTTCGCGGAAGCCAGATGCTGATGCGGCAGATAAAACAGGGTGCGCGTGGTGGAGTGTAGCTGCCATGATATGCAAAATCTAGATAGTGATCAAAGTGTTAGCGTGTAGACAAATACACGAATATCTACGAATAAAGAATGGTGAGGAATTCATGGTGGGATGATTCGCAGCGAGGTCAAATCCAAAAATGCAGAAAGTAAAGGCAAACGAGGCTAATCTAAGAGGAAACAAACACACCAGCGTTTTCAGGCAGACACAAGGAAGGAAAAGCGAAGGTCATGTGGCACGTACCATAGGCTCGAAATGGAAGCGCACCAGGCGCGGGGCTCGGCCTTGTTTGTTCATCCCCGGAGGCTTCCCATCGCCAGGCCCCATCCCGAACAGTTCACACAACGACTTGCTCGTCCCTTCCTGCCCTGGCTTTGTTTCCGCATCGCCAGGTTCAGGTTGAGACCCAGACCCAGGGACTCCATACTCTTTCAAAGACTCGTGGGACACGAACAGCCATCTCCCGGCACCTTTGCCCCCGGAGGGAACGAACAGTCTTTGTGGTTCGTTTGAGGATTCGTCCTGTTCAGGAAGGGCTTGCTGCTGTGGTGGGGGTTTGCTCTTTCTCCCCTCCAGAAACACGCTGATTCGTCCAGCGCAGCTACTGGTTGTTACCAGGCCTGGTAGGGCGTTCACGTCGCGGATGAGATCGCGGATACCCTCGTCGACGGAGCCCTTGGGTGATAGATCTGTATACTCAGCATCGGGGATGGAGAGTTCTGCGAGGATTTTGCTCTTGCGGGACACAAAGGTTTCTGGTATTGTGTCTTTTTCACGTTCACTCATTTTTGCCCTTGCCTATTGCCTCTATTTTGGGAAATGGCTTATTAATAGAGTCGAAAGAAGTACCAAGGCTATCAAAAAGGAGGAAGATCCAGTCTTCCCTTGTGGCTTCGGAAAGGAAGCTTGTCGATGCAGAGACTGACAAGTCTTCTTTAGAGGGCCGATTCGGGAGTGAAAAATTGTTGGTTCAAACGAAGCGAAACTCGAGACCACAAAGACCCAAGGGGAAATTCTCCAATCATCCAGGAGTAAGCAGACGGTCTTCAGCAGCTATACAAAGAGAAAGGGACAAAAGAAAGGCCCGCATTGATCATGTCCCGCAAATCCTTCTCGAACACGACGTCTTCTGCCGAGCGGACGCACTAAGTTTAGCGGTGCGGAAGCAAAGAACTCGCCCGCTTTTTCCACGCGAAAATCGCCCCAGAAGTTACCAGCCTCCCGGTCGCTTCCCGGTCCCTTTGTCCGTTCTGAAAGTCTATCAGGCCGCTAACGACCCGTAAGCCGGTCAAGGAACTTTACAAACAAGCCACGGCAACGCCTCTTAAACGACATTACGTCCTCCCAGCCTTTCGTTCATACAACTAATTGCATTTCAGTCGGCGTAGCTATCTGTACTTGCTCCAACCGTGTCCTAAACATCTAACTCGTTTCCCCCTTCTCTGCTAGAACTGCCAGAGGAGATACTCAGGGTCTTCCAACTTTCCCTTTGCCATGCCTCGTCGATCGTCTCGGGCCGCTCCCGCGTCGGCGCCAGCTCCAGCTCCAGCACCAAAAAGGCGCGCGTCTGGAAGACTATCCGCAGAATCCAAAAATGATTCCAAAAGGCAAAAGTCTGAGGAGACCGCGACCAAGAAACCCGTGAAGGCCACCGCCAAGACCAGCAAATATTTCCAAGATGATGCGGAGGAATCGGAGGAGGCCACGCCTAAGGCCGTAAGTTTTTCCCTGTCTGAAATTCACCTGCTTACACCCCTCATCCCTCGATTCGGAATGAGAGGTAGCCGCAACTAACCAGACGCCGATGTCGGCAACTCAACAGGGGAGTCGCAGAACATCGAAAAGCACAAAGGGCAGAAAAGGAAGCGCCAAATCTCGGAAGGATGATTCAGGCGAAGACAGCGGAAGCGACACAGTGTCAAAAAAGAAGCAGCTGTGGAGAGAAGGAGTCACGACTGGCCTCGGGCCTGGAAAGGAAGTCTTCATTAAGAAACCCAAGGCCAAAGATGCAGGAAACATCCCGTATGAAGATCATACTCTGCATCCCAATACCCTCGAATTTCTGGAGGCTTTGTCGGAGAACAATGAGAGGACCTGGCTCAAAGGTACCGGATGAACAGTGACCGCCACGACATTGTTATAGCTTCAAATTATGACTGACCGTCAATCCTTCTGACAGCACACGATGCGGACTATCAGACTGCCAGAAAGGACTGGGAAAGCTTCGTTGTCTCTCTTTCAGAAAAAATATCGGACGTTGATAGTACAATTCCCGAATTGCCGGCCAAGGACCTGGTAAGTGCTATCAATTTCCAAGTGAACGCATGGAGAGCACAAGAAAAGAGACGAAAACACAAGATGAGAGAAGAAGAAAAAAAAAAAAGGCAGTATGAACAGAAAACAGAGGGATATTTATTAACAATATGTGCTCTAGATATTTCGCATTCACAGGGACGTCAGGTTCACCAAGGATCCTACGCCATATAAAGTACGTATGAAACTCGAGACTCCCACGGCTGAGTGGGAATCCCGTCGTACCCATCCGATTCTAGCTATTGTGATATTGGGTCGAATGAACTAACCTTGACGTCGAACAGCCTTACTTTTCAGCTGCTTGGTAGGTATATACCCGACACTGAGCAATCATCTCTGTCAGCTAAATTTTCTATCCCAAAAGGTCTCGCACGGGTAAAAAGGGCCCTTATGCCTCTTACTATGTCCATTGCCAGCCCGGGTCCTGCATCATCGGTAAGTCGCTTCCCTTCAGGAGAATGCGATTATTTCCAAATAATGGGACACTGTCTTCACAATTTGTTTGGGTTCGACCCGTGTTGCCCATATGTCACGCTTTCCGGCCCTTCTCCACTCCAAGAATCGCCTGGCATTCATGCCCCAGATCGGTTCAGACCTAAAAGCAACGACCGTGACATTCAAGCTCTCGATCCACCAGTTTGTAACGATATTGGGCGGCATGCTAATGAGAGGTTGGAATATTCTAGGCGCAGGAATGTGGCAGCCAGACGCCGACCAATTGGCGCTTATTCGAGAAGACATCGATCGCAATTCGCACGGGCTAAAGGCCGTATTGAACGAGAAGGATATGCGCCGCGAAATATTCAATGGGGTGCCTGATGATGAAGAGGAAGCTGTGAACGCGTTTCTCGATCAGAACAAAAAGACTGCTCTTAAGACCAAACCCAAGGTAGGTGTATCATTCCCCTGTGACCCGGTTGCCGTATGTCTAGCATCCATCAAGCATTTCTATCATCCCCGTATTCATGCATTTGAGCTTGGTTCGGTTCGATATTTTTAGCGAAACTGTTCGGATCTTGTGAGACCAAATGTGACGCCTGTCGGGCGCGTGGGAGGCTGTCGGGCGCATGCCATCGTCGTGGGCAACGTATAATCTGCGTTAGCATCATTCTCAAGTCATCGGATACTGTGTTAATTCGTTCTTGGGAGAAATCTTGAGAGCAAAAGGGACCAGAATAAGCCCTTCGTTTGATGAAAACAAGGGTCGAGTTGGCTTCAGCATGATGATGCCCTGACGCCCAATGGTGTTCTGGCCCAAGCTGTGGCTTGTTGTCCTGAAACGATCAACAGCCACAGTTCTGTTCTAAGCATTCATATTCACCGAAAGAATTCGATGGTCATCTTGGATGGCTCTTGGGTCTTCAAACCCATTATCAGTGATGGGCATGCAGCCCTGAGGATGTCAACCAGGCGCTCTTGATAGCAACCGGTCTGCCCGCGGGTGGCTCCGACAGGCCTACCCGTGTCTGGGTCCGGGTCACAACACCCTTTTCGACCCAAGCCCAACCCCCTGGGACACAGCTAGGCTCTAGCACGGGAAAACTGTCTGTTGTCCGGGTGTCCCACAAGGGGCTTTGGTCTCGAAGAGTTTTCGACACCGTCTCATCTGATTCCATGGTTCAGTTTATGGACTATCCCCGGCGGACCACATCTCTCGTCCAATTACATTGCTGACATGACATTTTCTTGCCCAGGGATACGATGTGGACAACGAAAACATCAAATTGCTTCGTCTACGCAATTTCACTATTTGCAAGTCTCTTGCCGACGATGACTTTAGGAGCCCCGACGCACAGGCTAAAATCGCGGCGCTCATTGGTATCGTTGAGCCTTTTGTAAGGCCCCCATCCTGTCCATCCTTGCTGTCCCGTCATTTGGCTTTCCCCTCCGCTTGTCCGCGCCTGCGTCTATTGGACCTAGTGCCCGTATCAGTGACAAGGCCCTTTTTTCCCCTCTCAATCTTTCCCTTTCTAGCCACTTCAGCGGTGTGGCTTCGGGCACAACGATACCCACCGCTAAATCCATCATCAGAGGAGGACAGGGGTGTCTCGGAGAGGGGAGATGAGGGGATGCGATGAGAAAGTGTTTCACTGACCAGAGAACAATTATCGCTCAATAGGTTACGTATCTCAACGGCGTCGTCATGCCGGATGCCGTGGACCCGGTGAACAACTCTGAAAACGAGTCTTCGGACAACTCTGCATACTAGAGTCGATGGAAAATCCGTGATGTTGAGTCTTTAATCCCCTCAATGGCGATGGTGGTGTTTTATTTCGCGGTGTAGGTTTGTCGAACTTTTTGTTTTTCTTCTGTAGTGTCACCACTTTTCCTGCTCGTTATACGGAGTATTGCTGTGATCTTTCTCTAGCTGTGTGTCTGTCCGTGTTCTCGTTAAATCATTTTTCGTTATGATGTGTTGGACATGACTACTCTTGGCTATGCATGTTTCGCGTCCTTTCTGCGGTCTCAGTGCGAATTTGTAACCACTTCCCTCAAACCAAGATGGCTTATGGATCCCTGTTGGGAGACAAGAGTCTCTTAGTTCCTTCCTTTCTGTGCTCTTGAGGGATTTGCTGCCTCTAGACTTGGGGAAGCAACTAGGCAATCACGCGTTCTGTCTCTCCATTGGCTTGGAGGGCTTGTTGTAGTCATAGCACCAGACCAGACGTCCCTCTTTTTTTTTTTTTTCTCTGTTTTTTTCCTTTCTTACTTGTCTTTTCTTGCCCGTGCTGAGCTAAGGACATTGATAACTAGCCCCGGGATTTCCCCTCCCCTTACCGCCATTTCTCATCCCCCAATAATGGCAGTGATCGTGTCCCATTCCCGGACAACCTTGCCATGATTCCTGACTCTGAGACCTTCACAATAGTGACGTGCATGTTATGGCCTGCTGTCCGCGCGCCGCAGTCGGCCCGTCGGGCGTGCCGTTGGCTCCACGGCCGCTGCCTATCTACATCTGCAGCCGGGCAAATTCGTCCATGGCCCTTGAGGATCCTTACCCTCTCCTCTTTTCCCATTGAACGGAGACGCCCGTCTCTAGTCTGCATACATGCCCAAACAATTCCCCGATGCACGGATTCCTGTCAGAGGGAGGGTGGAGAAAACAGAAGAGGAGAACGAGAGAGGGCGGGGGGGTGATACGGAGTCAGGAAGGAAATAATGCGAGAGGTCAGGCAGGCAGGGAAGGGGACGGGAAGGAGAGAAGAAAAAATACTGAAGCCATTGCATCAATCACAAACCATGCTGTCATCGACATAGCCAAGCTGGTCTGCCACCCAGCCATCCATCCATCGCCATCCACTCATCCTCGCTCTGGACCTTTTCCTCCTGCTTCTTCAGCGGTGCTCGCTCACTGACTGACTGACACTGACACCCGAAACCCCCTCCTGTCTCCTCCCCCTCCCCCCTCTTCCGTCTTGGAAGCAGACAAACAAGTTCCCCCATGAGGAGAAACACCGGAGAAATTGGGGCCTCTGATAGACCGTAGAATTTAGAACCCGCCTCTTCCCCCCTCCCCTCCCCTTCAAACCCTCCTCTCCTCTACTGAGATAATCTCAAGAGAGAGACTGAAAAAAAAGCAAAACGCACAACTGTCCCTCTCCGGCTAGAATCCATGCAAGCCATGAAACTCTGTCTGCGTCAAATGGCCACCGACAATTTGACTCGGTAGTACCCTAGCGGAAACTTTTTTTTCGCCCTTTTTTTTCTTCCCTGGTGTCCTGTCTGTCTCTTGGCCTCAACCCCATCATTCAGCGATAGGTAAACCATTCAAAGTGGGTAACTAGATGATGGGACGATCGTTTAGTTCGCACAGATTGTTAATTTATCTATCCATCTAGTTAGTTAGTTGGCCTCGTTCGTCGTATGGGGTACGGGGTATGTAAATACGCCGTATATTAGTCTCATTTTCTTTGTATTTATTTAGAATTTCCCTAAAATCTCAAGTCTAGATTAGGAAGATGAGAGGTCAGATTTCGTTCGTTCGTCCGTTCGTTTATTCATTTATTCATCAATTAGACTGGACTGGGTTGGAGTAACTTATGGTCTGTGTGCTGAATGCTAATTCAAAATCCAAGATAAACTAGGTTCATGAACAGATAAAGAAATAAAGGAAAATTGAAATCTCTTGTATATATGTACCAAGGCTACCTGGGTGTAGCAATGGGTATTCTAGCAGAATATATTGCCGGATTGTTGGTTAATGCTATACAACAATGCCCGGTTCTTTTCTATATATTTCGACAAGGTCAAGTTAGTTAACCACATCCAACGAACAACTAGCTACATGATATCATCGATCAGGACGATCATCTCAGTATATAGAATAGGTAAATAGATAACTACTGGATAGTTATTAGTTAGTGATATATATACTACAGTACAGTAGGTGTTTTAAAAATAAAATAAAAATACGGAAGCAGATCGCACCTGTAGCGCAAGATAGGGTTCCAATAGTCCTTGTACATCGCAATTCCTCTAGATGCCCAGTTCCCACCCGTAACGGTATCCGGCCGACAATCTCACCCTACCCAACTAGTAGTTACCTAGTCTAGTACTAACTAACTACTAAATGGGTAGTTGTTCTGTAGTTTACTGGGTAGTATAATCGGAAGTGAATTGCCGGAAAGAGCGGAAGGAACATCTATCTATCCATCTACCTTAGTTTCAACGATAAATAGTAGGGTTGTCGGTAGGTAATTAATTAATGACACTTTTGTTTCCATTTCTAACACACGGTCCTTGGTCCTCGTATACTCCACTATACATGATTCAATAAAGTAATTGACAGCCGGGTTGTTTGCTATTAGTTAAACAGTAGTTGAAAAGTTGACATGTACAGTGTGGACCGACAGGGATCGACGGGAATGTTTCAGAGCTCTAATAGTTAGTAATAATGAATGATACGATCAACTGCCAACACTCTTCACTACTCCGGTAGGTAGGTATTTTGTACGGATACTCCAGACAGAGACTACCTACAGCCTACAGGACCTGCACAAGACCTTTCCATTTGAAACCTACCAGGTCTAGCCCAGCCCCTCTCCCCAGTCAGTCCCCACCTAGTTCTTTCTCCCCCTTACAGATGGGGCAGGTGAGGACATTGATCATCATCCTCAGGATATCTATTATCTGGGGGAATCTGCCCGACGAGATGCGGGGATGGAATTGATACGTCGATCGGAGAGTGTCCGTCGTACAGTACGTTACATTGGCACTATACCTACCTGCAAGTGTGTCGTAGATAACAGGTAGGTAGGTAGGTAGGTAGGTTGGTACCAAGGTCTAGTAGAGATAGAAAGTGAGGAACGAGCAAATAAAATCAATACGCGGGGAATAAAAAGGGGGAGGCAATGAAAATATCACGAGTACGGAGTAAAAGGCTAGAAAAGTTAGTATAAAACAGGATTTTGGAGTCCGATGATACCTAGGTTCGTAGTTAAGGTAAGTCTTGCGTGTGATGGGAATCCCCTTCTCCCAGCCTCACCCCTTTCTGTACTATTTGATTTCCGAAGGTAAAATTAAAACAAAGAAAACAAAGTAGACCGGGGCATCGCGATCAGGGGCCCGAAATGAAAACCCACATAGACGTTTGATGCTCCCCGAATTTCTTTGTTCTTTATCCCGCGAGCGAGCCGAAGCGAGGGTCAATTAGAGTTACTCAGGCCCCAATTGATCCAGTGATTAGCTACCGCAAGTGTGCGGGAGGAGATGAGTCTGACAGGGTGCCAGAGGAGAGGAGAAATTAGAACAGAGACAGACAGACAGACAGAAAGAAAATAAGAAGAAAGAGAGACGTTAGCAGCAAGGACGGTACCAAGTCAAGTCAACCTAACCGTTCGCCCTGTCGAGATAGGTTCTCAGGATCGACGGATCATCTCTGTCTCTCCCTCGGTCGCCACTTACTGTCATCTTGTCGGAACCATAACATCAAGCAACGAACCCCATCCTCATACGAAAAGAAAAGTCAGACATCCATTCACCATTTTCTCACCTCCGAGCCTAACCATTTAGATCGTCACGCGCCGCGCGAATATGACGGGGAAAAGGTACCTGTACAACCCGGGTACCTCGTACAGCGTGTCACCTTCATATGCTGGGTCATCACACGGTGGTTCCATGCACATTGCACAACGTCAGGATCAAGACTCGAAGAGGGAGCTCTACCTCGGCATGCCATCGGGGCCGGGCCTGCGCGAGGTGGGAACTCGACCGGTCTGAACAAGGAAGTCGGCAAGGTGATCTGGCAATTGTTTGTCTCTCGTTCTGCCACGTCAGTTAGGGATGATCGCGCTTGCGCGCACACATCTGTACCCGAGCGAGCCACCGAATAGAGAGGTTGGTTCAAACTGGTAGTAGATTAGTGAGTTAGGTCTGTTAGATTTGATTTGAATTTGTTCGGTTTTTTTTTTTTTTTTTTTTTTTGCTCCAATTTCCTCCCCTGCTCATGAACCCTCCCCAACCAACATCCAACATGCGGTGCATCCAATCTGAACCAACCGACCCTGATCAAAGTAAGGCCAACCCCAGCAAATGACGGTACTTTAACGATAGTCTGGTCTTCGCTCATAGGCCGGGGTGGCATCACGTGACCGAACCGGTATGCGGGCGGATCGATGATCACAGACGGCATGTTTCCTTTTTCTGGCTGCTCCATCCCGGTCAGCGCTACGCCCACTGGGCTGCCAACCGCTGTGGCTTGGGTTAACGATGGTATTAACGGGCTGGGGGGCGCTTGCTCGCCTTGTTTACCTACAGCTGATGGGGAACGGACTCGGCCGGTCCACACGGAGACAAGCAGTGATGCACGTTGACCCGGCGCCTCAGGTTGGGCTGCGGACGGCCTACCCATGGACAAAATTCTCTGCGCCCCGAACCCTGCGCCTAAAGTCCCGTCGTGAAAACCATGGAACGGGCGCGCGATCTCATCTCACCGGTTCAAAGGACGGCGAGGCGACGTTTGGGGCTTGTGGGTGGAGCACGGATTCTGGAGATTCCGGAGACAAGGACGGTCAGTCGGTCACGGAGCTGAGGAAGAGAGAAAAAAAAATCACCAAATGAAAGACACACACCACCCAAAAAGGCAATCCACCAAAATGGAAAAAGAAAAAGAGTCCACAATCACCTGCGTTGTGGGTTCTGGCGGCAAGACGCGGACGGCAATGCATCGAGCCGATTAGTAGGATCGAAAAAAACGTGGCGAGGGAAGGGGGCGAGAAAAATCAAACTAATTTAGAGGACGAGAAAACTAAAAAGAAATAAAAAAGTCATCAGAAGGAAAAACTTAAAAAAAAAAAAAAAACCAACAATAAAAGGGCAGGAGCTGAGTGAAGTAATCTTACCGTTCTCGTAATACATGGTAATTCCAATCGGGTCCGGTTTCTTTCGGTATGGTATGGAAAGATTCCTCCAGGATGTCTGCCCCCTTCGCCTTAAATCTTTCATGGTTGAATAAGTGAGGCTGGCTGTGATTGTCCATCCTGTGAGACACTCTAGTGTGAAAAACACAGAGCGCTTGCAGCAGATTTCCTGGCGCATATACGTCGCACCGATAATCAAGTAGTCAAGGGGGAACAGTCTCGACCTTGCTGCCTTGATTTCGGTAACGGGAGGTTCTTTCCTCCAAGGAACATCCCCTGCGTGGACTGTAGCAGAAAGGAGGGGGCGCCTGTCAAATAGCTAATCGCCCGGAGGATCAACGATGACAGCTGAGGAGGAAGTGAAAAGAGGGGAAAGGACATAAGCGTGGACGGTGAAGACTGCTTGGCATGAGGCTCCTAGGTCACGAGGATGTCGCTGAGCGATGATCATGGGGATGGACCAGAATAAGCGAGACAAGATGAAATCATGAATCTCAGTGAAAGGATGCGCTAAGTCGAGGAGGAGGAAGAAAGAGAGGGGGGAGAACAGGCCCCCCGGAATTGGATGTCAGCAATCCTTGATAAGAAATTAGTATGATTAGGGTGGTTGTACCGTTGTACGTGATGAGGATTCTGATAGCATGCCACACTACACTTCATGCATAAGATCGGCGGGAGTCGGGGCGGCCCGTCGTGGACATGTCCAGGAGACGATTAGCGAGCGAGGATTGCGCCGGTTGCCCAAACATCCTTGACAAGCTGCACCTGCGTCCGAATCACAACTCTATCCTTGCGCGTTGCCCGTTTGCGACCGTGGATTTCCGAAGTTATTTCGATTGCTGAGTGTGACCTTGGTCCAGTTGCCAATAGGAGGTCACTTATTCTCTCGCTTTTATTTATTCGATTTCTTTTCTTTTCGCCTTCTCTTTCATCTTGCAAGCGGACCAATTATTTCGGATTTGGTTCCGTATTCTTTCCAAGGCACCACGCGATACGCGAACCATATTACACCCGTAGGTTCAATCCAACATCTGGAACAAGGAAAAGTCATGGCCGAGTGGTGAATCATTTATTTTTTATTATTTGTTCAACTTTCTTTGCCCCCAGACAACCCGAGTCACACGATGTCAGTCATCCAGCGTCCGCCCATTACATGGTCAATACCGAAGACGAACTACTGCAAAGCTACCTCTCTAACGGCGACCCCTCACGATACCTGGTTGCCCGAACGGAGAAAATGAGACAGACCATCATGGAGGGGTGGAGAACGGAGAAATAAGAGAACATTTCCTCTCCCCTTTGCAGGTTCTTTTTTGACAAATGTGATTAGGTTGCAGGAGCGTGAACTTGTTTCTCACCAGTGGACGGGCTGGCAGCAAATCGCCATTGCTTGCTGCCTCGTCGAAACTTCGACTAGGCCGAACCCATGAAGGACTAGAGTCTAGCTCCCATGTCATTCCCATGTGCCAGTGGATGGGCTTGTCAGACGGAGTGACTGGCTATTACGCACTCGACAGGGATCTTAGCCAGGTTCACAACTGCTTGATTGGCGGCCATGTCAGCAGACCCCGCAAACGATTCCGGGTTCTTGGACTCTGGTCAATTACTGTCCGACAGACGTTGGCGGTCTTGTCCATCCCTTCTCATTGCTCTTCTTCCTCGCTCGAGACCTTGGGCCAAGGTGCGCTAATGCAACTTACCTTGAATGTGCCCCGATCGCACCGGGTGCCGTCCCAGGGCTGTAGCACCGGGAAACCTAAGGCCCTCCATTGAGGTGGCCTCCCGCCCCTCTCACTTGATTATTCTGTCTTTTTTTTTCTTCTTTCGTCTGAGGAACCAAAGGAAAAAGAAAAGAAAGTTGTCCTTTATTTATTTGAGGTGGCGGATACCTGAACGTTATTCGGCTACGGAGTCCGTATCCCTTTGCCTGGTAGCGCTAGTCGTGATTAGCGGTAATTTTGAATTATGTAGCTCTATTGGTCAGTTAGCTTTACCGCATCCATACGAATTAGGAATAGTCTCATATCTTCATATTCGCACGCATGTTTATTCTATGAACTAGATCGCGCCTTACGCGTGGTAATCGCGTCTTTATACATCATGGATTCCTGAGGTCTGCCTCTAAAAGAGGTTGAAGAACCCCTATTGTATAGCTCCTCTATTGCTTTATCTAGTGCTTCTCCAACTCCTCCTCCTGTTTCAAAGAAGGAAGAAGCAAAGCAAAATCTAACACAAATACTTCGCGAGATACCCCAGTACCAAGATGTTCTGTTTGAGCCTCTTGAAATGGCTGAAGCTTTCCCTCCTACGATCAAATTGCCAGATGGGGTGAATATTGAATGCTCATACAGCCTATTCTCTTTATTTTTATCTGAAGAACTGATTACATCATTATCACCCAACACCAACAAATATGCGAAGGCTAAGAATGCGGGCCAGTCTGGACGAGCATGGCATGACACTACAGCTTCGGAGATCAAGACATTTCTTGCAACCCTAATCTATATGGGGATTCATATATCTCCTAGCAATGAAGATTATTGGCGGACTGATGAGGAGCCAATTTATATGCCTCGTATATTCATGGGATTAAAACGATTCCAGCAAATTAAGCGATCCTTTTATGTTGGGGATCCTGATCCAGAGGCTGCTATCCAAGAAGCTATAAGGCTTAATCTTACACCCAATCAGATGTGGTAGTATAAGCTAGAGCCTTTTGCATCCAGACTCCGCGAAGCCTGTTTACAGTACTGGAAACCTTCAAATGCAGTCTCTATTGATGAGACAATGATTCGCGGCTTTGGGCGTTCTCAACGTACCTTCAAGATGCTAAATAAGCCAATAAAGCAAGGATATAAGCTCTTTGCTATTGCTGATCAAGGCTATATTCTATATTGGATATGGGCGAGTCGCCATAAGTCTCTTGTTGAGGTTAAAAAGCATGAGGCTAGAAATTTAACTTTAACTGATCTATAGTTGTTCAACTAGCGCAAGAAGGCCTGCTATCACAGTAAAATGACTATACGATCTATATGAATAACTACTTCTCTACTATTCCTCTATTCCGTCATCTTCGGCAGCTTGGGATTGGTGCTTGTGGTACTACCTGACCAAATGCATCTAAAAAGCTATTTCCAAAAGCTCTTCATATGTTAAAAGATTCAAAGAAGATTCTACCATAGAATACCCTATATGCAGCTTCCGCAACTGATGAATCTGACATTGATTCTGTGCTATACATTGCATAGCAAGATAATAGCATTGTTACAGCTTTATTAACTGTATACACTGTACATAAGCTAACAACTGATTGGGTTACTCGCTTACGTAAACGGCCCTCAAAGACCTCAACCAGTGCAAAAGTTGCCCGTAAGCCTTTTGGTGACCAGCCTACCAAGGAACTTCCAATACCCCGGCTAATTGATAATTATAACTATCATATGGGAGGCGTGGATCGAGCAAATCAACTGCGTGCAAGTTATGAAACTCACTAAGATGTTTACGCTCCTGGTGGCCTATATTCTTTTGGACGCTTGATGTAACTATTATTAATGCTTATTGTATTGCAAAGATGGCTTACAGACAGCAAGGTATAAAGGAGATTACTCATCTTGAATTTCAGAAAGCTCTTTATAGAGAGCTATTAAAACAAGCATCAGAGGAATCACTGAAAAGAAAACGAAGACATAGCTTAGTCTAACTATCGCATAATGGTAATCATGAGATTGAAAGGATTCACCCTCGCAAATGGTGGTTATACAGGTGCAAAGAGTGAAGGCTCGAGGTTATACTGTTCCAAAGTAATTTCACACAGTATATTACTGTAAGGCCTGCAAAGTTCCTTTATGCAGACCTGATATAAGGTCATGCTGGGCTGATTTCCATACATCACGACCTCCTTTGGGTGAGAGAGACATAAATTGCTCATAAATAGCTTAAAGATTCATATTTCATGCTGATTTACAGGTGCGTAGTGATAGATGAGGTGGGCGTGTCATTTGCGGCAGAAAAAAGACGCTAAACACGACTAGCGCTGCCAGGCAAGGGGATACCTAGGTATGGGTTGTCCGTGTTTGGCGTTACGCCTAGCGGAACATCTCCCATAGCGACTTGATTACAAGGATTATGCGCATGGGACCCTTCAGTCACAATTGTAAAACAAGTGAAATGCCTGGGATGTGCGAGACAGGATCAGTCACAGCGGGAGCTCGGACCTTTTCTGCGAAGAATCACCAAATTCCAAAATTACAGCAGCACCATCTATCTACCGAGGGACATCCCGAGTAACTAAGGTACTCCGTAGACGAAACATGCTTACACACGGTACAGCATCCAAACCATCTGTGTGTCTGCCTAGCTTCAGCTGAACTTCTCCCCCACCATGACGATAAGCGCCCTTTTGGCTTGCTCACCGCCTACTTCGCATCCTGGGCCTACCGGACGGGCTAACGGACTAGCAGTCTTAGCATCCACTCACAACCCACCGAATTAG